AATTGTCAAATGATTCATTCTACTCAGACCTCTGGTTCAGGTTCAGAGTGGCTTGGCCAATGCTACAGGTACATGTGTATTGTGCAACTCCCTGTTGTTCAACATTCTGTGATTCTTAATATGCACATTGGTTAGACCTACTCTAGTTTTGCATACCACAGCAATGCACTCACACTTCTCACAGAGAGCAGAGAGAGATGTAAGAAGTGCAGCACTTTTGTGCTTCATTCAAGTAGATGTCATTTGTGCAAAACTGGGACTGAAATAACATGTTTGAGGATTGCTTAAATCTTATCACCAAAACATTAAATATTTTTCTTCATCAATATGCAGGTTCAATGGTAGAAACTTAAATTTATCTCCAGTTTAAAGTATAAGCAGAGAGGAAATGAGCTGAAAAAAAATATCATGTACATGTCTTCACCTGATCACATAAATCACTTGCTTGACATTATGGAAAAGTCAATGGCATCCTGCCCACAGAAGAGTCACAAGGCTATGTATATGTGCACATAAATAGAGTGACTGAGGACCGAGGTACTTGCTCTGCATACTACACTCTGTCTCTCACAAACAGTCTTTTCCAAAATGAAATGAAGACAAGCATCCAGCCTCTCCTGGATTCTATACAATTACCTTTCCTGACTAAACCCATTCTTTGCACATTATTTAGATTTAAAGATGTCACAAAAAATATTGTGTTTCTAACTGTACTGACATTCAGAGGACTGATAAAGTAAATATCAGATGACCACTGCCCTCTGTTCCCCCCTTAAAAAAATAATTATAAATGCCCTAAAATTAATGTTCTTTCCTCTGTTGGAATCTGTTAGTATGGCATATTTTCCTATTTAGAAATCCATTCTCTAGAAGTAAAACTGTAGAATTCCATGCTTGCTCATCTTGGGTGCTCATCGTGTATTGGATTCTTTTCGCTTTTCCTCTTGATTGTTAGTCTGTGAGAAAAACTTTAATATTTGAGGTGGGCTTTTTTCCTGTTGACTCAAAAAACACAACTTTACTTAGGAAAAAGAAAAGTGTTAATGCTTTTCTAAATAATACATGGACCAAAACAGAAATCTTTATATCTGTTCTTATCCATAATTTTCTTACAAAATAGTAGACCGTGGTGTTTATAAATAAATAAAAAAATCCAGCAACCCTCTTTTACCAATGAGGAAAACAAATATTGTTCCAAGTGTTCCCAGGGAATGGATCCATTATCAAAAATGGTAAGTGTGTTTGTTTCTTTTCACTTTATGAGTCATACCTGTCTGTGAATTTATTAAAAGCTTTCCTAAATTGACAGAATGTACGTATCTATTAACTGCTAAGGACTGTCTTGATGTTAGATGAAACTTTCCCCAGTACAATGATTTTAATTAGTTTTGTGGAAGGAAGTGAAACAGTTAGTGAACATATTGTTTACTCAGTGGCCAAGTTTTTTAGTAAGGCCCTGCTTTCTAAGATGAAGAGCTGAGGAAGTAATATTTTTATCCTTTCCGTGTTCTACACATGTAAATACGTGAGGATGATATATACAGAAATAATATACAAGGAAAACTTGTGAAAAGTGACATCTGTAAATCTCCTTCTTGGGTGTTTCCAAGGAGATAATAACTATCTACATGAAGTTAGTGATTAGGACCCTGAAAGTGTGCAGTTTCCAGAAAGTTCTTCACATATGAAACAGCTAAAATAGTTTCAAAAAATGCTTATTGCCTTACTTATCTCTTCCGCTTTCGAAGCAACTCACAGTGCCCTCTTTAGTAGCCATTTTTTTAAAACAAGTTTTATTTTTTATTGAAAAATATTAATATATCTTGCAAAAGCAGTCACAATGGCTCAGATAAGAGTTGTTGTGATCTGAAAATGTGACAGCTTTTCAGAAGCTGGCTGCAGCAGAAATATGTGGACATTCTTGTAAATATAATTCAATTTATAGCCTCTATTTAAGGTTCCTAAGATGTTGCTACATAGTACAGCTTGTTGTATTTGCAGGGGAAGAGGAATTGATGGAGGTGATGGAAATCTGGTTTGATTTCAGGTCAGGATTTATTTGTTTAACAATTAAGAATTTTTCAGTTATTTCTAATTTTAAAGAAAGAAAGTGTGTGGGAGGAGGGAAAGTAGTATTTTTTTTCAAAAGTTTACTTGGAAAACTGGAAATTCAGCAAAGATATAGAATATAAGTACATTTTGGGTTCTGTTTTGTCACTTCTTTAAGGATTAAGGGAAGCATCTCATCAGTGACCAAATTATTTAATTCATTACTCCTTTGCTTCTGTATGTTTGGTTAGAAGACAGAGTGAAATAAAAATAATAAATGAAAGGAGATATAATAGTTATTGAATAAGAAAGAACAGGACAAAGAATTAAGGGAGTGAGGGAAAATGTAAGTAGAGAAGGAAATGGTAAAGATACTGATTCTTTTTTCACTGTTTGTAAATTAGCACGTGTAAATAGACTAAGAGAGCAGGAAAGAAAGCAGGGTTTATGCTATATTGGCTGTGCAGCTACAGCACAGTACAATAGTAGTAGTAGTAAACCACTACTGTTTGACAAATAACAAAGAAAAGATTATGAATTTTTTAAAAAAAATATATTAGGAGATTCCACTGAAAAAAAGCACATTGAAAACTTGCCTAAGTGGCACTTAGTACATGTAGACAGTTAGTAGAACTTTCAAAGCATCTTCAGCGGGCCTATTAAAATAATCATTCCTTTTGTGCAGCTCCACTGATGAAGTCATTAGGATGATTAGAATTAGTCAAAGTGTATCACATAGAAAGAGATTGCAGGTATCCACACCACAAAGTTTCACTGAGTTCAAGATCACCTGCTAATTCTTAAATGTGTTGAGGCCTACAATGTAGTACATATATTATAGTAACTTGGGCAGTATATAGTTCAAACTTCAAGTAGTAGCAGACTGAAGCAAATGATGAAATTTTTATAACTATCCCCAATTTAAAGATCTGACTTTTGTTTCTACCTGGAGAAAAAAACAATGTTATTTTTACCAGCAGTGTCTTTGCTACACAATAGTAAGACTGAAGTCACCCTTCAGTTTTTTATTGTGGATACACTATAGGACACTAAACATGTAGAAATCATGTGATATAAATGCAACAGAAGGCATGCATTATTAATAATTCGTATTTACTTGAGCTGTTCATAAACTTTTTCATTGTTTATTTGACTTAGACATCATCATTAAGCTGGCTGCATTTTTAAGTTCACAAATACTAGCCTGTGTTTTTAATCCAAGTTTGATTTTTCACTGACTATTTAGGTGTTTAAATACAGAGGAAAAACAGCCATCTGTTTTAGCAGGTCTGTTTAGACTTAGAAATTTTATACTCTTTACACAACTTTCCTTGGACATTTTGTGTCTTCTAGTAGAAGCTAACTTGACCTCCCCCTTATTGCGCAGAGTTGCATTTGCTATCATACTGAGTCTTGTACAAAGTGATTAGGCTCTCTGACATCTATTTGCAAGAAAATGTTACAACTGAGCCATAGAACTTAGCCTTTCAACCTCTCTGAGAGTCCAGGTAGTATCAGTGTAGAAACTATTTCTCCAGTTTGTGTTGCTGTTAATACTGCTGCATCCCAAGAGCAACCATGAAGTCACCATCTTATGGGACGGATAAATTAAAGGGCAGATCAAATTTGTGACATTATTTTATGAGATCACAGCAATATGTAATTTCTTGTTTCTTTCAGATCTGCAAACTATAGTGTTCATACTCTCTTGCAGTGCTGGAAGTCTCTTTCTCCTTGGCATTTTCTGGATCTCCCGCTAAGAGGTTTCCTTCAGGTTGTTTTCAAACACAAGTGCAGCTGATAGTACAAAAGTCCAGTCTGTGTTTACTTCTCTAGGTATCCTCAGGGAGATCCTTTTCAATGTAGAACTTGGTAACATCAGACTGAACTCCTCCACTTATCAAACCAGCTAAGCACATGCTTGATTTTAAGCACATAAGTAATCTAGAGCTTTCTAGATATGCATTACATATATTCCACTTCATAGAGTAGGAAAAAGATTTTTGAATAAGAAGGCAGGAATGGAAACAGGCAGATGTGGTGTTGCGGTAAAACACCTCCCATTCCAGCCACAAACAAGAGTAGTCTTCTAACTGATGTCTGTTTCAGAAGTAACCACTACAACAGTACAATTAGCACATTAGTGACAAAGCTGGGCTAGTGGAAGTTCACAAACTGATATGCTACTCCATTGGTGACTAACTCTGGCATCTTCACAAGGTTATACAGGTCTAGAGAAAGCTGTTGGGTTTAAAATCCAGGTTTTTTTAGGAATTACAGTATTTTTCTCTAATTTTACTTTCACATTTGTATTTCTGCACGTTGTATGCTACTGTTTGTTAAGCTTAACTACTTGGACCATTCAACAGAAAAATTGTGAAGGAAACAAAAAACCCCACGCCAAATCTATGCATTACCAAATACAATTTTAGAATTCAAAGTTACAAAGAAAAATAATTTAAACAGTGTATTCTAATAGTTTGCAGCCACATATCTGAGCTCAGCATACTTATTTAGTCTGGTGATTGACAGATGCATTTGGTAGCTTCTTGGGTGTTTTATAATGAAAGGAAGTAAGGCTGAATCTCACTGATATGATGACTTCTAACTTGTTCATGTGCTTTGTTAAAATGCTTCTTTATTACTTTCTTTGTCTTGAGGTTGTGACTTAGGAAATTTGCAATGGCTTGTAAACTGCACATTATAAATGAAATTGAATTATAAATCAAAAGCTTTGGAACGGCTGAGGTTTCCTTATTGAATCCCTTTTGTGCCTCCAAAATTAGGATTGTCAATCAAAACCAACAGGTGGTGTATGGTTACAGAGAGTGAAGCCCCTCTCACAGGATACTTTCTTTTAGGAAACCAATCAGAACTGGCTCTGGCATGATGAGGCAGATCTGTCAGCAGAGCTGGGGTATATAAAGTGAAACAACTATGTTAGCACTTCTGAGCAGTCGTGCATTCCCCGCCTCGCCTCGGGTGTAGGGATTGCAAAAAAACAAAACTACACTGTCAAGACCGTGTAGTTTTGTTTTTTATGATTAGAGGCTCTACAATTCTCATGCTGGGATTGTCTAAAAAAATCTTACTTGGGATAAGGACGTCGTTCAAGAAGATTTCGTTGGGCTTAGCCCACTCTTGCAGGCACTTTGAGAGATCAGGTTAGTAGCATGTTTCTGCTGGTGTAAAAAAGGTTTTATCGGTCATTAATAATCCTGATACAATCTATTTTTTATAAATTTGGTCACGGGGGGTATAGGTTTCAGGAATTGATGGAGCACTTAAATTCTCTGTCAACTTTATATCTTAAATTATTGGAGTAAGCTTTGGTAACTCTCAGCAAAACTTTTTTTTTTACAGTGTATTTTATTGTTAAAGACTATATAAATTAAGGTTTTAAAAGTGTATGGAAACATGTGCTTAACTTAAAAACTCCTTTCTCTTGGGAGTGTTCAAGGTTATGCTACTGAGAGATAAACTGAGAAGCTCCCAGAATAGCTCTGATAAAATGCATGTGGTATCAGCTAAGCACTGATGACTTTTTAAGGGAAACAACTGCTAAGGTATCAGTTACATGGCAGCTCTGGAACACTTGTCTGCTGTCATTCATAGCTGTAAAGGTTATTTCTGGAACATGACATTTCAGACACATACTTTCAATTCTAATTATACAAGAAACCTTATAAGATCAGATCTTCATCACCAGAATTTGCCTAGACAATGAAAGATATAAACTTCGTGTGAACTCAATGACAGTTTTATTTAATTGAATTATTTCTGATCTATTCTGAAGTAAGGAAACTACATATATATACAAGCTTTCATAATGTTTCCATATATTTTAGCTGAGCTTCAAAACATAGTCATAACTTGAGCTGAAAATCTCAATACAATATCCAGTTCTGCCCTTATGCACTTACTTTATGTACGCATCAGGCCCTGACTTCTATGAAAGCATTCATGTAATGAAGAATTTTTACCCCTATGAAAGGTAGAATAAATTTGGCTCAGAGTGAAAGAAACTTTGCTTTCTCATTTTTGAGTTAAGCTTGGGATTGTCACAAAATCTGGCACAAAAGCCAAACTAAACTGAAGTAAATACATGAGCAAGATTGACTTGAAAAAATTGTGGGGTTAACTCTTGTTTGTTAAGACTTGATATGCTCTCAGGGAAATTTTATTATGAGAAAAATTGTAACTTTAATAGATGTATAGTACTATTAAAAAGATATTAGCTACATTTTTAAAAGCACACGATTTTACATCAGTAAATAAATATGTTCAGGCAAATATAAAATACTGACACAGAAGCTTTTCTAGTGTAGTGTGCTATTTCAAAGTAGGCTCTTCTGGCATAGCAAGAGAAAGCAAATTTTCTTTCAGATTTCACATGGCTCTGCAGTTGTTCAAGCCATCAGTGTCAGTGGCTACCTTATATCCTAGCTCACATTTCGAAGGTTGCTGTCTTCCCATATTCAAAATTCCACTGAGATACTCTCTAAGAAAGACTAGAATTTTATCTGCATCTTTAATGTCAATATGCTTCTGTAAAAAGAAATTATTCACTACTTACAGGCTGCTTTTAAAATTGTCTTCTGTCATTTTGATCATTATTATGAGGCAAATACATTGAAGACCTTCACATTCTTTCATTTGCTGCTTAGTGACCTAGATATAGTCTCATTGGAGAATGCAAATGCTTTGCACCAACAACACATTTTTAAAAATTATACATAGAAATTATTTTCTCTTCAGATAAAAAAGTTAATAGACGAATAGAGGCTGGATGACCTGTGGAAGGTCATGCAGTGAGTCAAGCAGAATTTTGTCTTCTGCTGCACACTTGCAATGCCAAAGCACAGCTCCGCTAAAGATAATGGTTTCACATCCAACTCAGCCAAGCATTCTCTATGAATAATTTGCCATACAACTTTGTCAAAATCTACACTCTTCACATTTCAACAGGTCATTCTGATTTAAAACTTACAAGAGTAAATTGTTCTGAAAATAATTACAAATATTCTGAAAATCTAGCAAGAAGGAGTGTGTATAATAACATTGTCACTATTTATATCTAATGATGGGGTTTTTTTTCTTGCAGAGTGCCTGTAAAGATGACGACAAAAGCACCAACATTTACGCAGCCGTTACAAAGTGTTGTGGCACTGGAGGGTAGTGCCGCAACCTTTGAGGCTCATATTAGTGGTAAGGTTTTGCTTCATTCTTCCAAGATTTATAATTTTTTTATTACTATTTTTTCCTAATGTTTATGCTAAGAAAAATGATAACACTTTCTATAGATCATAATCTGATCTGAATGGGTAAAGATGAGTACTGAAATATGGATATGTATCTATATTATACAGTACTGATCAGCACTGTGAGGTTCTGTCAAATATCTACAAACAGGCTGCATAAAGTTACTGACCAAGCAGTAGGCAGTCATCCTGCCATGCCACTGGTGTCTAATTCTCATATATGTCAGAACCAGCAAAACTGGGGTAAATACCTTTAAAATATACACATAAGGATACATACTCTGCTAATAAGGGAACTTCATACAGGTATAGAGAGAATAATTTTGTTTGAATGATGATTGGACAGAATGAGGAGTGAAGGTGCAAAGGGCAAGGCTTGTGCTAGCTCTTCAATGACCTTGTGCTAAGCCTTACTGTTTAGCTAAGCTGTATTTCTCCCTCCTGTGCCCTTAAGTTTACTTAATTCCAGAGTTCTAGCAACAGGGTTAAAAGCACAAAATCTAGGTCCACCTGGTGACTGAAAAGGGTAGAAAACCCTTGTATGCTAGATAATAGATTTGTATGGTGATCATGATGGTAGCTCAAGGCTGGATTAATATATTTACAATGTTGATGTGATGTAATTACATTAAGATGCCAGATTCCATGTAATTTAAAAGATACTTCATTTCTCCAGTCTACATGCTATTCAAACACCCTATCTTGTGCAAAATCCCATGCAAACTCCTGAGATAACGTTACCAGATAACCAACACCCTGTTCTAAGAGTGTCTCTGACCTCGGCAGTGACTAAGGAGAAATGACATGTGTTCTCTGCTGATGGAATTATATTGTCTTACAGGCATTAGCAATGTGATGATCCACATACCATAAAATACTATGCAGATGCTCTGTGACAGGTGCAAACACATGATCTGTCCAACTATAAAGATCTCTGACATCTATAATCCACTGTGGTTCATCCCCTGGTCCCTTTGGATAACACTACCCCACATGTCATGTAGTCTACATCCATGATATTTTTTCATGCCATATTCTGTTCTTTGGCCCTTGATCTTCAGTTAATTGCCCCGATCTTCTCTTCTTGCCTGTACACTGAAAATTTTCTGTAAAAAGTTTTTTCCATGGTTGATTACAATACTTATAATTATTACAAATATATAAATATATCATCAGAACAAGACAGGATGTTAATATGACTCAATGTATGATATTGGCTATTTTCATTTGCGTGATATCATAGACTACTTCGGAGGAGAACTTGATTTCTTACTAAGTGAAGCTACATCAATTTTTCTAATAATATGCCATATTGGATGTTAGTTTCAAATATCTTGTGAGTCAATCTCTTGTTAGCTTTTGTTCACATTGTGAGATTCTGGTATATCTTTCCTGCCCCAAAAGCATCCACCAAGGCTGAAAGATGAAACAGTGGCATTACAAATAGGAGAGTTTTATTTCTTAAACTAATTGCATAAAGGACTACACAGCTTTATTCTGCCCTTCCTATCCATAATGAAATATTGTGAATTTGAAATTAAGAATTTCTTTTTATCTCTGATAACACTGGCTTTTTATATACAAGTCAAGTATTAACACAGAGCTACAATTCAAATGTGAAGAGTTCAGTTAATCTTAGGGTATCAAGAAGAGCTTAGCAACTACCTGAGATGAAATTTTGCTGTGTGTAAACTAGAACAAATGAATTTTACTGTTATATTCGACTGTAAATTAAGTGCCACATTACAAAAGTTTGATATCAGACAAAAATACCCAGCATGTAACAGAAATCTCAGAAAGCACAGAACGCACAAACCCTGTGATTAAAAGCAGTAAATGCCAGAGCAGTGGGAGTCCTGCTGGGTCAGCAGTGGCTGAGAGATCATGAGACAAGGAAGTCAGTTCTGCCAGCATTACTTTGCCCATCCTCATGTCTCCACAGCACTGACCAAGTTTGATTTTTTTCATAAAGAAACCTGTACCCTGCTTACCTTTTTTGAACTTATATTTTCAGGTATTATCCAGTGCAAGACAACCTTTAAACTCTGCTTATTGTTGAAAGCAGCACATAGATTGAACACAAGTTGGCAGCTCCTCTCACGTCATTGTCAGAAGACTCTAATTGAATTCAATTACTTTAGCAGTGGATTTGAGGCACTTTGGGTTTATTTTCTCCTTTTTGGCATTAAAAAACCTCAAGGACAATTGAATGAAAAATTTAAAAAAAAGGAAAAAGATTGTCCTAATAATTAATAGTCAAATCATGGTGTCATTTGGCACATGTAGAAGCAAATCCCTATTCTATATAGACCAGGCAAAAATATCTATAATCTGAGATAGATCTTACCCTTCAGTGCCTAGTTTGGTGGCATGGGATAGCAGAGTGCTAGTAAATTTGTGGAGTTGAGTTTTTTTAATTATAAATTTGGGCTTAGATTTTCAAAATGACTTCTAACTTTGGATCCCTTGGATATAGCAGTTTGAGGCATCAGAGTATACTCCATTTCTAGAATGCAGACCTTTTCAACCTCCCACATAAACTCCCATGTTTGCTAATCATCATATAATGCTACCCCAAGAAAATAAAACATTTTGATGTTACAAGAAATTCTCTATAGAGGACATGTTTTTGGTTGCCTACCTTAAAATGTTTTTAAACTAATTTTCACAAAATGTTGAAGACACATAGGTCTGAATGGAATAACTGGGATGTGCTGAATACTCAGTGTTTATGGTGATAATGCCCAAGTTGTCCTACACTAGTAGTACAAAATTGAATTATACATTCCCATCAGGGCTGTTTGATAACTTCCATTTATGAAATTAATAATGCTTAGAAGTACTTTTAGCTTTTGGTTTCTAATCCTCTCTAAAATTGTCCACACTCTCTGTGTGTGAGAGTTTGTTTTATGTATGTCTAAATTTCAGTATTTTACTATGAATAAAATTTTAAACTTTCCTAACCAAGTCTGGTGTGACTGCAATCAACCAGTAAAATTTCTAATCTACATATCTCAGCTTCTCTTTCATTTTAGTCTCACACAGTCATTTTCCTGGCACATTAAAATCCCTAATGATTTATTTGGTTTATAGGAGGGATACATTAGAAAGGAAGCAGAATTCTGTGGCCCTGGGGTTTTCCAAACCACAGAATAGGACTGGAAAAATTGTAAATACGGTCTCATATTTCATTCCTGAGCCCCAGTGCAGTACAGTTGGTGATTTGGGTTGAGTGGAGAAATACATGAACTGAATTTGCAGGAATTTTAATTTCTGAAGAAATGGTGTTCTAGGACTACAAAAAGGACTTTGAGCTGGAACTAGCTCCTTAAATTAGCTGTTCTGCTTACATGGCTCATATAAAAATTTTATTTATTCATCCAATGGATTTCAGTTGCTCAATAAATTTGACTGAGTAGAAAACTGTGAAGAGAATTTCCACTGGGAATCTAAAATCACCATTAGTTTTTTCTGACCAGAAGAGTCTTGCTCATGACCCTGATAACAAAAGAATAATATATTTGAACAAGATCAATATATTTGAAAAGATCAGCAGATTCCAGATGACTGCTGTCATCAAACTCAAAAAATTTGAGAAAAAGGAATCAAAAACCCCAAAACTTGGATAGCACTTGATTTTAATGTCTACAGCAGTCACTTTTTCTGTCACTTCTTTTTCTAAAACCATATAGTGTTAGAAAAATACTTAACTTAGTTGGAAGTACTGATTTTTACATTGTCTCCAAATTATTGGACGGGATAAATTTGTTATCAATAAACAGTCCTTCTTAGATACCAGCAAATAAATTTTAAAAATACCTCACGTGCTTTAATCCATCCCCTTCATGATTATGATGAACTTTTATTCCTGAACAGGATTGCTAAACACTACGGTCCCCCCATTATTCAAGTGATTTCCTAAATGCAGGAGCTTGTGCAGCTGCCCTATTGCTCTGTGCATTTTAAAGACCTTTCTACAATTCCTTTGCCACTGTGTCACTGGACATATAACGATATATCAGTGCCTATGCCATTATGCTCCACTATAACCATGAATACACAAGTGCATATTATGGTACTTTTTTGTATCTGGCATTTCATAGCATCTTAATCTCCGTTTGTCTTCCTTTTTCTTTAGGTTTCCCAGTTCCTGAGGTGAACTGGTATCGGGATGGCCAGGTTCTCTCTGCTGAAACTCTGCCCGGTGTGCAGATCTCGTTTAGTGATGGCCGCGCTAAACTGGTGATCCCCACCGTGACAGAAGCAAACAGTGGAAGATACACCGTACAAGCCACCAATGGATCTGGGCAAGCAACTAGTACTGCTGAGCTGCTTGTCACAGGTATAATGCAGCTAAAGAAATGCTCCTCTGTCTGCTAGCAATGTGAGAAAGAGAGTGATAGGAGAAGAGTCACAGATAATGAAAAAAGTTCAGGTTTGAAATATATGGTCAGCAAAATATAGCAAATCACTCTCCTTTTCCTAAAGCAGTCTAGAATTCAGCATATGTTCTCACCAGGAATGTCTAATGGTGTCCTTTATCCTTTAGCCGTAAAAAGTTTAATCCTGATCTTGTAAACTCTTATTCACAATTGCAAGCTTCTGGCTTCGCCCTCTATACCTCCACTCATGATCTGTCACATTGGGTATATTCAAACTACTCATAAAAGAAAGGATAAAGTTCTTCAGGATGGAGACCCTAATGATATTGAATGAAATAAATGATATTTAACAGAATAACTCACATAATGGGCCATACTCAAAAGACTGTGCTTAATGCCTATGGTTATAATCAGTGTATCAGTAATTCTAGAAACATTTGCAATTATGGGCACAATCAAAAATATCAGTAATTTTAAATGCAAGAAAAAAGCTAATCAACTCCTAATGTTTTGAATGTTTCGGAAGTTACTGTCATCTGTCAGTAGCATGTGAAAAAGAAATAGACCTTGTGCACATCTAGTAATGAAAGTATCTAGTCCTTACAGTTCTTTTTAACAAACATTATTGTTTTCCTATTTACTTCTTCAATAAAAATGCAGCTGGAACAGCACCACCAAACTTCTCACAACGACTACAGAGCATGACTGCAAGGCAGGGAAGTCAAGTTCGACTTGATGTAAGAGTGACTGGAATCCCTACACCTGTGGTGAAGTTCTATCGGGATGGAGTAGAAATCAAAAGCTCCCCCGATTTTAAAATTTTACAAGAAGGAGACCTTTACAGCCTAATAATTGCAGAAGCATACCCTGAAGACTCCGGCACCTATTCAGTAAATGCCACAAATAGCATGGGACGTGCTACTTCAACAGCTGAACTGCTAATTCAAGGTAACAGAATTGAAGTTGCAAGCCATGAAAATAGGAGACCATTCATTGTAGTGGTTCAATACGCACCACTTCATCGATGTTATATCAATAAGTTAATTTTAACTTCTTTCTAAGGAGTTACTAACTTGCTATGAAAAAAGCAGTGTCTTTGATGAAATTTGCCAAAGGTTTTTTTCTGAGATTTAAAAGAACCTTTTCTCCAGAATGGGTCTTCTTTAAATGCAAGATACAGTAGATAGATAAAAGTGTGGGATAATTTGCGTTGTTCTCGCTTTGTATTTGATAGCTGGCTTTGATAGAATAAATATACTAGACTGCATAACTGTACAAGGTGTTGTAAATGAGGGAGGCAAGGACGAAGACAGTTCTTAGAGAATTGTAGCTGTGAGTCATGCTACCCAGAGTAGTCTTGCTTGGATTTCACCTCATTCAGGCTTCCAGACTGTAATCATTTCAGATCTAGGACTGATATGAAGAATCAACAATAAATATGTTCTGGTTTAGTTTTTTTGGTTTTTTTTCTAATGACTTAGAAGTGCGGTAATATTGTTTCAACTATTTTCACAATTATCTGTCTATAGATATTGCAGAAAAAACAGATAGTTGCTTAATTACTTTTCTGTTGTTTATATAATTTTTTATATAGTTGGAATTGACCTTTCATTCATTTCTGCAACTGTTTATTGATTGTTGGCATATGAAATTCTCCTGACCACGTTTTCTCTCCCAAAAGGCGAGGAAGAAGCCGTTCCTGCTAAAAAGACAAAGACAATTGTTTCGACTGCTCAGATTTCACAAACAAGACAAGCCAGAATTGAAAAGGTATAATTTCCAAAAACAAAGCAGGTAAGGCTAAAATGTGGATGATTACTTCTACAGTATCTCACCCTAGTATTTTTCTCTTGTTTTTCGTTGTAGAAGACTGAAGCCCACTTTGATGCCAGATCACTTACAAGTGTTGAAATGATTGTAGAAGGTGCAGCCACCCAACAGCTCCCACACAAAGCACCTCCACGAATGCCTCCTAGACCTACATCAAAATCACCAACCCCACCAACTGCTGTAAAAGCACAAATGGCACGACAGCAATCACCATCACCTGTTAGACAGTCACCATCACCTGTAAGACATGTCAGAGCACCAACACCCTCACCAGTAAGGTAAAACTACCATTGTTTCAAACAATATTGGTTTTGAATCACTTTCACGTATAGCAGTAATGCTGTAGCATGAGAGCATGGTATAAAATGGCACTTATTACTTACTGAGTTTATTTTGGTGGCTAGTTATAATGTGCTATACTTGCCACTTCTACAGAAGTCTGTGCCTCCTATGTACACTTTCTGTCCAGTGTGAAAGAAAATCCCTTTTGATTGCCTTGTATAGAGCCAAAGTAGCACTCAAAACTCCAAGATCATGATGAAAGGGAAGAAAACAGTACAGCAGTTGGCCCTTGATTATTGTAGATGAACAGAGAAAAGAACAATGACACTGATGAGTGACAAACATAATGAAAGGATATGGAAAAAAATGTGAACACATGTTCCGTGTGCATACTGGTAATGACTGTAGAAATAACGTTTTGAAGGTAGGCAAGCTAAAGGTGGTTATGGAAAAATGAAGTTTAGCTCTGCTCTGTAGAGCCTCTTGAGAGGGAAAGTGAGTGGTTTGAAGAGCAGGGCTTGTGGTCTCAGAGACCCCATGACATCTGTGCTGAGAGGCAGACAAAAAGAAGATTGCTTTGGAAATCCTGCAGTTGCAGTATCCTGAAGCAGTGGTATCATGGAAGGAATGTCTTCAAGCTGAGTGCCCAGAAGAGCCCCATTTAAGTCGTCAGAGCTATGCATGCTGGTGAATTTTGCCCCACTGAGAATAACTCGAAAGGACAGGAAGAAACGGATTGATAGTAACTAGCAATAACTAGCAAACTGCAAACACAGAAAAAGGATTAAATAGTGCCATCTAGAGAGCATATGTAACTAGAAGTTTGTACTCCCTTGCTAGTCAGACCAGTTTTAGACAACACAACACATTAGAAAATATATCTAAAAAATAATATGATGATGCTGCCCCCTACTGATGCTATTTGTTAACGTTCTCTGGGAAATATAGCACAAAAAAATTCCACTCCGAGAAATTCTAGTTAGAAAGCCTATTAAAGTATTTTGGAAAATGCTTTAAAACTGTCTGCTAGGATTAGGATTGAATTTTTCAAAATTTAGAAACTAGCACTTTCCAAATGACTTACAATTATTATGGTTGAGATTTGTAAATGTAAGTATGGGGAAAAAGATAGGCACTGATCAGAAGCTTGCCTGGGGTATGAGTACATGTATGGATGACATATGGAAATGAGATGTGATACAGTAGTAGATACAGTTGTTTTTCTACGTGGTTGCCACATGATATTTTTACAAAGTTTGGTTACATTAACCATTTTGTCTCTCTACAGAGACTGGACTACGAATGTAATATGTAATACTTACAGCATGTAAGCCTTTTATATTATTCCTTTTAGGAGAATTAGGATAGAGTAAATGGAAAGTCATGATGAATTTTTATATTTTAAATATATGTGCTTGAGTGAAATTTCCTTTACCACTTGCTTTTATTTCTTTCTGGAACCTAGGATATTAAAAAGACATGTAACAGTTATGAGTATGACAAAACCACACATATTAGGCATATTGTTAGGCACATAGATTAGTGTAATTTACAAGTCAAACACGTCAAAAATTTTTTAAAATCAAACTACATATTACTGAAGGTACCCTAATTATGGAGTGAAATCAAGTTCAGGCAGAAGTTTTTTATACAGTTGTCATTCTATGACACTGGATTAATTACATCAATACTCTGGTTTTTTTCAATAGGTCGGTTTCTCCTGCTGGAAGAATCTCCACCTCCCCTATCAGACCAGTGAAGTCTCCATCTCCAATCCGTAAACCATATGTAGTGACAACAGTTGGGGCTGAAGTCCTTCCTCCTTGGAAGCAGGAAGGATATGCTGGAACCATGGAAGCCCAGATGAAGGAAACAAGAGTATCCACAAGCACTACCCAAATAACTGAAGAGAGATGGGAGGGGACATATGGGGTCCAAGAACAAGTTACCGTTACTGGTGCTACTGCTGGCGAGATGGTGACTGGTGCTAGAGAGGTAAAGTCTATTACTGGGAAAAACATTGGGTTTGCTTTATGTGGGGTCTCACTACTGCTGAATAGTTCTGCTAAATGGCATCTGAGAGGCTGTGTGTAAAAACCTGTGTATCTGCTGTTGAGTTCTGCTGCAAACACAGAAATGCTTCTTTGCAACATGTGTCTCTGTACTTGTTTTGTGCTTCTTCTGAATGTATGCAAAACATGAAAAAATGTTTTTTGATGTGACTAATATAGGTGAGAAAGGACAGTGAAAAAACAGCAGCTGTTGCTACGGTTGTTGCTGCTGTGGATCAAGCCATGGTGAGAGAACCAGCTCCAGGTGTTGTAGAGCAAACTGCTAAAAGGACAGCAATGACTGCAGTCCACGTTCAACCTGTTCAGGAGCAGGTAGAAATAGAGCACAGACATTCTCTGATTTCCCTTTTATCCCTTCATCCAACATGCAAACAAGGCATGACTGACTGTGAGGAATTAACCAGATATTACCCAGTGCACTGCAAAAGCATGTATACTCATATAGAGAAGCTAGATGTAAACGAATGCTCGTGGTTCACTTATCCATTGCATTCCATCATAGCAGGATTGAACTAATTATTTTTAAACTGTTTTTAAGGTTAAGAATTCCTTCTGTGAAAGTGACCCTGTATTCTTCCTTTTCATTGCTAACATTATTCTTACAATGATGAAGTTTTTTTCTCTAATATCTCATTTATAATTTCCCCCTAGGAATAAAATAATCCTCCCTTAGTATTTTTCCTTCACTTGCATTCCTCTCTATTTTTCCTTCTCCTCTTATTTTGATGGTCAATTTGTTAAAGTGAATTTTAAGGCTTGGGTTTTTTGTTTGTTGCTATAAAAATTCAGATGAAAAAGGAGGCAACGGTAGTAGTTACCAGTGATAAATCCACAAAACAAACAGTGATATCAAGAACTAGAGAAGGAATTGTCACTTCACAAGAACAAAGGCACATCTCTCATGAAAAGGTGAATACGGATGTTACCAGTGATTGTTATACCCTACCTTGTTCAAAAATCTAATATCTCATACACAAGACAAGCCTATGAACAAGACAACTGATATACCATTATGCTGTTTTTCTCTTTTATATATGTTCGCTCTCCCAGTTTGTATTGCTATTATTTTCCTGTCTCTCCTTGATGATAACTGTCTTTCCTTTTTTATTTCACTTCCACTATTAATACCTAAGAATGTGATAGATAAACTTGCAAAACATTAATTTAGAAAAACTCTCTTTTTCATATATTGTACAGTAATTTACTAGATAGTATTCATAATCACTTAAAGAATTGACATGTAGGAAACAGTTCTTAAATTTGGTTACGCTTTTTTTTTTCTGATTTTGTCTCTAAGCTTGCCATTTGTAGCCTGCTTTGTTTGTTGGCAGCACAGTGGGTCAGAAAAAGGAGGAAAAACTCATTCTGCATTGAAATCAAATTTGAAAATACCAATGAATGATTTGAATTCAGATTATTTTAGCATGTATTTTATCGGACAAATATGATTTAATGGAAGACTGGCTTTTATAGAGAAGATTACATTTGCAATGTAGTTGAAATGTGTAAGGAAGAAAGTGTAACCTATCTTTAAAGCACTGAAAAACAGAAATTCACCTGGGCATTACACCTAAATTTGGCATCTGAATTCTTGTCAAAGTGAAAGTTACCTAAAATTTGGTTTTAATATCCTACACTTTCTCAAACTGATGATAATGCAGGACAGTTTTTCTCTGAGCCATTTTTTAAAATTTTTATTACTGCTTTCAATATCAAAGCAAGCATTTGTGGAATGTTTTATTATTTTTATGTTAAATCTTTTATACAAAGTCTGTTTATGTTGTTATTGTTGTCTTCAGACCAGATGATTTCAAAATACAGAGTCTGAAATACTTCCTCCCTTTTTTTCTATCCTTTTTTCCAAATGCATTGACAATCACATACCTTATATTTTAAAACAATATATCATTTAAACTTCTTTATTTGTAAATGTCCAGGTGAGAAAAGAACCAGAGAAAACTCCGGTACCCACAGTAATAATTGCCACAGACAGAGCCAGAGAACAAGAAAGAATATCAAGAGCTAGAGAAGAAATATCTACCACACATGAGCAGGTGCACGTAGCTCATGAAAAGGTAAATAAATGTTACAATCTTTAGTTCATTGAGATACTCTAATAAGTTTATAAAACATCATTCTTCATCACATGTGCTATGTAACTTTGCTGTCCTTCTTTATGAAAAGAAGGTTACAAAATAAAAACTTTATAAAGCAAGTTATTCCAGAGATAAGGCCAGAACTGCAGCTCAGTTCCACTGACCTCATAGCAGCTCTGTCTACAGAGGAGTGCAGCTGCCCTTCTGATCCTTTGGGCGTTATGGCTTTTATTGCCAGGGTACACTGATTTTTATCTGATGCTTAATGACTTCTTTTTTTTCTGAAGGTAGATTTCTGAATATAAATTTTAAAGGTTATCTTTCATGACATGATATTTAGAGGAGTTTGATTTAATGAAGTTCATATTTGTGTGAGGACTGAATGCATCTGTTAGACCATATTGTGGAACCACTGTTTGCTGGAGTAACTGATTAAATAGTTCTATCTACTAATGGGAATAAATGTTAAGTCAGCAATAATAATTTTTATTCAAACATTTTCTACGAAACATAGCAATGATACATCACAATTAACTAGGAAGTGGGAAGATTCTTCTCTAATTCACACACAGATGAATGCACTATGTTAATAGCTTTGAATGCACTCCTCTCAGCTAGCGTATAAGATGGGCTATAACTTGGTTATAAAGGAATTATTCCAATTCTGAAGTGATGTTTATATCTTGTTGATATACATTCTGAAACCTTATCCTGCATTCCCAAAAAGCTGTGTAATTTTGACAACAGGCATAATTGATTACTATTATTTTTCTTTACCATAAAAAATAGATAAGAAAGGAAGATATGAAACCTTCTGTACCTAAGGTAGTAATTACCACTGATAAACCTAGACCACCGGTCACAATATCGAAAAGTAGAGAAAGAATTGCTTCCAAACAAGAACAAATCACCATAACACATGAAAAGGTGAATAGCACTATTATAACCATAACTGGTTTTTATCCTTTCTTCTTTACAAACCTCAGGTTTTCCTCAAAAAATACTAACTATACTTTTTGAGCTCATTTTTTTTATGATTATTCCACTGACAAACTTTTAGACCTATTGCTAATTAGACTAAATTATTTCACCTCTATCTTCCTCTTCTGTTTTCCTTAATAGGATGCTCATAATTATTTTCTGACTGACTTTTGGAATGGACTGACTGATTCCTGAAATGCATTTTAACTTTTTTTTTAAATAATTACTTTTATTTAAATAAGTGCCAAGGTGTAACAATACTTACCAGTACACATATAATACAGAGATGTGTGCAATGCACAAGGATCTAACCACTTAATTCTCCTTCCCTGTTACCATTCTAAAATGTTTTCTGATTGTTCAAATATCTTTCACGATCGTATGTAAATGAAACTTTTTTGTCTGCTATAAAAACTAGATTAAAAAGGAAACTAAGAAAACTACTGTAGTTCCAAAAAGAATTGCCACTGATAAAAACAAAGCACCAGTCACAGTGTCCAGAACTGGCAAGAAATTACAACCAATAAGAGGTCCTTGTTACCTAAATACTACTTTAATAAGAAAACACAATCTCTGTAAACAATCACATTTTGGCCTCAGTTAAGTTATTTTAGTTTAAGTTTATAACAATTTCAAAATATACATGAAATGATCTATTAGGTTTTTTCCCATTTACAAGGCATACATTTCATATGTTCTGTTGCTATATCCAGATCATTTATGACAATAATGGTAAAAAATACTAGTAGTCATCCTATTACATACTACTGGCTGACGGGACAGAAGTTTGGACCCTGATAACATAGAAGCTAACAATATTTATCAATTATTAGAAACAAATAGAAGTCGTGATACAAATGCATTATTTCCAAATTACCAGAAATCTCAGTCTCCCTTCTTTTGTAAAATCCTTTAAAATAGATTAGCACTGAATTAACAAATATCCCTGTGAAAAAATTTTTATGGGTATATTTCTTAGTAAATACATTCACATCAGACGCTGGACACATTCCTTACATTCCTTATATCTAACAGTTATATGGAGCTGATGAGCATACTTTAAAACTATGTACACATTTACATACCTGCATCCTCTTATACAAGTGGCCACAAATATGACTATAAAGTTTAAAAATGAACTTGCAGACAAATATTGATATGTATAAACAGAGAAGCATAGATATATTCTGAATGTGCAGAGATAACACTTAGAGAAAAAACACATATTTGAATCTACTGATTCTGAAGTGTATTTACAGGTGTATACTTTTGAGGTTTACATCATTACTTTTGCATAACTACACTCTCTCCTTGTCTGGAATATACTGAACATTTAACTATTTGTCATGTATATAAGTTTTCAAAATAATGATGAATATTTGTATAAATTCTGCCGATGTTATCTATAGACTGAAGCTGGAAAAAAGGCTGAAGCTGTAGCTACAGTCGTTGCAGCAGTTGATCAGGCACGCGTTCGATCACCCTGGCAACCAGAACAAGCAGAAGAAGCTTATGTAAAGCAGAAAACTTTGGAGTATGGCTATAAAGAGGACCATGTTTCTGAGGCCCCAGCAGAACGTCACGTTGTCACTAAAGAAGTTAAAACTGTCTACGTTCCTCCTGAGAAACATATCTCAGCTGCTGAAAAGCAAGAAGTTCATATATCAAAAGAGGTTAGACTTAATTTACATCATATTCTTTTCCAGAAACCATGTCCCAGTGAAATCTGTTTCAGTTTGGAGAACAGCATCACATTTTCAACAACTTTTTTCATTGCTTTGTGTAGATAAAAAGAGCAACAGAAACTGAGAAAATATTTCACGTTGAACAGCCACGACCCCGCACAGCAAGTCCTCATTTCACGGTTGCCAAAGTTGCTGTTCCTAAACCAGATCATACCTATGAGGTAAGTTAAAGTTGTATCCAAGAAGACCAGCATGCTCATTTTCAATACCCAGTAGGTGACCTATTTCATTTGGCTTTTCCTCCCACTCTAGTGTGATGCTTTCCCAAGAAGAGTTGTATGCTCTCTACAGTTATTTTTGTAAGCTTGTTTGACTAATGAAGAACACTGCTGTAAACAGACAGATGAATATCTGAAATGCAGATATTCAAAATTTAACCAATTTTATAATCTGTTTGAGAATGCAGCTTCAGTACTTCCTGTCAAATAGTGAAATTGTAGATATTTGTCGTGCAAATTATGTTTTTCAAAGAGCAGAAGTGTCCCTCTTCAATCTTATTATGTGCATCAGTTCACTAGAAGACTGGAAAGAGTGCTTTTTTCTTCCTTGCAGATTAATATATACTAAGCTATCTTTTAAAATAGAAAAAATCCAGACTGCATAATACGACACCATCTATTTTTTAACGTTATTCTTTCCACTATTCTGTTTGACTCCTTCACATAGTATTAGAATTTCCCAAGTAATTAATTTTGTCATTCAAGCATACTTTCTCTCTTCACTTGAATTTTAAAAATTATTTTTTCCTAAAACATAACTAAACACTGTTAAAATATTTTTATTTAAATATTTGTGTATATTTTAAAAAATTATTTCACCTATAATAAGATTTTGAAATCCTCTCAGTTATTTTAATTACTAACAGTTATGTAATTAGTAGTATTGTTTATTGCAGTATCAGACTAATTAAATGGAAAGCTAAGGTCTTAAGTGAAGAAACAGAGAGGACATTTCTTATATTGCACTTAAGAACTTCTTAGCCATTTAAAGATCACATTTTAAAGTAAAAAAAAAAATCTGAATGTTAGATACATCAAAAATAATACTAGGATATTACATAGCTAGTATTTTACTGATGCAATGATACTATTCATTTTTGTATATATTGTTTTTTCAGTGTCAAAACCCAAGTAAGTAAGGAAGCAACTGCTGCATGTGCTATCTGCTCAAGAAATATACTCTCTCCTTTAAAAATAAAACAACAACAAAGCTGAAACTTTTTCTCTTCCGTTCCTTAGGTTTCAATAGCTGGATCTGCCATGGCCACTCTAGAAAAAGAGTTATCAACTACTTCTGCTGTGCAAAAGATCACCAAGCCTGTGAAGCCACCTCAACTGAAGCCACATGAAGTCAGAATGAAAGCAGAGCCAGTTGCCCCTCCACAGTTTCCCTTTGGAGAGGGTGTTGAAACTAAAAAAGAGATAAGCATTAAAAGTGAAGCAGTGCGGGAAGAACACCTGGTGTTCCAGAAAGAAGGTGAAGCAAAGGTATGTTATTAAGAGAATTTCTATCTCTTTGACTAACTGTCATCTTAAAGATATAGAATAGCTTCACTTTTTTTGTGGTTTTCTTACTGCAGTTTTCCACTTTTAAAACATTCTGCTGTCTTTTATCTTTTTGTTACACACAAATCTTTCTAATATTTACCAATGACAAGCAAAGAATTTACATTATCTGATTTATTTTCTTATTTAATTTATGCTGTTTATGTCTTTGAGTTTGTTAAGTGTTTATTAATTATCTTTTAAACAACCTAGGTGACAGAAACTGCCAGAGTTCCAGTGCCTGCAGAAATCCCTGCTACTCCACCCACCTTAGTCTCAGTAAGTAATTTGTGTGTAGATTAGGGGAGTTACAACACATTTTCAGCCTTTTTAATCTAATTTTCGTCTCTGAAAACCTAACCATTGAAAGTTGGCTTTATTTAATCTTTTTAACTCTATATTAGACTTATTGAGTCATATAATTTATCTCTGACACAAACTCTTCCGGATGTCTGTTAAGGAGGTGAATCTTCACAATTAGGTCACATAGAAGGTTGACCTATCTGCACAAACATCAACCTACCATTTCATTTTATTAATAACAGTAATGTTCAGAGATCCTAAAATCCAGTTTCAAATACTTCCCTTTGGAAAATGCCTTTTTTTTTTTTCTTGGATACACTGCTGAACAGAACACTATTCTGAAGTAGATATTAAATTTTCCATTCAAATAGGTTTTACTTACTTAAGTGTCTGTTTATTAGTGAAAATATATACTGACTGTGATACTTATTCTTTGTCATACAGGGCCTCAAAAATAAGACTGTGACTGAAGGTGAGTCTGTCACTCTGGAGTGCCATATATCTGGTCATCCTCAGCCTACCGTGACATGGTACAGAGAAGACTACAAGATTGAGAGCTCAATGGACTTCCAGATCACTTTTCAAGCAGGACTTGCTCGCCTTGTAATTCGTGAAGCCTTTGCAGAGGACAGTGGTAGATTTACCTGCACTGCTACCAATAAGGCTGGGAGCGTCAGCACATCTTGCCACTTACATGTGAAAGGTAAGTATATTTATAGAATCATGGAATTGTTTAGGTTGAAAAAGACCCTTAAGATCATTGAACCCAACTATTGACCCAGAACTGCCAAGTCCACCACTAAACCATGTCCCTAAATGCCACAGAACACATCTTTTAAATACTTCCAGGGTGGAGGTGGCATTTAAAAGTCAGCCCCAGGTGACCCATGAGTAGCCAGTTCCAACATCTGATAACCCTTTCAGTGAAGGGTTTCCTAATATTGAAACTAAACCTCCCTTGGTGCAACTCGAGGACAGGTCCTTTTGTCACTGTAGGAAGTTAATAATTTTGTTAACTGTATATTACTTGTAATGTATCATAGACATTTTGTCAGTTCCAAAGTAGAACATATGCCCTGAGTTGTATTCCAGGGCTATTAGGTAAAAGGACTGTAAGAATATGAGGGAAAGGCCAATTATGGGCAGATGGAGACTCTTAACCTGCTTCCTCAGTGGAAGTACCTAGCCCTCTAAGGCAAACAACTATTTACTCTTTTTGTGTCAACTAAACTCACTGCTTAAGGCTTATTGAAGTATTTTAAAATCCACTATATCATATTTGCCTTGCAGTTACTGAAGAAATTGAGACTCGAGAAACCATTTCTGAGAAGGCTGTTAGAGAAGAGAAACGGTAAAGTTCCTGTCCTAAACAGACTGCTCCTACTGCAGTCATTAGATTCTTGCACTCTGTTTATGAGAGCTTCAGACATCAGCTCACTTACCTGCCCTGAAATCTTATTTCAGCTATGTGGAGACAAAGGACATTGTAATGGAAGATGTCTCTGCTGCAGCAGAGGAAGTATCGGGAGAACCCATACCTCCTTTCTTCATAAGAAAACCCATGGTGCATAAATTAATTGAAGGTGGGAGCATTATATTTGAATGCCAAGTAGGGGGCAACCCAAAGCCACATGTCTACTGGAAAAAAGGTGGAGTTCCTCTAACGACTGGCTACAGGTACTTTGAATACAATGCAAAAAAACTGCTTAAACATAATTTTTAAGAATATTTAATTGAAAGTATAGTAATTTTGATTTCCTTACTGATGCTGAGCCAAATAACATCATTGATTTCTGTGAAATTTTGGTTTTTTAAATGGAAATATTAAAACATTGTCTTAATGTGTGACTTCAGAAAGCCACTAAATTTTAATATGTTTAAAATATTTAAAATATTAAAAAATTCAAAAGACCATAAAATGAGAGATACTACATATCCTTATAAACAAATCAGAAAGAAGTTTTGCATTTGTTTTATTCTGTCTCTTCAATGTTTGCATTCTGTCTATGCAAATTTTGACCATGGAAAGCAACACACTTTCTAGCTGAGAAAAAATTTACATTTGTAACATTCTTGAAATAATCATGCTATAATGACCCATATTAGGACAAACTGTGTGCACACAGCATATACCATTATATTTTCTCTCATAACTAGACCTCTGATATTTCAGTACTGGCGTTTGGATCCTGTTTGTTTAGTGACAAAAAAATGAAAGTAGACCAGTATTCCAGTTTCAGTATGGTTATTTTTCCTACATGGTCCTGCAAATTCATTGAGTGAGAACTGCCTGCAAAACTTTCTCTTTTTGTGTCTTGTACAAGCTAGGAGCGATTCTCATTAACTGTATAACTAAAAGCAAATTCACTAAAATGTCTGTTCATCAGAAATATAGAGATTTTTTACTTTTATGTTTTCTATAGATACAAAGTGAGTCACAAAAGAGAAACCGGGGAATGCAAACTTGAAATTTCCATGACTTTTGCCGACGATGCCGGAGAATACACTATTGTTGTTCGTAATACTCATGGAGAAGCTTCTGCAACGGTCTCCTTACTAGAAGAAGGTACACCGTAGATTAAGGAAATGGGAAAAATACTTCTTAAATCTAACTTTAAAATTGGAAAAAGATTTTCAGATGTGTTGCAAAATCTTGGCAGCTTAGTTTATTCAGCTCAGGAAACATAAAGGGAGACCTGGTGGCTCTGTTTCTACAAGACCAAGTATCTGGCATCAGGTTCTTAAAGGACTATTCTTTACTAGAATCTGTAGCTATTGGAAGTCTTCTGTTGACAAACATAACAGTCTACATAAGATATTGAGAGTGTGATATGGGGAAAGAAGGTTAATTCAGTAATACGTTGTTCTCTTAGAGGGAAAGTTGCTAATATTATTTTAGTTACCCTGTAAAAATGTATGAAGTTAGCAGGAGACAGAATCATGGTGAAGAAATAGTAAAATCATCTCTACAGGTGTGTCCGCTTTGAGAACTAGAATATCTAAATAGCACAGTAAAACTTTTACCTGTTTATAAAGTTTATATGATTACATGATTCTTTGCCTTGTATTGCAATTTGTATTTATTAACTAAACAGACAGAAAGTCTGCCTGAATCACCAAAACCAGTAAAATAAGTTTTTATTTGTTTTCGCTGTTCCATCCAGAGAAAACCACAAAAAACTTACCAAAATTAATGTGTTCTCAATTCTTAGCTGATTACGAAGCCTATATAAAATCACAAGAAATGATGTATCAAACTCAGATGACCGCATATGTACAGGAACCTAAAGTGGCTGAGGTAGCCCCACCTATTTCATATGGTGACTTTGACAAAGAGTATGAAAAAGAACAAGCTCTAATTAGGAAGAAAATGGCAAAAGATACAGTGGTGGTCAGAACTTTTGTGGAAGATGAGGTATGTCCAGCACTCCATACTAATAATTTTGTATGCTGATGTTATACCATACAAATAATTTATTTACAAGGTCATTTTCTGACACAGAGAACTAATGGTCTTGTTTTTCTGTATAGGAATATCATATTTCTTCTTTTGAAGAAAGACTTATCAAGGAAATTGAACTCAGAATTACTAAGACTACCTTACATGAACTACTCGAAGAAGATGGAGAGGAGATGATGGTTGATATTTCTGAATCTGAAGCTGTACAAGCAGGATTTGATTTAAGATTAAAGAATTACAGAACCTTTGAAGGGACAGGAGTTACTTTCCATTGCAAGACATCTGGATATCCATTGCCAAAGGTACCCCAAATCTGTGTAACTTAAATTTTTTTAAAAAATCATCTGATGGTATACTTAGAAAAAATACCTTGGAAAACATCTCATTGTCAGACATTCTACATTCTGCATAAAAAACAGCAGTTCTCAAAGGAAATCCAGTCTTCTGTATTGATATTAAACTGATTTTTTCTTTCACCCTTCATAGAATAGTGTTAAGTTGGTTAGCCAGTTCAGAGTCGGGTTAGATTTACCAATTAAGTTGGTCCTACTTCTGAGTGTCTCTGCGGCAGCCTGGACATGTGGGGAACACAGTAGCAGTCCAGTCTAGGTCACTTTGCTCTTCATCAAAATGGGTTATATATCTGTTCCTAGCTCCAAAACTCATGTTTCAGGCTACTGTGTAAACATGTTACTTTATTCTTACCTATTGCAAGTAAAAATGTTGTTTTAACACATATACATGGGCTATGATGATGCATCAGCTGAAAAATTAGAAGTTGTAGTATGTTGTATGTATGGATCATAACTGGATCTTTTTCTTTAGGAGAGTTCACATAGCAGTCCTTTGTTTCTTTCCATGCAGGTTGCATGGTACAAAGATGGTAAACGCATAAGGCATGGAGAGCGCTACCACATGGAAGTTCTGCAGGATGGCAGTGCCAGTCTGCGTTTGCCTGTTGTTTTACCTGAAGATGAAGGAATTTATACTGTCTTTGCCAGCAATATGAAAGGAAATGCGATTTGCTCAGCAAAACTGTATGTTGAGCCTGTTGCACCGACAGCAACTCCAGGTTATATGCCAGGACCAGAAGTTATGAAAAGATATAGGTAGGTACACAGTAATACAATTTCATGAGACTTCAATTTGCTGTGATAGACAGCAAAACCTCATTATTCAGCACTTAAACAGCTTAAGTGATTGGAGTTTGCATACCTCTGGAAAAATTCTAAATGCTGTTTTCATGACTTATATTGATTTATATGCCAACTCTTTGTGTGATTTGCCTTCTTAATGAGCAATGCAGTTCCCAGAGTACTATCATTCACATGCATATCCAGCCACAGTATCAGATTTACAATGTCAATAACCATATCTATTTCTTGAAGTAATAATGTTTTGGAAAAAAACTTTTCTGCACTTGGAGTTTTAGTGCAGTGTGCAGCTATTATTTCCTGCCCTTGAAATAGCTGTATTTCTATGACAGAAAAAAATCAAGTGTTGCCATGTTCAGTCTCCATACACATACACACCCCCACACAAATGTACACAGGATTACATCTGTGCAGTATCCGATACCCAAAATTTCCCTGGTTGTGGTATATCCTAATACAACTCAGCTATACAAATTCCTTTCAAAAATCTAAAGAAAACCGGCTGGAAATAAAAAATAATTTGTCAAAATATCTCACAAAGATAAGTTTGGCCAAACTCTTTTAAATAAATTATGATAAAGGCAAAAGTTGAAATCTGTTTATCATGTCAACCCCCCTCTATATGACATTGCCATACACATCTGTGTTATCTTTTACTTCCAGATCTATTTCTCCACGCTCCCCAAGCCGGTCTCCTGCCCGCAGTTCTCCTTCTCGTTCTCCTGCCCGCAGATTAGAAGAAACTGATGAAGGACAACTGGAGAGACTGTATAAACCAGTTTTTGTGCTGAAACCTACATCATTTAAATGTTCACAGGGGCAGACAGCAAGATTTGACTTAAAAGTTGTTGGTAGACCTATGCCAGAGACATACTGGTTCCATAATGGTATATCAACCTCATTTTCATCAACAAATAATCATAAAAAACCATCTTACATGCCTTTTACGTCTTGTTGAGACACTGTTTTGAGTGCAACTGTTTTCTTTTCATGTGCATCTGCAGGTCAACAAGTCATTAATGACTACACCCATAAAATAGTGATTAAAGAAGATGGCACCCAGTCACTGATCATTGTCCCTGCAATGCCTGAGGACTCTGGAGAATGGGCTGTAATTGCTCAGAACAGGGCAGGCAAAGCTTCAGTCTCAATGACACTGACTGTGGAAGGTATCTACTGTACAGACTCTTGTAGGAGTCTGATGAGTGTTTCCTATTAAAAACCATGGCCACGTCATTTCCTCTTGCGATAACTTACCCTCACTCTTTCAGCTAAGGAAGACCTAGTCAGACCACACTTTGTGGAAAGGCTGAGGAATGTCAGCGTGAAGGAGGGCTCTAGACTGGAAATGGCAGTGAAAGCTACTGGTAACCCTAATCCTGACATTGTATGGCTGAAGAACAGTGACATCATTGTGCCTCACAAATACCCCAAAATAAAGTAAGAATCTTTATTTAATTTGAATTTATTTTATTTAAATTTAAATTTTATTTCAATTGAAATTTCTTTTTTTTTTTTAATTTAAAATACTTTATTTAAGTAAAGGAGTTAATAATCACCATCCTGCAAAATGCCTCCTACAGTGTGCTGAATACTCTTGCTTTCAGAGAAGGGATTCACTAAGGGCTTTTACATTGCAGCAAGGATTAGAGATATGAAATAGCTTGTAGGACTCACTCCATTTTCTCCAGCTCGTGTATTTGTATAGTTGTATTATGCAAAGCCAATGCTTTTACAACAGAGATTTAGGGAACTTTCTCTGCCTATGGTTTTGAAGTCCTCTGCAGGCAAAACTGCCACTCAATTCAACACTGGTTTTTATTGTCTTTATCTATTTGATTCTTAGGCACGTGCCTCATAAACATGAACAAACATAAACAACATGTCTATTACCTCCAGAGATTTGCCTTTGGAGGCTTTGACCTAATTTGGAAGAAGGGCAAAAATGAATGACGAAGAAGTAAAAAACAGTTAATTTTTATTATTTTTTTTTGTATTTCAGGATTGAGGGAACCAAAGGGGCAGCTGCCCTTAAAATTGAATCTACTGCCAGGCAAGATGCTGCATGGTATACTGCTACTGCTATCAATAAAGCTGGGCGGGACACTACCCGCTGCAAAGTAAATGTTGAAGTTGAACATACAGAACCTGAACCAGAAAGGAGATTAATAATTCCAAAAGGAACTTACAAAGCCAAGGAGATTGCAGCACCAGAGTTAGAGCCTCTCCATTTGCGTTATGGTCAAGAACAATGGGAGGAAGGAGATCTCTATGACAAGGAAAAGCAACAGAAACCATTTTTTAAGAAGAAGCTCACATCTCTAAGGCTCAAACAATTTGGACCAGCCCACTTTGAATGCAGGCTTACACCAATTGGTGACCCAACCATGGTGGTGGAGTGGTTGCATGATGGCAAACCCTTGGAAGCAGCTAACAGACTCCGCATGATCAATGAGTTTGGGTACTGTAGCCTGGACTATGGAGTAGCCTATTCCAGAGACAGTGGAGTGATTACTTGTAGGGCGACTAACAAATATGGTACAGACCATACCTCTGCTACTCTGATTGTGAAGGATGAGAAAAGCCTTGTGGAAGAATCCCAGCTGCCAGAAGGCAAAAGGGGACTGCAGCGAATCGAAGAGTTAGAAAGAATGGCCCATGAGGGTGCTCTACCTGCAGTTGCACTGGACCAAAAGGAAAAACAAAAACCAGAAATTGTTTTGGTTCCTGAACCTGCAAGAGTCTTGGAAGGTGAAACAGCACGATTCCGCTGTCGTGTGACTGGCTATCCTATGCCCAAGGTCAACTGGTACCTCAATGGACAGCTCATCCGTAAAAGCAAAAGGTTTAGACTCCGTTATGATGGAATCTACTACCTGGATATTATGGACTGCAAATCATATGACACAGGAGAGGTGAGAGTCACTGCAGAGAATCCAGAAGGCTTTATTGAACATAAGGTGAAGCTTGAGATCCAGCAAAGGGAAGATTTCAGATCTGTTCTTCGTCGTGCTCCTGAACCCAAACATGAGCCTGCAGTGACAGAACCTGGGAAACTTCTCTTTGAGGTACAGAAGGTAGACAAACCTGCAGAAACAACAACCAAAGAAGTAGTGAGGCTGAAAAGGGCTGAAAGAATCACTCATGAGAAGCTTTCAGAGGAATCTGAAGAGCTGCGTAGTAAATTCAAGCGTAGGACAGAAGAGGGCTACTATGAAGCCATCACTGCTGTGGAACTTAAGTCTCGCAAAAAAGATGAATCATATGAAGAAATGCTAAAAAAGACAAAAGAAGAACTTCTTCACTGGACCAAAGAGATCCCAGAGGAAGAGAAGAAAGCACTTCCTCCTGAAGGCAAAATCACCATTCCAACAATCAAACCAGGGAAGGTGGAGCTTAGTCCAAGCATGGAGGCTCCCAAGATACTTGAACGAATTCAAAGCCAGACTGTAGCCCAGGGAACAGATGCACACTTCCGTGTGAGAGTAGTGGGAAAACCAGATCCTGAGTGCCAGTGGTTCAAAAATGGTGTGCAGATTGAAAGGACTGATCGTGTGTATTGGTACTGGCCTGAAGATAATGTTTGTGAATTAGTCATCAGAGATGTGACTTCTGATGATTCTGCCAGCATCATGGTGAAAGCAATCAATATAGCTGGTGAAACTTCTAGCCATGCTTTCCTGTTAGTACAAGGTAATTTAAATTCTCTTACTCATCCCACTGCTCATTATAGTGTGTTAAGTCTATATGGCCAGTGCACTGTTGATTCATTACATATTATTTTGCAGCCAAGCAGTTAATCAGCTTCACCCAGAAGTTACAAGATGTTGTTGCTAAATCAAGGGACTCCATGGCAACTTTTGAATGTGAGACATCAGAACCCTTTGTCAAAGTGAAATGGTTTAAGGATGGAATTGAGATTCACTCTGGAGACAAGTACAGAATGCACTCAGACAGAAAGGCTCACTTTCTTTCTGTACTAACAATTGATATGAATGATGCTGATGACTACAGCTGTGTACTGGTAGAAGATGAATCCATAAAAACTACTGCAAAGCTTACTGTTGAAGGTAAGAAGCTTGCAGCTCAGTACCATGCAATACTGCTAAAGTGAAATCAACTTCAGAAAGAAAGAAAGCAATTTAAACAGATGTCCAATGCCCTATGAAATGTTAAGCTGCTTTCATATTTTTGGAATCCAGAATGACGATTTGGAGATATATTTGTGTAAAATGATTACACTATATATATATATATTTCCTTAGGCTCATTTAGTAAGAAATGTTTTCCTCAGGAGTATATCATGAAGCTTATTCACAAATGTAATTACTTTTGCCTGTAGGTGCCGTCGTGGAGTTTATCAAAGAACTTGAGGATATCGAAGTACCAGAATCTTTGTCAGGTGAACTTGAATGTGAGGTTTTCCCAGAAGATGTGGAGGGGAAATGGTATCATGGTGATGTTGAACTCACTTCTAATCTTAAATATGTGATTGCATCCCGCCGTGGTCGTCAAATCCTCACTATTAAGGACGTTAATAAAGATGATCAAGGAGAGTATAGCTTTGTCGTTGATGGAAAAAGGACTCAATGCAAACTGAAGATGAAGCGTAAGCATTTCTAATACTTATATTGTTTATATATTATAGATTTTCAACATTATAGTATGTATTATAGCTACATTATTGTATCCCATAATGCTTTAATATTCAATATTCTCCTTACCTCTTATAAGTATTAATTAACTTCATTTAATTCCACAGCTCGTCCCATGGTTATTCTTCAAGGACTTACTGATCAAAAAGTCTGTGAGGGAGATATTGTGCAACTTGAAGTTAAAGTCTCCCTAGAAAATGCAGAAGGTGTCTGGATGAAAGATGGCCAAGAAATTCAATCAAGTGATCGTATTCACATTGTGTTGGATAAACAGTCACATATGTTGCTCATAGAAGATGCAACAAAGGAAGATAGTGGAGCTTACTCTTTCAGTGTTCCTGATCTTGAACTGTCAACCACTGGACAGATCACAGTGTACAGTAAGTCGCTATCATGATTTTGAAGTTGTGTTTGATTTTTGTCTCTTTTAGGATTATTTTTAAAGGCATATTTTTTTCATGATGAATATTTTTGTGACTTGACAGGTGTGGAAATAGTGGTGCCTCTAAAAGATCTTCACGTAGTTGAAGGAACAAAAGCTATCCTCGAATGCAAAGTTTCAGCACCTGATGTGTCTTCTTCCAAGTGGTACCTAAATGATAATCAGATAAAGCCTGATGACCGTGTACAAGCTGTATGCAAAGGCAATAAACAGAGGCTAGTGCTTACCAGAACCTATGCATCAGACGAAGGACATTATAAGCTAATGGTTGGCAAAGTTGAAACAAGTTGCAATGTCACAGTTGAACGTAGGTGTCCTTTAAGAAGCACAATTCTTTGTGAAATAATTTCCTTAAATACCAAACCGTGGAAACAACTAATATATTTATAATTTATTCTTTTTATAGAAATTGAGATTATTAGAGGTCTTCGTGACATCACCTGCACTGAAACACAGAATGTATCCTTTGAGGTAGAGCTCTCCCATTCAGGAATTGATGTAATTTGGCATTTCAAAGGCCAACAGATAAAGGCTGGTCCTAAGTATAAAATAGAAGCACATGGCAAAATACATAAGTTGACAGTGGTGAAGATGATGAAAGATGATGAAGGAGAATATGTATTTTATGCTGGAGAGAAGAAAACATCTGGGAAACTTATAGTAGCAGGTTAGTAGAGTTAAAATCCAAGGTTTTTATTTCACTGTGATTTAAAAAAATGCCCAGTGTACTGTATTTTGTACTTGTAGCAATTGTTCTGTTTCTGCTGGGTTTTTTGCCTTTAATTTATTTTCAATTTTTTTTTACATTCTCCTTGCCCTTCCTCTTATCTTTTCTTATTGGTATAATTTAAATTCTCAAAGCTTTTAAGTAAATGCTAATATATTTTCCTAGATCAGAACCATAGTAAGGAATGCTGTAGTATCCTTTTGATGTAACTAATGGAAAATAGAGGGTTTTTGTCTTGAGTGCTAAGTATACCTGTGTTGATAATAAAAATAAGTGAGAATAACTAGGATGGAATTAAGAAACATCTCTTAGTAATTTTCAGGTCATACTCTATTCTTTATATTTCACAAGTTCATAATGTCTATGGGCATGCTGCAAATTAGGGCAAAGAATTCCAGCATCTACTTTTCATTTTTGTATGGGGGAAAGCTGAACAGCAACATGACAAAACCATGTGCCTTTTCTTCCCACAGGTGGTGCCATTTCAAAGCCTCTCAGTGACCTGACTGTAGCTGAGTCCCAGACAGCTGTTTTTGAATGTGAGGTGGCAAATCCTGAATCAGAAGGCCAGTGGCTACAAAATGGTAGACCATTAGCTATGACAGATCAGTACCGTGCTCAGTCTGATGGTGTTAAGAGAAGGCTTACTATCCCTGTGACAAAACTGGATGATATGGGTGAATATAGCTATGAAATAGCAAGCTCAAAGACATCTGCCAAACTGAAGGTCGAAGGTCAGTATTTTTATAACTGATGTCTTTAAGACTCAGATGTCTTTAAGACTCAGTCCAGCATCACTCACTGTGTCTTGGATCAGGCAAAATAAAATAAATCAAATAAAACAAACCCAAAACTAACCAGACCAACAAAACAACACCCCAAAACATAAAGAATCTCAAACCAAACATCTCTCATGAATCCTAAAAGTAAAGGTTCCTTGTTGGGTTCCAAGTACACCACTTTACTGGAACTTGTATAAATCAATAAATCCATAAAATGAAACATCATGATTCAATTTCATTAAGATTGTTATATTTACTATAGTTTTTAATTTTGATCTGTTCTGTCTATTTGTGGGTTTTTGATTTTTTTTCCTTTATTTTCCTAGCTGTTAAGATAAAGAAAACACTAAAGAACCTGACTGTGACAGAATCACAGGAGGCAGTTTTCAGTGTAGAACTGACCCACCCTGATGTGAAAGGAGCTCTATGGATTAAAAATGGTGTTGAACTTGAATCAAATGAAAAATATGAAATTACAGTGAAAGGAACTGTTCACACACTGAGAATCAAACACTGTGTGGTGACCGATGAGTCTGTTTATAGCTTTAAACTTGGAAAAATAGGAGCAAATGCCAGACTTCATGTAGAAAGTAAGTCAAAGTGATTTGAATATTTGCTGTAATGTGTGGTTTGAAATTCACATCATATACACTGCTGAATCTTGCTAACTTTTTTCCTCAAGCTGTCAAGATCATCAAAAAGCCAAAGGATGTGACTGCTTTGGAAAATGCTGTTGTCTCATTTGAACTGAGTGTATCCCATGATACGATACCAGTCCGGTGGTTCCACAAAAATATTGAGCTTAAACAAAGTGATAAATATAAGATGATCTCTCAAAGGAAAGTTCATAAGCTTATGCTGCACAACATATCTCCTGACGATGCTGGGGAATACACAGCTCTTGTTGGGCAAATGGAGTGTAAAGCAAAACTGTTTGTGGAAAGTAAGTATTGTAAGTTTGTAAGAAAGCAAGGATATGAATTGTTACACCAAATCATATTGAACAACTTGATCTGACGCTTCAGAGCCTGTTACCCTTGGTTTTTTTGCATACTGACTTTAAAAAAATTCTTTCTTTTTTCTTTTTCCTTCCCCTCTTAGCCATACACATCACAAAGACCATGAAAAACATTGAAATCCCTGAGACCAAAACCGCCTCTTTTGAATGTGAAGTTTCTCATTTCAATGTGCCTGCTGTCTGGTTGAAAAATGGTGTGGAGATTGAAATGAGTGAAAAGTTCAAAATAGTGGTCCAGGGGAAACTCCATCAGCTCAATATCATGAACACAAGCAGTGAAGATTCTGCAGAATACACATTTGTCTGTGGCAATGATAGAGTCAGTGCGACCCTGACCGTAAAACGTATGTAAAAATTAATTTACCAGAATATTTTACAGTTACCAATAATAGAATTTGTGTTAACATATGGAAATAGTGCAACTGAGACAAAACCAGCACCGTTGTAGCGGTATTTTGAAATAACACTAAACAGCCTCAACTGCATTATTAAAAAAGGTCTAGGAGCAGTGAACTTGAAAGTCAGACCCTATTCTTCTGTTTAGGCAAACATGCCTAAACTCCAAGTCACCACAGGAGATAGAATTTGGGTTCCTATGTAATTGTAGGAGATTTAATTGTAGTATTGATTCTGAACAAAAAGCCTACCTTTTAATATTACCAAAATTGTCTTAAAGAAGTTGAAACATCTCTGATCCTGTTAACATGCATTTAAAATAAAATAAAACAGTATGGGGAAAATGACAATTCATGTAAATTTCTTTTCTTTTAGCCATTCTAATTACCTCCATGCTACAAGACATCAACGCTGAAGAGAAAGATACAATAACATTTGAAGTCACTGTTAACTATGAAGGTATTTCATATAAATGGCTAAAGAATGGTGTAGAAATAAAATCGACTGATAAATGCCAGATACGGACAAAGAAGCTTACACACTCCCTCTCCATAAGGAATGTGCATTTTGGGGATGCTGCAGAATATACTTTTGTTGCTGGAAAAGCAGCTTCATCAGCCACTTTATATGTGGAAGGTATTTGCTCTCTTGATTTGTATATTTAGTGACTTCTAGTGGCTTAACTAAAATCAAGGCACTCATTTTACATTTTTTTCTGCCCTAGCTCGTCACATTGAATTTAGGAAGCATATTAAAGACATCAAGGTGGTGGAGAAGAAGAGGGCTATTTTTGAATGTGAAGTTTCAGAACCTGACATTCAGGTCCAGTGGATGAAGGATGGGCAAGAACTCCAGATCGGTGACAGGTAAATGATTGTTTTTACACCATAATAACTTTTGCTATGCATTTCCCCCCAGGAAATAATTAGCTTATTTTCTTTTCTGATGTCCTTAGGATGAAAATTCAGAGAGAGAAATATGTCCATCGTCTAATCATTCCTTCCACAAGAATGTCTGATGCTGGTCAGTACACTGTAGTAGCAGGTGGAAACACATCCAGTGCCAATTTGATAGTGGAAGGTCGTGACATTCGCATCAGAACCGTTCATAAAGATATTCAGGTATGACCTATACAGATGAATAAATATTTCATAACTATGTCAAGCAAAAAATAATGCAAGGGATGAGCAACAATATCTAGGCAGTCCTAACACAAAAATCTGTAATTATAAGGTCAGGGCCTTCTTCTAGAAAAATGGAAAGTGGCATACATAAAAACAAATTTTATTTCTATTATTTATTCTACCTGTATAAAGGTCATTGAGAGACAAAGAGCTGAAATTGAATTTGAAGTCAATGAAGATGACATTGAACCACAGTGGTACAAAGATGGTATTGAGATCAACTTCCAGTATGAGGAAAGATACAGTTATGTGGCAGAAAGGAGAGTCCATCGAATGAGCATCTTTGAAACCACTTACTCTGACGCTGGAGAATATACTTTTGTTGCAGGACGGAATAGGAGTTCTATTAATCTTTATGTGAATGGTATGTGTCCCCATAACCAATGCTTTGACTGTATTTATTACCCAGTGTTTTTCTGATTTCTATATAGCTTCTCAGAAATTCTGAATCTGAAAAAAAAGATAAATCCAAAGAGATCATCTGGAACACTATAAAAGTCTTCATGTACATGGATGTTTCTCACTATACTGAAATAACTGGTTAGATGATAAAAATACTATAGCAGTTCTTTTCCCACTATATTTACTTAGACCAGAAAATTTCTCAAGTCTAAATAAAACTAATTTGTTCATATGAAAAAATACACCTTCCCAGAGAGATCAACCTAGTGATTCTTGGACATATTTTGCCAGAAAACACACCAACATAGCTCATTATGTTAAGGCACTTACTGCTAGATCATCCCGCTCATATCAAGAAAAAGGGCGAATTTTCATGGGCACACTTGATTAGGAATAATAGCAATTTTGATGGGTTTTTCTATGTCTGTTTGTCTTGTTTTGTTTTTAATTAATTCCTGGCAAATAGTTTTGAATCAATAATAAATATCAATAATGAGATTTTTCCTTCTTCTTCTTTCTCCCCTTCCTCTTCACCTTCCTTTCCCCCAATTTTCAGCTCCAGAGCCACCCCAGATTATTCAGGAGCTAGAACCAACTACCGTGGAGTCTGGCAAACCTGCCCGCTTCTGCGCTATGATATCTGGCAAACCCCAGCCCAAAATTTCTTGGTACAAAGATGATCAACAGCTTTCTCCGGGTTTCAAGTGCAAATTTCTTCATGATGCACAAGAATATACTCTCTTGCTGATTGAAACCTTCCCTGAAGATGCAGCAGTGTACACCTGTGAAGCAAAAAATGACTATGGAGTTGCAACAACTTCAGCTTCACTTTCAGTGGAAAGTGAGTTTCCCATGCTTATAAATACCACTATTTGTGAAACAAGATAGCTGTTCTTCATCTTTAAAAATTACTTCTTTTTCTTGTTCTTTAGTCCCAGAAGTTGTTTCTCCTGAGCTAGAAATGCCAGTGTATCCGCCTGCTGTCATAATTCCACTACGTGATACTGTTACATCTGAGGGACATTCTGCTTGTTTTCAGTGCAGAGTTACAGGGACAGGTGAGTTTATTAAATCCTGTACATCTTTTCATCTCTCGGAATTTTTAATCTTGAACTCAGAAAAAAATTCACCAATATATGTGCTTGGATCAGTCTTCTCCTAGAAGTACAGTTGTTTGATATACACACACATCAAAAGGTTACTGACTTTCAGTTTAACTTCCAGTTAAGCAAGTCAAAGACTGCATCAAGCGTGGAAGTTTTAAGCTGTCATAAACATACTAAGCATTTCTAAAAAAAAGATCTCTTTCACAAAACCTGTCTTTGGAAACTTCTCAGTGTTTCAAATGCTAAGTGATGTTGGAAAGCTATGTCAGTGAGTAAAATGTAGAGTTTCTTTGTGGAAAAGCATTACCTTGTTAAATGAATATGATGAACACACCATGATACACACCATCATGTCAATTAACTAAACAAACAGACTGAAACTGTGATTCAACCTTTACCCTAATATTCCTAAATATTTCATATCACTCTGTAAACATTAAACTGTGATTGCTTTATTTTTCCTACCATAAAAGGGTGTTTGCTCATTGTCTCTTTAAGTATAGATTTTATTTAAGTAAGTTTTCTAGATTTAGTTATATAGAATGTCATTCTACAATTAAAATATTTTTTTCCAAGTTAACATGAAGCCAAATAAAACTACCTTTCTTCACTTCTGTAAATGGTCTTGAGTATGACTCGTAAAAGGTATTCACATAATAAACTGCAGAATAAGATCCAGTTAAAATCCCAAAGAATTTAAAATCCCAATTATTTAAAGATAAATAAAACTCCAAATTTAAAAATAATCCTGAGTGACAACTCCATAAAAATCCACACAAAATTTGTAATATACATGTATATGCAAATATGCATGATTTGCATTTCAATCACTTGGAAACAAACTCCATTAAAAAAAAAAAAGGCTTTACAACAGGATTCTGCTTTAGAAGTGCTGCTACAACTCAGAAAATATATGTTGGACTGGCCCACACTCTGTTCAATGCATGCTAGTGTAACTTTTTTTTAGAAGAACTGTATTTATGTGAATGTGGAAGCTGCATTTACAGCACAGAATATAAAGATCCTTTCATCTAGGTCTTCCTTCATAGAACCATAGAATCATCTAGGTTGGAAAAGACCTCAAGGATCGTTAAGTCCAATCATTAACCCAGTCTGCCAATGACTCTATCACTTCCCTGGGCAGCCTATTCTTGAAAACCCTTTCAGTGAAGAAATTTTTCCTTTTGAAAATTTCCTTTATTGAATACTGTATCCAAATGGGTTTGCATACCTCTCACTTGACTTGTGAAAAACTTTTGTATTAGTTAGGTAACACATGATTTAAAATACAGGTTTTTAATGGTACACTTTGTGTAACTGGCTATTGAAAACACTCTTTCTTCTGATGACAATAATAACCCATTATTTGTGTTACAACATTTGATTTATAATGTAGTATAATGACAAATGGAGAGGCAAGACTAAAGTCTGCTTCAGTCCTGTTCTTTCTCAAGTCTACAAGAACCTATACAAGTAATACAACATTTTATATAGGAATTTTATAAAGGTGCAAACATAGGATCTTCCTTGAGAAATATGACATGTAAAAGTTATATTTGCACCAAGAAGAGGCAAGGTACTGTACTTAAAAGAGTATTCTGTTTTAGTTTTTTAACCTGATTAGTTAAAGCTAATAATTTTATAGCCTGTTTAATCATGCAACTCTAGCAAAACCCCATTTTTAAGAAAGAGATTTTCTCTGATTTTAGGAGTAGCAAAATATTTCAAAATTTTTACATTTAGAGAAGAAAGGAAGAATTATTTTTTACTCGGTAATGTATCAGCACCAGGATCAGTTTTTCCATACAAATATTTCCAATGCACAAAGTAAAACTTAAAGCAACAACAGGCCACTTTCTACTCATCATACTTTACCAGAGTAATACAAGGTACATTTAAACTTAGTTACTTGAGATTAAGTATCTCTTAGATACTTGAGATTAAGATTTTTGGAAGATATAAATATAAAAATAGTGTTTACTTACTAGTGTAATATTGTAAATTTTTCTTTCTTTCTTTCTTTTGCTTGAGCAGATCTGAAAGTCTCCTGGTACAGCAAAGAGAAGGAGATCAAGCCATCACGTTTTTTTAGAATGACTCAGTTTGAAGACACTTACCAGCTGGAGATTGCTGAAGCTTATCCAGAGGATGAAGGAATCTATACCTTTGTGGCTAGTAATTCTGTAGGCCAAGTGACAAGCACTGCTACCTTGAAGTTAGAAGGTACACTGTGCAATTAAAGGAGTTGTCTTGTTTAGGTTATATTCCAATACTCATCTTAATATATACTGATAATTATATGTGAGTCGTTGTCTGTCATGTCGTCTTTTAACTCAATTAATTGCTACCATTTACAATGTCCACAGCATACACTTATGTCTCCAAAATATAGGTAATGAACAACAAAACGTATTTCACAATTTTGCAATGTTTCATGCTCCCCTCCCTTTTCATTTTCTCCAGTCTTAGAATCTGTCATGCACCAAAGACAGTAAAAACCTTCTTTCTAATGGAAGTTCTTTGCTTACACATTCTTTGATTTGACTGTGAAGACAATCTAGTAAGAATTTTTGTATGAAATAAGTTACTTGAAAACTGTTGAAAAATGTCCTAAATAGAGATGTGTAGCAGGTGTGCAGCAACTGAAAAGAAAAAGTGCACATTCATATAAATTGATGAAACATTGACCAAAGTTTTAGAGCAGAAATATTGCCTGAATAATTTGGTGTTCTATATTGTCCTTGATATTATTTAACCATAAATATTTTGTTTTCTTTTTGCAATGGATTTTATAAATGATGAATGAGAATTATTCATGCTGTTAAGTTGCAAGTTAGAAAAAAAAGTCTTGAATGAGAGAGAAAATTCATTGTAGTGTAGGGTAAGAAATTAAAAGTTGGCATGCTTCTTTTCAGGATTTAAAAATGTTGAAGAAGTTACATCAGAGTCCCCTTGGCATGTTTCTTCATCTGTTTCACTTAAGGAGGAGTCTATTGGCCAAAGGCCCACCTTTATCCAGCCTATTTCAAGCTGCAGGGTATGCAGTGGGGAATCAGTCAGATTTCAAGCTAGAGTCTCTGGCAGGGCCAAACCAAAAATCCAGTGGTTTCATAATCAACGACTCATGTTGCCAAAAAAAGACTTAGTTTTCCACTTTGATGAGTCTACAGGCACAGCTACACTGATAATAGTAGATGCTTTCTTAGAGCATGCTGGCCAATACTCTTGCAAGGCAAGAAATAGTGCTGGAGAAACAACTTGTACAGCTACACTTACAGTGACTGCAGAAGGTAAAGCCCCATTTTTACTTCAAAGGGATTCAGTTTGTTCTATACCACACTTTTGTGCTATTACTAATTATTTCCTTGTTTCACACCTTTTCTTTCCCAGCTAATGTTAGTAGTACCTACCCTCAGTAACCCAGTCACTCTCATTTCTTCTGTTTATGCTGTAACATTTGGAAATTTGAAAATTTATATATCAATAGAAGTCAAAGAATAGAATAATTTAAATGAAGGTATACAGATTTTTTAAAAAACTAATTAAGTGATCTTCATAGCATTGACTGAGGTATTTTGCACTGTCTTGTTTAAAAACAAAAAAAATACCTCCTTTAAGTAAGCTTCCAATCCTAAAATGGACCACTTTAGTGAAAGAAGAGACAAGTATCAACTGAGTACCAAATGCATGACTAGCTTAGGCATCACTTGTCATTCATACATGTGAATGGATAATTTCTGTGTCGAGAGTAGTGCATCCGGCATGCTGAATTTTCAAATGGAGATCATTCATTTTCATCCTCCATGCTGTTTGATTTTGTTCAGAGCATGGTCCAGTGAACTTCTTTAGATACTAATGTTGTTATTTTTGTTACTTAATTACACAGTGCAAGCCCTAGATAGGCAAAGTTCTGGGAAAGATGTAAAAGAATCTATCCGGTCACAGGCTATATCAGAACTTCATGTTCCTCCTCTCACAAAGAAGAACATTGAAAATTATCAAAAAGAATTTAAATCAGTGCAACAACCATCACAGGAATTGGGTGTACAGGTTTTTGAAAGTTTATCAAAAAGTTTGACCATGAAGGCTACCTCAGTTGAAGAAATAAAAACCACGCACACAACAGTCCTTTCTCAAACATCTCAGAGCACCAAGATCACTATGACCACCTCTCAGGAAATGAAAGATGTCCCTCCAAAGATTCTCTTGCAACTCAGAGACCTAACTGTGAAATGTGGTGACACTGCTCAGTTCATATGTACCTTAGAAAATGAATTCTTCTATGAGTTTCTTTGGGCCCATGAAGGAAAAAGAATAGAAGTGTCTGAAAAATTGAAGATATCACAAAACGGAAGTGTTCTTCTGCTCACAATCCTAAATGCCCAGCTGACAGATCAAGGACTGTACAGTTGTACTGTTTATAATGACTATGGAGGGACAACAACTTCTGCAATACTAACAGTCAAAGGTGGTTATCTGACTTTTAACATTATCACTTACCTTTTGGAACTTCATTATAACTACCCAGAGCTCACTCATATTGCCTTTATTATTATTTATTCATTTATTATTGTTAATTGAGAAAGCTGTATTGATAATAATCTGGGGGTTTTCCTTCACATTTACAACTCTATTCAGAAGTGAAATATGCAGTACTGGGAAGTTGATATTGTAACTTTGTACCTCTTCCTGTCAAGTCACAGATGTCTGAGGCTTTTTATTCCTTATATACTTCATGATATGCAGTGAGATGTAAAGCAGGAATTGTAGGAATTTTTATATTTTGTTAATTCCTGAAGCTGGAGTTGAAGGAAGATAAGAACGTCAGATAAGCAATGTTGAATTAGATACCTGGTCATATCAAACTCCCAACTCGTTTCAAATAAATCCAAGGTTTCAATTCCAAAGTTGGCAATATAATTAATGTCCTTGAAAGGATTAATGGATGAAAATATTGTATTACTGCAATACTGAATTTTCTTCTACCCTTTACTCTCCTTAAGATATAAGTATTTATTTTTCACTAAGACTCTTTCCACCCTTCCTGACATCAACATAGTAAGATGTTAGTAGTGCTATCACTAATAAGGACTCAAAAATATATTATCAGCACACTAGACAGGTGATACTATTTCTGATGAGTTACAAGGAATACAGAACAGAAAACTAAGATGAATAATGAGAAAGGCATATTGACCCTGTTGATTTGGCTCTTGATTACTGAAATTTCTTTTTTCACTCTAGAGCTGTGCAAAACGCTTTACATAATCTTCTGCTGCTACTTTCCAAATAAAGGCTCTAAATTAAAAGCAAAGATGTGCTTGTATTAGGCACTGCGGAACACGTCTTGGTCCCATGAAAGTCCATAGGCTTAACTGATACCTAGAATTAGCCTAGCAGGAATAGAGCTCTTAAATGTGCAGTCACTCCTGTTTAATAGCATTGTTTTAGCACTAATACGCCCAACATACTTTCAATACTAATTACTGGGGTTCCCCCCCCAATTATAAGGATATTTTTTATTCCTGTAAAACTTCTGACCTAATCCTTTTCCTAACTTTATTCTTACCTAGCAAAAGAAGCACAAGCCAAAGCAGTAACAAAAATTATTCTTGAATCAGATACTAAAAGCTTTAAAGCAGCCAAAGATTGTCAGTTTAAAGCATCTGAAGTTAAGCAAGAATCTTCTAAGAAAACCTCAAGCTTGTTTATATCTACATCCCAAAGACCATATGAAACTGAGAAGCAAAGAAACAGAGGATACTATCCTGATGTTGTGCCATGTGAAGACATCACAGAAACTGATGCCAAAGTGCCAGAGTTTCTTGAAACTCTGCCTTCAGAAACTACTGTAAAAGAAGGAGATGATGTGTTTCTCTTTTGTATAATGAAAGGTGTGCCTACACCTTGTGTAGTCTGGTTGTGCAATCAGCTCATAGTTCAGGAGTCTGCACTGTGTCACTTAAAACATGATGGGCCTCTGTGCAGCTTAAGATTGTTGAAAGTTGGTCAGAAGCACAAGGGTATATACAAGTGCAGAATAGTTAATCCTGCAGGACAAGCCGAGTGCAGCACTCATCTGAAAGTGACAGGTTGGCAACTGCATGTTCCTTCTAAGTATCAATTCCTCATGCATAGCATCATTGCATTTCAGTACATTCATTCCCTGAGAGATGATAAAGAACGAAAAGCATCTCATTAGTCTGTGGATTGTTGAATGTTTCCTTCAGGGATTTACGGCATGATAAAGGCATGTTGCATTAGAAACTTTCCCCCACCCAGCAAAAAATAAAGCAAATCTTATAGAAAAATGTACATTGCAAACAAATTTGAAAATATTTGATTACTCTGTTCTCAAAATTTATGAAGTGTTTGAATTGTTTGGCATGCATTTATGTGTACGTATGTGTGAATTTCTGTATATTTGGAAACGAGATTGGATGTTTTTTACTACGTAAAGTGTTGATTGGCACATTTAGAAACTATAGCTCAAAAATCTTTGTCTTTTTTATTCTAGCTCCTGAAAAAATTGTTCATGAGAAGCTAGAGGAAGAGGTTGAAATGGAAATGAAAGGTACAATCACCAATGAGAATAATTAGTACCAGTAATTAGTAATGTTACGAAAAGCTTTTATCTGCTTATGTGAAGTGTCTGATGGGGAAGAAAGACACTTTAAAGCATATTGGAATATGTTGCATGTTTGTGTTGATATGCAAAGGGTTACCTGCATTATAAGGTTATTTAAGTTTTAAAATATATTTAAAACTTCAAATTTGTAATTGTGCAGCCATATTCTTAACTTTTACTTCATGCTTTGCAGCTGTTCACAGAGCTTTTATTTGTTCAATTTCCTTTTGAATGCATGGAATAGTTTACTTCAGAAGGAAGTTATACAAATCTTATTTGTATTATTTTTAAACAAGTTAGCAGCCTAACATTAATCAGTTCAATAGACACTATTGGATGGATAGATAAAGTATACTAGAGAGCATTTGTTGTTTAGATTATGTGAAAGCTACACATTCCCATTGATTCCTTGCACTTTTTTTACATACATTAATTCACCATTATACATCTCTTACCCTGGCTTGCAGATAGCATACGTGGTTCATGTTGCTTGCTTTTTTTCCCTGTGCATAACACTGTGAAGTTAGTGGCTGTATTAGTTCGAATAAACGCCTTCTCATTTCATGTTACTTACTTTTTAAAAAGATATCTTTCAAAATACTTTTTCTCAATTGTTTGAACATTTAATCTGCAAACAGAGGGGTCAGAAAGGGCGTTTATTCTACTGTCTGCAAGTCAGGTAAGATTTTCTTCTTTGCCACCCAAAGACACACAGCTTTTCCAGGCAGCAAAAACATACACACAGAAGAACGTGTTATTTTGAAATTCCTTTTTGCTTGTTCAAGAAGAAATTTCCACAGTCTGAAGAAAGAACAGACAACGAACGATTTTCGTGTCAATCTTTAAAACAGAGCAAGGCGTTGCGTTTATTCGAACAAATATGGTGAGTGAATTACTTTTTTTTCCTGGGTGTGTGATGAAATCCATTGCATGCCCATTTTTTATTTCAATATATTGTTACTTTTTTACAATCAGATGGTAGGCAGAGCGTGACATGTTGTAACCCAGTCTCCTTCTCTTGCAGAGCAGCACAGCAATGTGAACCTCGAGGGACCTGGCAGAGCGGCGGTGCTGGCTCGCCCCCAGAACTGTAAACCCACCTTCACACAAGGCCTGAAGTGTAGGTCTGTCTTGGAGGGGGACCCTGCATTCTTCCAGTGCAAACTGGTGGCATGCCCGGCGCCCCACATGTCCTGGTTTCACAACAACCGGCCCGTCCTCCAGGACTGCCGTAAGGTGATTCGCACGGAGAGCGAGGAGCACACACACCGTGCCAGCCTGGAGCTGTGGGATGTGCGGGAGCACGACGCTGGCAGCTACAGGGTATTTGCCATTAACAGCGAGGGCTCAGCTGAGTCCACTGCCTCGCTGCTGGTGGCACGCAGTGGGGAGCAGCAGCAGGGCTTGGGTTTCACAGAGAAAGCCAAGTGGATGCGGCAGAGCTGGGAGTGCCTGCTGCAGCAGCGGCGGGAGGACCGGCTGCGGGTGGTGCTCCGCTGCACTGGCTCGCCCTTTGACAAGGGGCAGGAGGCCAAGCAGTCACTTGGGAACCTCCCACCAGCCCGAGGCAGGGTACGAACCATCCATTTTCAGAGCCTGCCACTGGTAGGGCCTCACCGCCCAGGGGTGGCACGTAGTAGGGAGCATAGGGGCACAGTGGCTAATGCTGAGGAGCTGCTGGATGAGGAGATCCGTTGGAAGCTGCAGAGGCTGCGGGAGGCAAAGAGGGTAGCACTGAAAAAGAAGCAGGAATCCCTCATGTCCATGCCCCAGGACATGACCCCCCCCCCAGGAGGGCCCTCATGGGAAGCCCAGCCCAGTTAAGGTGGCTGCCAAGATGGATGGCTCGGAGCTCCGCACAGTGCAGGTTGTGAAGTGGTACTCCAGGCCCCAGGCCATGGGAGAGAGATGGCAGATGCCAGGTGGGTTTCTGGAGCCCTGCCCACCCCTCTTTGTCCAGGAGGTCAAGCCCCAGGAGGCTGTTGAGGGGCAAAGATGCACTTTCTCCTGCCTCTTCCATGGCCGCCCACAGCCTACAGTCACTTGGTACAACAATGCCAAGCCCGTTGGGCGCATCAGGGGCACCGCCGTTCACACCACAGAGTGCCGCTCTACACTGACCTTTCCATCCCTACTCCCACAGCATGGGGGCACTGTCACCTGCGTGATCTTCAACCCACTGGGCACAGTCAGCACCTCAGCTGCACTCTATGTGAGGCAGCGAATGCCAGCCTATGAGTACGCAAAGAAGGAAGAGGACATGAAGAAAGAAGAGGAGGAAGAGGAGAAGAAGGTGAAGGAGGAAGAAAGGGAGAAAGAGAAGGAGGAGAAAGTGAATGAGAAGGAGGAGGAAGAAGAAGCTGGTCTGGCCTTTGCAGCAGAGAAAGGACTGCCAAGTGCAGTTCCAGACTCACACTTGCTGTCGTTGCCTGTGGAGATCAAAATCACTGCCCCCACTCCAACACCAGAGCAAGGCACAGAGATGAAGGACACCACACAACACCCTCCAGAGCAGGTTGTTCCCACCATGAAGCACAAATTCAAGTTTTCATTTGATATGGGAAATGAGCCACCCCAATTTGTAGCAGAAGCCCCAGCACATATTCATTGCCATGAAGGAGAGGATGTGATGTTGGAGTTTGCTGTGTCTGGGCAGCCCCCACCAGCTGCGACCTGGTCCCTGAATGGCCAGAGCCTCTCTGCTAGTGAGAGGCTGAGGTTTGAAGAAGGTAAGAATGGCATGTACCGCTTACATATTCAAGGGGTCTCTACCACAGATGCTGGACAGTATTGTTTAGTGGCCACAAATGTGGCTGGAACAGCACAGAGTGCCTCTGAGCTGACAGTCCAGCCCAGTGCACCCCAGTTGTATAGCAAAGATGGAGGCACTGAGGAACAGCCTGCTGTGGACCATGTTGTTCACCCCCAAGGCCTCAGCATACTTGGGAAGGATGAAGAGGAACAGATTGTATGCCCCAAGGAGGAGGAAGCCCACCTACCCTGGTCCCGAAGGCTGTCTCCATCTCCTGGTGAGCAGTTGGAAGACTGTGAGAAAACTCCTCACTTAAGAGAAAGTGAGATGGCGGAAACAATGGTGCTGGATATTACAGAAGTTTATGCAAAGCAAGAAATGGGTTATACAGAAGAAAGTGTCAGGAATACAGATGGTATTTCTGAGGTGAGGCAGCACAAGGGAAAAGCTGTCTCTGAAGAACACAGCTTTGGAATTGTTACTACTGAACTGCACCCTACCATATCCAGAAAAGGGCATGAACTAGTGGCCAAGGACTCGGGTCACTTTTCAGAGGAGATGGAGCCTGAAGGAGGCAAGGTGATACCACATACAGATACTCTGTCCTGGGACATCTTGAAGTCACCATTTATGGAAGTGCATGGGCAAACACATGTCTCTGAGCAGTCTGCTCTGGCAAGGGAGTGTGAGGATTCACAATTTTTCATTCCTATATCGCCTGTGGTACAAGAGGGAAGTGATGTTTGCACAGAGGAGAGTGATGCCCCTGCCTGGGAGGCAATGACTCCTGATGTGCCTCTTGTAGAAGAGCCAAGCATGCCCCACCTGCAGGACCACATTGCAAGCAAACCCACAAAGGAGCTATTTGGCTTTTATGACTCCTGTACAGAAGAGCAGCAGAAGGAACAGCACAAGGAACAAGAGAGATCAGTTGACACTGAACAGGACATCGAAGGTGATGATCATCTTGGTAAAGAAGAAACAATTGATGATGGTGATGCCACACACTGGGAAATGCACAATGATGATCAAATGTTGCAAGGAATGGAGTCTGACACAGGCAGCTCTTCTTTGGATGTAATCGTCACTCCTCCTGGCATAGAAAACTCAGGTCAGATTTTTACTGAGGAAGCTGAGGTTCACCTGGAAGAAGGGCATTTCAGAGGCCAGCTGTTGCCACCTGAGACTGATAAGACTGATATATTTGATCTGAAGAAGCTTGTGGAGCCTTTTCAAGCTGCAGAGACAATGTACACAGAACCGGCACAAACCCCCACAGCTGTGGAGAGCATGGAGGAAGGAGCAACTGGGCTGATCTCCTCTGTGCACCAACATGCTGCACTTGTGGAAGAGATGCCTCTGAGTGAGGGACTTCATCAGAGCTACAGGATGCAGAAGGAGGAGGTCAATGCCCAGGAAGAGGCACAGCAAAGAGAAACCAGCAGGGCTGATTTGCAAATCCCTAATGGGGACCTTGGCAGTGTCATGATACCTGCTGAAGAGGGACCTCTTGCTGAAGAAATTCATGAGTCAGAGGTGAGTGTCTGTCTGGAGGACTCACTTGAGGAACAAATTCATGAATTTCTGGTGGAGTCCACAGCAGATTTCCAAAGAGAAGTTCAGGAAACAAATGTGTGGGAGAGTGGGGAATGGATGGAGCCCACAGACTCCCAGAGTGATAGCTTCATCATGGACTTGAAAAAAGCTGCACATGAAAAGAAACCCCAGGCTGGGCATCAGACTGAGGAAGATGGTGGTTCCAGGATAGACAAGGTCTTTGAGACAGGAATGAGCAGCTTCACCTGTGAGATGCAAAGCACAGATTCCTCTGAGGAAATGCTCAGGGACACACAACAGGAACCAAATGCAACCAAGGGCTTCTCTTTTGGGCAACTCATACTTGGTTTAGTAATGGATGAGCCCGGGGCACAGAAGGAGCAAAGGAAGGACTCTAGGGACAAGAACGGGACTGCCACTGAGGAAGCCTCTGAGAATAGCCTAGATGAAGAAGGACTGTGGGAGGATACTTCTGCAGGTCCAGAGCCCAGTGCTGTTCAAGTGTCAAAGTTGGAGCCTGATTTGTCCCTGGCCAATTATTTAAGATCCACTGGGATACATGAAACTCCAGATCTCAAAGGGACAGTTCAGAAGGAGCAGCAAGAAACTATCACTTCACTGGAAGTGGAGGAGGTTACCTTCAGCATGGTTTATGATTATTACAACAACCATCAGGAACTTGCCCGGCCCTTCTCTCCTGAGTCAGAAATGTCTATAGAGCTGGAGAGTGGGAGCAGAGAGGAGTCGCCTGATTCAGACCGCTTTTACACTCCTCCCTCCTCAGTGGAAATCTTTGAAACTGCTTCTTCAGCATCCTACCACACCCCACTCAGCACACCCGAGCGCTACTCCACACCGTCTGAAGGCTCAGGGTACAGCACACCCCCTGAGCGCTACTCCACACCATCTGAAGGCTCAGTGTACAGCCTGCCCCCTGAGCATTACTCCACACCCTCTGAGAGTTCAAAATGCAACACACCCTCAGAGCGCTATTTCACACCCTTTGAGGGACCCTACTCTCCATCAGGGGACAGCACACCACCAGAACGCTATCGGACACCCACTGGGGAGTTTATGGATGCCCTGACCACACTCCCCTCCTGTGAGAGAAGGCATCAGCCTCCAGACCAGCCCCAGGCTGACGTGTTTAGGACCCCCCGTGAGTCCCTGGAACCATCAGGCAGGGAAATGCCACCTGCATTCCTCAAGGCATTGAGCAGGAGGAGATTGTGCGAGGGCAGCACGCTGAGGTTTGTGGCTGAGGTGGTAGGTGTGCCCAAGCCAGAGGTGAAATGGTATCGTAATAAGTCTCTGTTGGAGCTGGATGAGAGAGTACGAATAGAGAAGGATGGGGACAAATGTATTCTGGAGATCACAAATATCCACAAAGATGATGGAGGACAGTATCTGTGCCATGCAGTGAACATTGTCGGGGAAGCTAAAAGTATTGCACAGGTGGAAGTTTTGCCTGAATATGGGCGGTCACTAGCACTACCACCCCCTGTTACCCACCAGCATGTTATACACTTTGACCTGGACGAAAATACATCTTCAAGGTCACCTTCACCACAGGAAATCCTCCTGGAAGTGGAGCTGGATGAAAATGAGGTGAAGGAGTTTGAGAAGCAGGTCAAAATCATAACCAGTCCTGAGTTTACCCCAGATAAGAAGAGCATGGTAGTTTCCCTGGATGTCCTTCCACTTGCTTTGTTAGAACAAGCTGCAGGCTTGGCTGCAGTGGAGAATGAGGATGTAAAAATTGATTTCCAAGTAACTGAAATGCCTCCACGCTTTGCCGTGCCCATTGCAGATATCAAGGTGACAGAAGGCTTGGAGGCAGTGTTTGAGTGTGTGGTAACAGGTACTCCTGTCCCAGTAGTTCAGTGGTTCAGAGGTGACACCTGTGTGACGCCTGGCACACGGAAGTATGTTGTGAGTCAGAAGGAGGGACTTCACAGTCTGAAGATCCAAACTGTAGGTCCTTCTGATAGTGGCTGCTATAATTGTAAGGCAGTGAATAGGCTGGGAGAAGCAACATGTAAAGGCTCCCTTGTGGTCATGGCTCAGCAGGGAGCAAGTGCTAAGGTGAGCAGTGACACAGTCATGGGCTGTGCACCACATAGGCCACAGAAGGGTGACTTGCTTTTGAGTAAGACTGTGAGCCCAGGTGACCAGTCAGAAATAGAGCTGGAGTTTGAGTTTGAGCCGCACAGAGATGACTCAGAAAAAGCAATCCAGCTGCTTGCAGTGACTCAGCAAGAGCAGGAAGTGGAAGGGGAGAAGTGTGTTAACATTAGTTTTGATGTGTTTGCAGAGCCATCCCAAGAGGAACGGGTTGAGTTTAGGGCAGAGAACTCAGAGAGCTGCAGCTTTGAATTCCAGGTCACAGAAGCTCCTCCCAGATTTGTCAGGCTCATTTCTGACTACAGCACATTTGTGGGTGCTTCAGTATACTTCCAGTGCCTCGTGACTGGTTCCCCCCCACCAAGTGTCTGCTGGTACAAGGATGGGGTGTTGTTGGAAGGGGATAGGTACTGTTTGCAGGAAGAGCAGGATGGCTCTCTTAGCCTTACCATTGAAAACCTGATGCAAAGTGACAGTGGGCAGTACAAATGTGTAGCTACTAACAGGGCAGGAACTGCTGAGACTTGTGCTGTGTTAACATTATACTAAATTTCCATAATTTATTTCAAAGTCTCTTTTGAAATACTAAATGTTCATATGATGTTGTTCACTGCAGGTAAAAATGCAGCACTCATCTTTAGGGGCATTGTTTTTCATCTCTTTAGGGATGAAAACCACTCTGTGGGCATATTTCTGTCTCACTTAAACTTGCCTTCTTTGGGGAATTTAAGTGAGATTTAATCCGTGCATAAATTTTGTGCACATTTTCTGCACCGAGGTATATTTCAAGCTTCTTCTAAGTTCCTTACTCATTCTTGTAAAGATATTTTAGTTGACTCTCATGTAAGCAGGACTAATTTTTTTGTATAATGTACATATACCTGTGTATCTGTAACGGTGCAACCGCTCTTGTTTTATGTAGGCTAGAAATCACCTGAAAATGTAGACACCATTTTTTTCTTGTAACCTAGAGATATGGAATACTAACTTATGCTTGCTGTTCCATTTGGGTATAGTTCTGTGAAAGAACTCCTTAAATTGGTATTTCCCCTTCTTATAATGTTGTCAGAACATGTGAGTTTCACTGATTCAAATCCTGTGTTTACAGTTTCTATCACTGCAAAATTCTTACATCCATGGGCCTCATTCTAACCGCTCATGGAATTAAATGCCTTTTTTACGTCAACGGAATTACGCTGTTGCAAAGAAAAGCAGCACAATGGGAAGAAAAATTAAAGTTTTGCATTTGTAGAGACTGGACAGGATTTTTTTCTCTATTACCAAGTAATAAACATGAAAACATATTTTGTACTGTATCTTTAGAAGTTAAAGGGAAAGGAGAGAGAAAATAATAATAAATCAGTGATGTTACTGTAAATTCAGTAAAATAATTTTGGTTGTCCCTGTATTCCAGTGTCATTCATAAAAAATACATAGTAGTAAAAAAGTAAGATATTTTTATGCAGTATCTTGTTTCACATTAGAACTATATATTTACGTATTCTTTTTTTTTTTTTTAATTAATACCAGTTAAGTGTCCTATGTGTCAAAATGACCAGAAATAAATGGAATACATTCAATTGTTATCTGTGGCATTTTCTCACCAGAAGAGATTTTTACATTAATGTTCTCCATGTGAATATATATTTTTGTATTTAAAGTAATGCTAATATTTAGGAGGAAGAGTCAGCAGTAGCTGACATAATCAGAACTAAATCTCGCTTACATAAACTATGATAAATTGAGAAAATCTGTTAAAAGTATGAAAGTTATTAATTAATGTTTATTAGAAGTTAAATACATCTCTAATGCATGTACCAGCTTTCCAGTAACCTCTAAGTCAAGGTGAGATCTTGAGTTCAAGAACCCTAAACAAAAATTAATTTTATTTTTTTTAACCTGTTAATGAGGTTCTTCCAGTCATTTACAAATTTCTGTCAGTTACCTTGCAAACAGCTTTAAGTACCACGGGGATTTTAAGCATAAAAGAACTATTCCTGTAGTATGTTCAGTTGTGTTCCTACAATTTCTTATTTCTGAGTTTGATGTTTCCTCACACTGAGGTCAGCATGCCTCAAAAAACTGATAATCTTTTAAGACTATCCTATCACTCACCTGGGATAGTATATTTTGATCAAAAGGTTCTCTTTGTGCCGATTGTGTTGCCTGATAAAAATTTAATATATAATTTAACATACATAAGGTTTATATGTTAAAAGGCAGAGATAATTGTGATTTCTCATAGGTAATGGTGGTAGGAAAGAGAAACATGAGTGTCTGACCAGATGTTGTGCTGGGAAGGAATTACTCCATGTCCTTGATCCATTCCTTGTGTAGATGTGTAGCACTGTCTGATTCATTAGACAGCAGAGGTCCTTAGGGAAGTTGGCAAGAATTGTCTGATGTTCTGTGTCAGCTGTGACATGAGGGGTCTTTTAGGCCCAAAGCCAAAGAGGTCAGAGGCCCTTCAATTAGGCCCTATGCAATTGTGATGTGTGTTTATTTTGCATGTAAATCTGAAAATTTTTAGCAGAAACAGGCCCATAACTTGGTTCTGAAGCCATAAGCCAAACAGGTCCAAGTTTATATTCACATCTGAAATATATGGCCAAGCACCTTTATCTCTACCTGTGTAGTGGTGTTTGTGGTTTATGTAAGTCTAAAAGTCTTGGTTTAAGTTTCATACATTAGCCAGGAGCATGATCATGTGTTTATTAAATGTGGAGTAATCCTAGGTTGGAATGAACTTACTCTGGGACAACTAGTATACCTTGATTATCTCTCCAAAATTTTGTGCTTTCATAGGAGTTAAAAAGCTCGCAATCTTCAGGTTTAATGTTGTCTTTATTTCTACAAAATAAGTATTTAAAAAAAAGGATGAATTATGTCTGTTTGTCATCAATGTGCATTGAATGTTAACATGTATGGTTAATTTGTGAAATAAATATGTAAATGATTTAAGTCCATCACTTCTTGTACTTTATTCATTTCACAGACCTATCTAAAATACAAAAAAGAATCTGTATAGTTTTTCTGTCATAAATATTCAGGAACACACAAAAGTGCATTAATTTTTTCCACACTCCCATTATAAAGCATTCTTGTGTATTAGCATGGGTTTCATTCTGAAATTTATATTCCATATTTTTATATTTTACTTATTGGGCCAAATTCTGCCCCCCATTCTCAAATTCACTTGCACAATTTATTACTGTTTTAGCAAGGCTGGTAAGTAATACCAAAGGACTGATATAATCTTTTATTTTTAGCTAAACATCTCTTCTCTGCAGTTAGTCATTGTATGCACTGTGCTATGTCATGTATATTCTGTCATTTGTGGCAAAACTAATAAGTTTTAAACTAGTGAAAAAGAATTGGGTGTGACATAGTCTGTTCCTTTTTGTTGGAGTGTAGCAAAAATTATTGTCTCAATAAGTTTTTAAATTTAATGTACTCTAATTGAGAAGCTTATCAAGGTTCCCTCTTAGAGTTCCTAGAGACATTTATTTATCCACTCACAATTTTATTCCTTTTTTAAACTCTCATATCTTTCCATGTTGAATACTGTGGACCTTAAATGAGCAAACTTGTAAGGACAACAGTATTTGATTTTCAAAGATTTTCTTTGCATCATGCTTCTCAGGGATTGGTTGTACCATTCCTGGAAGTCTGAGATTTCACTGATGTTTCTATTGTCAAACATCTGCAGAGAATGGCATGTTCTTCACCTCCACTTCCTCTCACTTTTAAACCATCATTAGAACCAGAGTGGTCTAACATATATATGTATAACTTCACCAGGGCAAGAAAAATTTTAAAGTGCTCTGTCTTCTTTTTCTCTCTTTTATTGTGGTAGTTTTAATATGCCATATTGTGACAGGGAGGAGTTCATAAGCAGAGATTTAAATCAGTGCAGACTTGTGATTTTTGTAATAATGGTGCTGTAAACTTAAGGGCCTAATGACAAAACCAGGACAAAGCTGGTAAGAGAGAGGTAATCTCTTGGTGTATTAGACAAAAGATAGAGTTTAAAGAGATGGACTATGCACCAGAATAAAAGTCAGTGTGCTGAAAAGATTGTAGGATTGTTGGTTGTTTTTTTATTTGGCGGGGGTTTTTTTCAATTCTTATTTAGCATTCTGCTTTTTTCTTGGTGTTTTGAATTAAATCAAGGTCTTACACTGTTCTGCTCTACTTATTTGTAAAGATGTACATATATGACACATACCACTTTATATATTCTACATACCACTTTAATTATACCTGTGAAATGCATCAATGTTGCTTGATTTTTACTTGCACGGTGCACCCTGGGGGGTATCCCTAACCCATACTGTGATGTCAGGTTTAAAGAGACATTCCTAAGTAACCTGACAGCACAGCATGTCTTGCTGGTTTTGGCAGGTGTGTATTTGACAGCAAGGGGACCTCATGTTCGTTGCTAGCTGTTGTACAGTATAGGGAAAGCCTCCAGCTACAAAAAAATAGTTTCCCTAACACTGCTTATCGTTAGCTATGAGTGTTTTCATAAATATTCTAGTAAAACTGAACAATTTTTTTCCATACAGACATCGCTAGGTCTCTTATTGCCTCTTCTGAGGACAGAAGAAATGAAGGCTACAGCAGCGGCCTTCAGTTTCCTGATAGAGAAAAAACACTTGAATTTGAGCCTGGAAAACCAGTTTATGTCAGCAAAGAAACAATGAAAATGGAGGAGGAGGGGAAAGCCCCTGTTTTCCTCAAACAGGTCCCGAATGTTGAAGTTTGGCAGGGAGATGTAGCTAGGCTCTCTGTTACTGTTACTGGCAGCCCTAAACCCAAAATTGAGTGGTTTTTCAACAGTCTGAAGCTAACCTCGTCTATGGACTGTAAGTTAGTGTTTGCTGGCAATGACCATAGCCTCATCCTCCCATATGTGGGTGTGCAGGACGAGGGTAAGTACATGTGCGTGGCCAGCAATATACACGGTGAGACTACATGCAGCACCCACCTCCACGTGCGGCAGCGGACACCGGGATTCCCTTGCTTTGCCAAGGAGCCCGACAGCGTGCGGTGTGCCCCAGGCTCCACTGCAGTCTTTGAGTACACAGTGGCCGGGAAGCTAGCCCCCGATGTGCTGTGGTTCAAAGGGAGTGAGCAGCTCTTCTCCGATGTGCGTCATTCCATTGCTCACCACCCTGACGGTTCAGGCTCCCTGACAGTGTGGGACTGTATGGAGGAGGACACTGGGCTCTACACATGCAGGGCAGTGAGTACTCTGGGTGAGGCCATGTGCTCTGCTGAGCTCCTTGTGCTGCCCGAGGAACATGCTGTGTGCAGGCAGAGCCCGGCCTTGCAGCATTCTGCAGTGGTAGAGGACCAAAGCCCCATCTTCTATGAGGAGGCTGGTGAGCTTCCTGCTGTGGAAGGAGCACTCAGTCTTGAGACCACGAGGAAGCCTCTGGCCCTCCTTCAGCTCCAGATGAGCCAGGCAGTGCATGTGTTGCCCAGGGAGGACATCTTGCCTGGTCTGCCATCGACCTGTCTGGCTGTGCAGAGTGTTGAAGAGATGCTCACTCAAGTGGCCATAACACAAGAGAGTGGTAGGCTTCTGGCAGAAGCATGGCAAACCCTCCCTGGTGGCCCACAGGGCGTGGTGCCTGCAGCAGCAACAGAGACGCAACTGCCAGGCTGCCTTGGGACCATAGCTGAACACATACCCTTGATCAAAGAGAAAATCATCCCCAAGGCAGCAGAGCAACTGGCTGCTCTGAAGACAGAGGTTTCCCAAGTCCTTCTACAGGTATCAAGCACCACTGAGAGCTGTGCCATAGAAGGTGACCAAATCCAGGTCCTTGAAAGCTTTCAGGCAACACAAGGTGCGCTGAAGGTTGAACCCAGATTTCCCTCTGAATTGGCCTTTACTGGAGGCCAAGCTGTCCCTCTGGAGAACATTTCTTCCCTGGAAACAATAGAGGAAGATTTTGCTGCAAGAATACATGAGGGACAGGCTGTGAGATTTCCCTTGCTCCTGGAAGAAAATCAGTTCCTGAAGGAGGAACATGTTGATCTTTCCAGCCCACCTAACCAGTGGAAAACAGCATCGAGACAACCCCATGAAAAAATGCACTCTGACCAGCTCCAGGCAAGCCAAGTCCTCAGCAAAGAGAGTCAGCTCACTGCTCTTGTTCCCAAGAGCTGCAACTTGGACATAAAGTCTCAAATTAAAAATGCACTTAAAGCTACAGTGGTAAGTGAGAAAAACCTCTTGTTTTCAGAATGGTTGGCTGATAAAGAAAATGTTGAAGTGCAGACAATAAACATCACGAAGGAGAATACACATACCTTGTGCACCTATGTTGTGACCACAGGACGATGCAGTCCCATAGAAATCCCACTCTCCTTGGGAGACTTCAGCATTCAGACAGCTGACGAGAAAACAGTTTTGAAGGAAGCTTTTTATTCTCTTTGTGAAGATAAACATCTCTTGATAGATGAAAAATGCAAAACATTTCCATTCTATCCCAATCTACTTCTCACAGGAAAACCCTGTGATGAAACCTCTGAGCTGGAGCCCCAGCAGGCTGAGAGGACTATGGAGGCAGAAGTACCATTGGAGCAAGCTTTGCCTACACAACTAATCAACACTGTGACTGGGCGTGGTCAAATCAAGGATGTGGGTGTGGCTGTAGCCACTGCTGATGTAGCCTCTGCAGGTCTTCCCACTCAGGCACCTACAGAAATATTGAAAAGGAAAGAGAAAAGGGAAGAAATATGTGAGGACAAGGGCAGAGAAGATCTGGAAACTAGAGCTGGGAAGTTACAGGCTGAGCTGGGCAAAGAGAATTGTCCCATCATACACAGCAAACTGGTAGATACTGTTGTGGAGGAAGAGGAGTGTGTCAGGCTGGTGTCTGTCATAACAAATGTCAGTGAGGTGAACTGGTACTTTGAGGGTAAACTGGTATCTTCAGGCAACAAATTCAAGTGTTTGCAAGATCAGGACACATACACACTAGTAATAAACAAAGTGTGTGCAGAGATTCACCAAGGAGAGTACACCTGTGAGGCGCTGAATCAAGGTGGAAAAAGAGCAACAGCAGCAAAACTCACAGTTGTTAAAAGAGGTTGGATTATGGGGATAAAATACTGCCTTTTTAATGCACTGCTCTACTAATAAACCTACCCTACTATGTGTCTGTACTTTGGATATGGATACAATATTAATACCATCATGCCACTAATCAGAGGGTCCCCTTCTCTCTGGATTGATGGTCTCCTTTTACCACGTTGCAAAGCCTCTCACTTCTGTTACCCCAGTCTTTGGTCAGGAACTTTGTTGCTTCATTGCACAAGCATGGTCAGGACAAAGCTGTATCTCAATCTCAACCACTTCTCCCATTGTTGCCTGGGAAGTGGACCTGCTCTTCCCATTTTTCCCACTACTGCACCCTCTCTCACTCCTTAGAGTCATTGCACAGATTCACCACAATTTCTTATTCACACCATTATTTCTCACAAATCAAGGATAGTGTACCATATGTCCCATTGCTATTGTGCATTGCTATTTCACTTTATTTTTCCAGTATCATCACAGTGTTTCCTGATGTCATTAGGCACCGTAAGACTGTCTGTCCACTGAGCCTAGTACTGCTTTCATTTCTTAAAGATATTTTTTTTTACAGTCACTTTATGTGAATTGCAAGTATGTCACCTTTTCTTTTCCTTTTTTTCTCAGTCAGTCACTTCACTGTTATTTTTCAGAATGTCAGCAGGCAGGGTTTTGAGTTAATCTCTGCTTCTGATTTCAGTTGCACCTATCCTGAGGAGAAGGCTTGAACCCCTGGAGGTGGCTGTAAATCATGTGGCCAAGTTTACCTGTGAGGTGGAGATGGCTCCCAATGTCAAGTTCCAGTGGTACAAAGCTGGACGAGAGATATATGATGGGGACAAATACTCCATTCGCACTTCCAACTACCTCTCTACACTGGAGATCCCAAGGCCTCAAGTTGTTGACTGTGGAGAATATAGCTGTAAGGCTTCCAATCAGCATGGCAGTGTAAGCTCTACAGCTGTTTTAACAGTAACTGGTAAGTACAGACTTCCAAGAACTTCTTCTCCATAAAATATCTTGGTGTATTGTAATGCTTTCACTGCTATACTTACACTTGTGGGGTTCTTGATTGCTATTATAGTACATAATCCATACCTAATGTTGGCAGGCATAAGCACAGAGAAGGAATAACTTTTGAGAATGCTGCTTTCTGGTGCTTTCTGTACATAGAAAAGGGAATCAGTGTGAAAAGTTTCAGAAGGAAAGAAAAAAGGGAAAAGAGAGCAGGAGGAACGAGACTGTCAACCGAATAAGATTACTTTATGAATACATTCTTGAAAAAGCTTTATTTAACTTCCAGACGACAAGAAATAGACTTTTAAATCTGATTTCTTAGTGTAATAGTCACTGTGTGATTATCCTAGCACCCTATGTTTATCCTGCAGCTATACTTGCGACGCAGGTTATGCAGCTCTGCATACCTGAACATCTTTGTGCTGTGGCCAAAGGGGAACTCTGTGATTGGGCAAATAGATCTTCTTAAGCAAACAAAAGAGGGTAAAGGGTTTCAGTTTGCAAACTTTTTATCTAGTGAGAGCTATACAATTCCTTTTTTTCTTTAAACAAACAAACAAAGAACCCAACAACAAAACAACAAAAACCAAACCACTGTCTTTTGGACATTTAGTGTATGACGATTTTTTTACTCTGACTTTTCTCTTTGTGGGAGGAGTCTTTATGTGGTCTTTGCTAAGTGCTAGCTGCTAGAGACTAACACAGGATGCATGAACTGTGAAATGCGTGCAAACTGACCCGCCTCGAGAGAACAGTATGCAAACATGTCAGTCTTGGGGGAGGAATTTCTGGCTTTTGGTTTATTTTCCTTTAGTTCATAAATTTCTCCAGAGATTCAAAATTCAAGCTCTGGAGCAATATATAGACCAAAGTACCAACCAAAAGCCAAAATTTATCGTCTTTAACGCCTCTTATCTCCTTCACTGCTGGTTTCTTTTGCTTAAGGGTGTCCAGTGAAAAGCTGGCCTCTCTTGCTCTCTGTCGCTGGCAAATGTGAAGAAAGAGCATAGGCTCTGTTCCTCACCTCTGGATAACATTGAACCCCTTTGTTTTGCAGAAGCATTTCCACCAACGTTTCTTACCAGACCTGAATCTATCACTACTTTTGTGGGCAAAAGTGCCAAGTTCCTCTGTACTGTTTTGGGCACTCCAGTCATCGACGTCACCTGGCAGAAAGATGGCACAACTATTTCACCTTCAGACCGCCATAAAATCTCCAAAATGGAAAATAAACATGTTTTAGAAATTTCCTTTCTCACCACCAGTGACAGAGGGGTTTACACATGCAAAGCTTCCAACAAGTTTGGGGCTGATATTTGCCAGGCTGAAATGGTCATTATAGACAAGCCCCACTTCATTAAAGTTTTGCAGTCAGTGCAGTCAGCAGTTAATAAAAAAATACGTCTTGAATGTCAGGTAGATGAAGACAGGAAAGTAACTGTAGGGTGGACAAAGGATGGAAACAAAATCCCTCCGGGCAAAGATTATAAGATTTACTTTGAAGACAAAATAGCCTCGCTTGAGATTCCTCTGGCTAAGCTCAAGGATTCAGGCCACTATGTGTGCACTGCCTCAAACGAGGCAGGAAGCAGCTCCTCTTCTGCCAGCATCACAGTCAGAGGTAAGATAGTTCTACGCTACCTTTACCTTTCCTCTTCTTGAGTTCCTCATTTCTTCTTTTTCAGGCAGAAGACTTCTTTGGGCTGAAATTACACCAAATTCTTCTCAGACCTGCTACACTGTCCATTCCCCTCTAACTCATTTCCCCTGTTGCCTTCCAGTGCACCATGCATTACTTCAATATTTTTTTCACCAGAGAAATCCAAGAATTGCTCCTGCCTGCAGGGGAGAGATGAACAAAGAGGACAGGCAAAACCACAGAAGCTGCAGTTCAGCGAAGATTATGCTGGTCTCTTGTGAACTCATATTTTGTTCTTGTTCAAGGAACCAAACTTTCAAAGCCTTGTATTTCAGCCTTCTTCCCTTTTCCCCTTTCCCTTTTCCATTTCTTTACCCTTTCCTTTTCCATTTTCTTCCCCTTTTTACCATCTCTTCCTCTCTCTTCCCTTTTCCCATTTTTAGAACCACCATCCTTTGTGAAGAAGGTCGATCCATCTTATTTACTGACCCCAGGCGACTCTGCACGCCTTCAATGCAAAATCAAAGGGTCTCCTGAAATCCAGGTTACTTGGTTCAAGAACAATAAGGAAATCCATGAAAGCAACACACACAGGATGTCCTTTGTCAATTCTGTGGCTGTGTTAGATATTTTGGAGATGAAAGTTGATGACAGTGGGACCTACTCATGTGAAGTTGTAAATGAGGTTGGAAGTGACAGCTGCACCACTGAAGTGGTTGTCAAAGGTCTGTCCTTGTTGCTGCCAGTCATTTTCTTGAGAAAAACCTTCCCTTCCTTTCTTTTTTCTGGTAAGGTTGACTAATTCTTTCTTGCTGCTTTTGTAGAACCTCCGTCTTTCATCCGAACACTTGAACCTGCAGAGGTAGTGAAGGGAACAAACACCGTTCTTCAGTGTGAGGTTGCTGGCACTGGACCATTTGAGATTAGCTGGTACAAAGACAAGAAACAGATTCGCAGTAGTAAAAAATACAGGTTGACCTCTCAGAAAGCTGTTATTTCTCTGGAGGTGTCTGCATTTAACAGTGCAGATGTTGGTGAATACGAGTGTGTGATAGCTAATGAAGTCGGAAAGTGCATGTGCAGTGCCACATACATCTTGAAAGGTCAGTAGGAGAGAGAAAACTCCACTTACTGATGGGATTGGCAAAAACCTCTTATTTCTTAAAATGTCTTTTCTTTGGATTTGGGGGTAGCTGGGGAGAATGGGAGTATCTTCTTCTCTTAAATTCTTTGTGTACCTTAACTCTTATCTGACATCAAACCTGTGAATTTGAAGGACGTTGGACCATGCATTAGCTCCCGACTGGAGAATGCTGCTCCTCTACTTGCTTGCTCTTTTGTTGAATTGCTATTTGTATTGTACGTACTGTCTTACAAAACTGTCTTGAAGTAGCAGATTTCATGGGATGATGCAGTAGCAAATGAGTATTTTTTCTTCTCTCTCTTCTTTGAACTAGAACCACCATCTTTTGTTAAGAAAATCGAAAATGTGACGGCTCTGGCTGGAGATAGTGTTACGTTACAGGCCGTGGTGAAAGGGTCAGAGCCTATTTCTGTAATGTGGATGAAGGGCAAAGACGTTATTAAAGATGATAACAATGTGAGAGTGACATTTGATCATGGTCTAGCAACGCTGCAAATTACTGGTGTCCAGCTGAGCTCTGGTGGCAAATACACCTGCGTGGCTGAGAATGATGCAGGAAGTCAGTCCTGCTTTGGTGAACTAGCAGTGAAAGGTTAGTGGAGAAGGGCCGTGATCCCCACAGTCTCCCACCTGAGAGAAAGAGCAATTTTCTTTTGTCCTTAACACCAGTTGTTTAATTCTGTTGTAGAACCTGCCAAAATAATTGAAAAAGCTGAAGTGATCCAGGTTACAGCAGGGGAACCAGCTATTTTGGAGTACACTGTCACAGGCACTCCAGAGCTAAAAACCAAATGGTTCAAAGACGGAAGGCCACTACCTGCCAGCAAAAAATATAGGATCAGCTTCAAAAATAACATTGCCCAGCTCAAGTTTTATGCCACTGAAATGCAGGACAGTGGTGAATACACCTTTGAGATATCCAATGATGTGGGCATCAGCTCTTGTACTACCAGCTTCACTGTGCTAGGTTGGTACTGACCCTTTCCAAAGAACCCTGTTGCTCTACCCTGCACCACCCAACAGAGCCAGAAGCAGAAGAACATACCTGTTTTGCTTATGTGTTTGTTTCTGTAATTTTTTTCACTCTCAACAGATCGCACTCTCCCTCCCTTCTTTACTAAACCACTGAAGAATATTGACAGCATCATTAACACCTCGTGCCGCCTAGACTGCAAAATTTCAGGTTCTCTTCCAATGACCGTCTCTTGGTTCAAGCAGGACACTGAGATCACTACAAGTGCCAAGTACACAGTACATTTTGCAGAAGGCTCAGCATCTTTGGAAATCAAACACCTAGATGCAAGTGATGCTGGGGTCTACATTTGCAGAGCCGCAAACTCTGCTGGTAGCAAAGAGAGCAGTAGTACATTGTTTGTAAAAGGTTTGGCAATTCGTTTCACATTTCTTGGAATTTTACTTTTCATGTGATAATACTTTTCTTTCCCAAACTGCAGGCCATGTGTCTTACTCTTGACAATTTTTTCCTTTCAATGCAATCTAGAGCCACCCAGCTTCACTGTAGAACCAGAGTCTCAAGATGTACTGCCTGCGTCAACCGTACATTTCAAAGGCACATTTAAAGGCACAACACCACTGACAGTGAAATGGTTTAAAGGTGATACTGAGCTTGTGACTGGAGGAGCCTGCTACATTATGACAGAAGCATTAGCAAGTTACTTGGAACTTTATGCAGTCAAACCAGCAGACTCTGGAAAATACACCTGCAAAGTCTCCAATGTAGCTGGCTCAGTAACATGCAGTGCAAACTTGTTTGTAAAAGGTTTGCATTCTTACTCTCTTTTAAAATTCTAGCTGCTGGATTGACCCAGTGGCGCTCTTTCCTGCTTTCTTTGTCCTGAACGTTCTTCTTAAATCCACAGAACCTGCTGCCTTCAAGGAGAAGCTAGAGCCGACCCATCTGGTAAAGAAAGGTGGATATGTTGAGCTGACCTGTGAAGTCACTGGTACTCCTGAGATTAAAATCACATGGTTCAAGGATGATAGAGAGCTAAAAGAGAGTGAAAAATACAGGATGTCTTGTGCAAAATCTTTGGCAACACTTCATGTTTCAGAAGTTGATACTGAAGACAGTGGAGAATACATTTGTGAGGCCAAAAATGATGCTGGAAAAGATATTTGCAGTAGTGTTGTTACAGTCAAAGGTGTGTGTGACATCCTGCCGCACAGTTTGTCTTTTTAAATTCAGTACAGTGTTAGAGGCTTCAGAAGTCTGACTAACGCATTTGTACTCTCTTTTTGCACTGTAGAGTCACCCTATTTTAGCAAGGAATTTCAGTCCATGGAAGTCTTGAAGGATTCTGATGTGGTTTTGGAGTGTGAGGTGCTTGGCACGCCTCCCTTTGAAGTGTTTTGGGTGAAAGATGATAAACCTGTGCGGAGCAGTAAGAAGCACAGAATAAGCATTGAAAAATCTTTGATTAGTCTCCACGTTTTCAGGTTTGATGCTTCTGATGTTGGCGAGTATCAGTGTAGAGTAACAAATGATGTTGGGAGCTGCCTCTGCAGTTCAGAGGTCACACTGAAAGGTTAGTTCAAGGTGTAGAATACCACTAGCATGCTTTTAGCCCAATGTGGTATCTGTGCCACAGTTGTGCACCAAACCCATACTTACATAGCCACTTTCTTCCTGCCAGAGCCTCCACAGTTTTTGAAGAGGATAGAAAACATTAGTTCCCTTCGAGGGGGCACGGTTGTGTTTCAGGCTGCTATTAAAGGCTCCTTGCCCATCACTGTGTCCTGGTTGAAAGACAACGATGAAGTGATTGAAGACAGCAATATCAAAATGACCTTTGTGAACAATGTTGCCACTCTTCTGGTGAGATCTATTGAGCTGAAACATGATGGGAAATATTTCTGTCAGGCTAAAAACGAGGCAGGAATTCAGAGGTGTTCTGCTCTGTTGACTGTCAAAGGTTGGTCTTACCCTGAGGGCTTGCAGTGATCATAGATGGTTCCCTTGTGATTTTTACAGATGCCCTTAACACTCTATCTCCTTGTTTACAACAGAACCTGCTACAATTGTGGACAAGGCCGTGTCAATAGATGTGACTGAGGGAGACCCAGCAACCTTGCAGTGTAAATTTTCGGGAACAAAACCTATTACAGCCAAATGGTTCAAAGATGGCAAGGAACTGACATTAGGCCCAAAATATAAGATCAGTATTACAGATACTGTCTCAGTCCTAAAGGTGCTTCATGCAGAAAAGAAGGATAGTGGAGAATACACTTTTGAGGTTCACAATGACGTTGGGAGCAGTAGCTGTTCTGCCAACATTAATGTCCTAGGTGTGTATGGGCTTTCTCTTACCATTGTTTTTAGATTCAAAATCTTTTCTCCTGAGCTGATATCTGTCACAATCAAGGCTGAATTTCATACTTTGTCTTTTTACTCTGTCTTGGATAGATCTCATTATACCACCTAAATTCACAAAAAAACTCAAGAAAATGGACAGCATTAAGGGGTCTTTTGTCCACCTGGAGTGCATAGTGTCTGGTTCACATCCTATAAGTATCCAGTGGTACAAGGATGGCCAAGAAATAACAGCAAGTGAAAAACACAAATATTCTTTCCATGATAATACTGCATTTCTGGAAATAAATAAACTGGAAGGCACAGACACTGGCTCTTACACCTGTGAAGCAACAAATAAAGCAGGAAGCAACCAATGCAGCGGGTTCTTAACAGTCAAAGGTTTGAGTTCTTTCTTTGTCTTGTGTTAGGGGTCTCATTCATAATTTTGGATTTCCCTGTCTCAGCGTAATCCCCTTTCTTCCTTTTTGCGTGTTATAGAACCTCCATATTTTGTGGAAAAACCCCAGTCTCAAGAGGTTGTGCCCAGTGCTAGAGTTCAGTTCAAAGCACTGGTGAAAGGGTCTACTCCTCTGCAGATAAAGTGGTTTAAAGACAGCCAGGAGCTCCTGTCTGGAGCCAATCGATCTGTCTGGAAGGACGACACATCTAGTGTACTGGAGCTCTTCTCAGCTAGAACGTCTGATTCTGGGAACTACACTTGTCAGATAAGCAATGATGTGGGGACTGCAACTTGCAAAGCAACTCTGTTTGTAAAAGGTGTGCAACCCAATCTCCTCATTTTTTGGTTCTGATTTTTCTGTGCAATTTTGGTGGGAGGGGGAGGAAACCTTTTTATTTCTTTAAATTCTGCATTTTATTCCAACCTTAAATATTAAAAGCCTCAACTTCTCTGTCCATCTTCTAGAGCCCCCCAGATTTATTCAGATGCCAACTTCTGTAGTAGCTTTGCGTGAAGGACAGTCCACCACTTTTGAGTGCCAGGTAGTAGGCACACCAGAGATCCACATTACATGGTACCTGGATGGGAATGAAGTGACTGACCAGGCTAAGTACGGCATCTCCTTCATAGATGGATTAGCTACTTTGAAAGTCACTCAAGCCAGAGTGGCAGATAGTGGGATTTATGTTTGTGAAGCCCACAATGATGCAGGTAGTGAGAGCTGCAGCGTTGAGCTGAAAGTAAAAGGTTAGTTTTGAACATCTTGTCATCTATGTCACATATCTGGGATGAGGAAGTAGGAGATACTTCTTCTCCCCTCAAAACTATTTAATGTTACTATCTACTAAAGGTTATTATCATTCTTCTTTATAGAGCCTCCAACCTTTGTTCGGGAGTTGAGTCCCACCAAGGTAGTGAAGGGCTCAGAGGCCACACTAGAGTGTGAGGTGACTGGTACTCCTCCATTTGAGGTGAAGTGGCTGAAGAACAATAAGGAAATGTTCAGCAGCAAGAAATATGCCATCTCCACCAAAGAATTAGTATTTACTCTTAATGTGACTAACTGTGATGTCTCGGATGTTGGTGAATATCAGTGTATTATATCAAATGAAGGTGGGAGCTGTTCTTGCAGCACAAGGCTCAGCTTGAAAGGTCAGTCCTCTAGGAAGCATACCTCAAACATTATATTGCCTAGCTAAACTGTAGTGACTAGGATTACTTTATATGATCTCACTTTCCCCTCTTCCCTTTCCATGACTTCTCTTCTAAACCAAACTCACACAACAGAACCACCGTCCTTTGTCAAGAAGCTGGAGAACGTCACTAGCATTTTGAAAGGTGATGCATTCTTTCAGTGCATCATAGCAGGTGCTCAACCCTTATCTGTGTCATGGATAAAAGATGAGAAAATATTAGAAGACGATCAGCATCACCATATTACCTTTGAGAACAACGTGGCCACACTGAAGCTTGCTAATGTTGACCTCAGCCACAGAGGGAGATACACCTGTCAGGCCAAGAATGAATCTGGCTTGGAGAAGTGTTTTGCTTTGCTTTTTGTACAAGGTGTGTACAAGGTGTGACCTTGATGAGTATTTGAAAGTCAGTCCCCTATCTACGTAGCTAACTGTTGTTTTTATACTCTTTATACCTCAGAGCCTGCACAGATCATAGAAAAGGCTAAATCGCTTAAAGTCACTGAAAGAGACCCTGTGACTTTGGAGTGTACTGTGGCTGGGACGCCAGAGCTCCGAATAAGATGGTACAAAGATGGCAAACAGCTCCTGCCCAGTAGATACTACACAATGACCTTTGAAAACAATGTGGCCAGTTTCAGGATTGAACCTGTATCAAAGGAGGATAGTGGTACATACACTTTTAAGGTTGAAAATGACTTTGGAAGTAGCACCTGTGAAGCTGTTCTGACTGTGCTAGGTTTGTATTGACATATGGGAAATTTGCCAATACAGGGAGGGAATGAAAAAAATAATAATTCCTGTGAAAGCTAAGCAAGAAGTTGACCAGTGTGTTTTTGCCATTTCTTGTGTTGGGCAGATCAATCAATTCCTCCTGTGTTTATCAAAAAACTAACCAAAAAGGATACTGTTCTGGGATCTTCTATCCAAATGGAGTGCAAAGTCTCTGGGTCACTCCCCATTATTGCAAAATGGTTTAAGGATGGAAAAGAGATAACTGACAGTGCAAAATATAGAAGTCTGTGCCATGAGAACACTATGTCACTTGAGATTGCTAATCTAGAGCTGGCAGACAGTGCAAATTACACGTGCAGTGTCTCTAATGTTGCTGGAAACGACTCTTGCAGTGCTGTCCTGACTGTGAAAGGTTTGAAACTCTTTTAATACTTCTTATTTGTGATAGATGCTGGAAAAATACCTTAAATCTTGTCCTAACATAACACTCTTATATATCTTGATGTAAATACTAAAAACTTGGTCTCCATGCTTGCCTCACTAATTTTCTTCATTCTTAGACATTTCTGATGTAACTGAGTATTTCTTTTTCTTAAAAACTCCAGAGCCACCAAGCTTCTTAGTAAAACCTGAAAGCCAACAAGCCATCCCAGATTCCACAGTGGAGTTTAAGGCCACACTAAAAGGAACACCACCCTTTACAGTAAAGTGGTTCAAAGAAGATTTAGAACTTGTATCTGGTCCAACTTGTTTCATTGGGATTGAAGGTTCAACTGGGTTCTTAACCCTCTATTCAGTGGATACTTCTAGGACTGGGCACTACACTTGCCACGTTTCAAATGACGTTGGCAGTGACTCTTGCACTACAACACTGATGGTAACAGGTGTGCACTCTTTCTTGATGTGTTGCAACCTTTTTGTCTCTTTCTTCTCTTTCCTTTTTACCAAACCCACTCCAGTGATCTTTGATACACTGCCAAGTGAATTCCCTTTCTTGTGCTTGCAACCCATAGTTTTTTGGCTCTTTTTCCCCATATTTTCTTTCCAGTATTAATTCAAACCTTCCTGACCCCACTGTTTTGGTTTTTTTAGAACCACCCAAGTTTGCTAAGAAGCTAGAGGCAACAAAAGTAGTCAAGCAGGGTGACTCAGCCCGGCTTGAGTGCAAAGTAAGTGGATCTCCAGAGATGAAAGTAGTGTGGTTCAGAAATGACCATGAAATTGTTGCCAGTGAAAAATTCCGGATGTCTTTCATTGACTCTGTGGCTGTGCTTGAAATGAATTATCTCAGTACTGATGAGAGCGGTGACTACATCTGTGAAGCTCACAACCCTGCCGGCAAGGCCAGCTGTAGCACCAAAGTCACAGTGAAAGGTTAGCTGTTCTCTTGTTCTCTGATTGCATCCTATTTTTCCTCTGGTGGTTGTACCCCTTGGAAATCCATAGGAACATAAGCTTAATTTCTTATTTCAGGGTTGCCCTTTTCTTCATGTCATGTTTATTTCTTGATGCCCCTCATCCTCCTTGCCAATTCCCGAACAAGGATGATGTTCTTAATGCAGAAAAATTCTAAGCTAGTTGTTCCCCAGTTCTAAATTTTAAATGTCCAAGACATATCATAGTGGGGATTTCTATATAAAGGAGCTGAAATATGAAGAAAAAGAACAGATATGAACTGAATAGTATCAGTTTTACACTGTGTATGGGAGATTACTACTAGATTAATGAGACCTGTACCCTCTCTGCCAAGGGACACCCTGCTGTTTAGCTTTTATACAGAGGAGCTAAGGACTCTGAATGCTCACCTGTGGGCAAGTTAATTTCATAATGTGCCCAGAAAATGAGGGAAGCCCTTGCCCCTTCTGAAGATATTCTCAGCAGTTTCATTGTTTAGAAGCTGATATCAGTAAACTTTGTTGGCCAAATAGCTCTAGACTCCTTTCTAAAAATGTTCCTCTCTTCCCTTGTTAGAACCTCCTGTCTTTAGCAGGAAACCCTCTCCAGTAGATATTGTCAAAGGATCTGAGGTTAGCCTGGAATGCGAGATTTCAGGAACACCTCCATTTGACGTTGCCTGGTACAAAGACAGGAGACAAATCCGCAGTAGTAAGAAGTACAAGGTTACAACCAAAAACTACCAGACAAGTGTGCACATTCTTAATGTTGAAGCTGCGGATGTTGGTGAATATCAGTGCAAAGCACAGAACGATGTAGGAAGTGACACTTGTTTTTGCGCTGTGAAGTTGAAAGGTAAAGTATTGATACACGTACCTTCTGCAGTGCTCCCAAGGGTGCTGCATTGCTCTTCTTTAAGAAAACACTGTGAGTATTTACTGTAACTTCGTATTTCTTCTTCAGAACCACCAAAATTCTTGACTAAAATAAACAGCGTGACTGTTGTGGTTGGTGAACCAGTAGAGTTACAAGCAAGAGTGGAGGGCTCTCAGCCAATTGCTGTGCAGTGGCTTAAAGACAAAGAGGAAATTATTAGAGAAAGTGAAAACACGAAGATCACATTTATGGAAAATATTGCAACTTTACAATTTGTGCACACGGAGACAAGCAGTTCTGGAAAATACACCTGTCAGATCAGAAATGATGCTGGAAGTCGCGAGTGTATGGCTACCTTAACTATTCTAGGTTGGTAAAAAGCACAAATTCATGAAAGTTGGGGTTTTTTTAAAGTTAGAAACTTGGCTATTTAGTGTCAGCTGTATACTCTGCTTATGCCCCTGAGTTCAAAACAATCAAAACAGAGAATCATTCTCTGCCCAACAAGCAGCAGTCAGGTTCCGTATTTCCAATTTTCAGGGATAGGAGTAAAAGGAACCGCTCATGCCTGGTGGGAGAGGGACAGGTAGTTGCATTTTTCTCTTAGGAGATTAAAATATTTGTACTTAATTTTTTAGAGCATCTGAAACTTCCAGTTTGGGGTAGAAGAAAGGATGGAAAAAAACAGCTGAAAAAATTCCACTCTAACAAACTGAAATTTCTTTAGCATCAAATGTGTAAACTCCATCTTATACTGCTGTAATGCTTATAGTTAGTACTAATCAAATCCTCTTTTCACCATATACTTTACCCATCTCTCCTTCCAGAGCCTGCAGTCATTGTAGAGAAAGCAGAGCCAATGAGAGTTACTGTAGGAGATGCCTGTACTTTGGAGTGCAAAGTGGCAGGCACACCACAGCTTTCCACTGGGTGGTTCAAGGATGGCAAAGAGCTGACCAGCAGTCAAAAATACAAAATTACTTTCCTCAATAACGTATCTACACTTAAAATTATGGATGCAGAAAAGGAAGATGGTGGACTGTACACTTTTGCAGTGCAAAATGACGTGGGGAAAAGCAGTTGCACAGCATCAGTTGATGTTTTAGGTTGGTTGGGTATCTTGTCTTCTATCTTTTACAAAAGCTTTTGTTTGGTCATGTTCTCTGTCCTTTCTTCCATTCCTTTCCTCATTTTCTCTCTAACCTTGGATTTATTATGTTTTCTTATGCAGATCGAATCATTCCTCCTTCTTTCACAAGAAAACTAAAGGACACCCCCTGTGTTCTGAGTTCATCAGCACTGCTGGAATGTAAAGTGTCAGGTTCACCTCCTATTTCTGTTGCCTGGTTTCAAAATGGACTTAAATTAGTCAATGGAGAAAAACATCAAATCTCCTTTTCAGATAACCTTTGTATTTTAGAAGTTAATTCACTGAGCAACTCAGATACTGGAACTTACACCTGCAAAGCTACCAACGTAGCTGGTTCAGATGAATGCAGTGCTGTATTGACTGTACAAGGTCAGTATATGATAGTCAGGAAGCTCTCTGAGCTGTTCTTTTCTCTTTCTCTTTTGAAATTGCCTGCGGTCTCTTGTAAATATTCTTGGGGAAAATTATTGACTGAAAAATAAAGATTTTGCTCTTTGTCTTCAGTAGTGTGTGGAAATGCCAGAGTTATGCTGCAGCAACCTGCCTCATCTCTCTTTTTCTCTTGTGTGTTTAGAGCCACCATCTTTTGAGAGGACACCAGAGCCTCTGGATGTATTGCCAGGCACAAGCATCACTTTCACATGTGTTGTCAGAGGAACCCCTCCTTTTAAGGTCAACTGGTTTAGAGGGGCCAATGAGCTTGTGCCAGGGGACAAATGCAATATCTACTTGGAGGAGTCCGTTGTGGAGCTTGAGTTATTTGATGTAACTCCTCCCCAAAGTGGAGAGTATACTTGTCTAGTGACTAATGATGCTGGCAGGGCAAATTGTTCAACACACCTTACAGTAAAAGGTTTGTAAAGATAGATCTCTCTATTTACCTTAAAATATTTTTTCCTTCTCTCCATTTGGCATGTTGTGTTCAACATTTGTGACTTCTTACCTTTCATTAGAGCCAGCTGTCTTTGTGAAGAAACTGAGTGATCAGTATGTGGAACCTGGCAAGCCCATCATCCTGGAGGGCACTTACACAGGCAGCCTCCCCATCTCTGTGACATGGAAGAAGAATGGCCACACCATCACACAATCTCAGAAGTGTAGCATCACCACCACAGAGAAATCCTGCATCCTGGAAATACTTGACAGCACCAAAGAAGATTCAGGAGAATATACTTGCCATGTTGAAAATGAGGCGGGAAGAGATGTTTGTGAAGCTGTGGTCTCTACCCTAGGTGTGTGCACCCTTTGCTTCTTTTTCTTGCCTTTTTTTAAGTGTATGCTTTCCAAAGCCTGACACTACAATGACCCTATCTAATTGCTTCTCTTTTTTAGAACCTCCCTATTTTGTTACACACTTGGAACCTCTTGAGGTGTCAGTTGGGGATTATACAACATTGCAATGTCGTGTTGCTGGAACACCAGAAATTACTGTGTCTTGGTACAAAGGTGACACAAAACTCAGGTCTACTCCTGAGTACAAAGTGTTCTTTAAAGACAACGTTGCTACACTTATTTTCAACAAAGTGGTTAGCAATGACACTGGAGAATATATCTGCAAGGCAGAAAACAGTGTAGGAACTGCATCTACAAAGGCTCTCTTAACAGTTCAAGGTGATGATTTTATATTGGCTTGATAAAATTCTTTTTCTCTCACAAAACTATAAAAAAATTGCTTACTGGGGATTATTTATCCTTTACTTGCTTTCTTCTAGAGCGCAAACGACCACCTTCCTTTGCAAGAAAGTTAAAGGACATCGAGCACCCTGCTGGTTTACCCCTTAAATTTATGTGTCGGCTCAATGGCTCAGAACCCATTACTGTTACTTGGCACAAAGATGGGGTGCCACTGAGTGATGATCACAATGTGCACACATCCTTTGTAGATAACGTTGCAGTGCTGCAACTGGTGCGAACCGAGATGAATCATACTGGGCAGTACTCCTGCACAGCCACCAATTCTGTGGGCACTGCCACCACAAGTGCTAGGCTCACAGTGGCAGGTGTGTTGGCTTACAAAACTTTTACCTGGATCACGGGCTCCTCTCTCTCCTTTCATGCATGCAATGGTATATATGTGTTGGATTAACTTTTTTGTGAGGTGTATTACATGGTTTTCTTGTGCTTTTAGAACCCAAGCAAGCACCTGTCTTTGACACCAAACCAGAATCTATTGATGTGCCTTTTGGAGAAAGTGCTGACTTTGAATGTCATGTTACGGGTGCCCAGCCAATACACATAACCTGGTCCAAAGATGGTCGGGAGATTCGAACAGGAGGAAACTTCAATATTACATTTATAAACAACACAGCTCACCTTCGAGTGCTCAGAGTGGGTAAAGGAGACTCTGGCCAATATACTTGCCAAGCTAGTAATGAAGCTGGGAAAGACTTTTGCTCAGCCCAACTCAGTGTCAAAGGTATTAAGACTAAATCACTTTTGTTTGTGTGTTTTCTTTTTCTTGGGTAAAGAGACTTTTTTGTCTCATCTTCTACCATTTCTAGTTCAGAAATATATAGAAAGCAGCTTTCCAGACAGCAGACATAAACCATGAAGTGACCTTCTCCCATCATAATATGTAACAGTAGAAACCTTCTGTGCCTGTGAAATCTCTGTCTTTGTGAACCTTTTTGTAGGTAGAATTGCACTCACACTGCTTTTAACTTTAGTGGTTGGCTACAGTCTCTGTGGTATTCAGTCATAGTAATTACTATTGGAACACAGTGGTAAGTAAATACAGTATCTTGCCGTTGTTTACCAGCGAACTCTTTTGACTTTGCTAAAGATTTCAATTTTGAATTGTTGATTTAATCTAGACTATGCATCACTTAATTTCTTCATGCAGAAATATACTTTAAATATGTGTAAGCAAGTGAAACTATCCCTACCGTGTTTCTGTTGCTCCTGGGGATGAAAGACTTGTAAAATTTTTCATGCTGGCCTGCGAACCTGTTACCCCTCAAAGGTAACAGCAAAATTTCTCTTGGATGGAGCAACCATCCTTTGTATGTTTTCTATAGGTTCATCTGTCTGATGCAGCAGGGTCTAAAGGTGGCAGAACGTAGTTTGAGTTGTTGTCTTTGCCTTCTTTTTTCCATCTTCTGTCTTTCCTTGAGAGGAAATTCTGGTGGGAATGCAGCCTGCTGCAGTAGCAGTCTTACTTTGTTGTTTCTCAGTACTCTTGTGCCTCCCAGAACTTTCGCTCAGCACTGTAGATTTCACAAACAGGTATCCTGTCATTCTCTACATATTTATTCTGTTCTGCAGAACCTCCGAAGTTCGTCAAGAAGCCTGAAGCTTTGCGGTTCGTGAAGCAGGGGGACACAGTTCAACTTGAATGCAAAATCAGTGGCACACCAGAGATCAGAATCGTGTGGTATAAAAATGATCAGGCGCTCCAGGCGAGCGACAGGCTCCACATGTCCTTTGTAGACTCCGTGGCAATGCTAACCATCCCGGGTGCCAACACTGAAGATGCTGGGGATTACATATGTGAAGCCCATAACTCTGCTGGCACAGCCAGCTGCAGCACTTCAGTCACAGTGAAAGGTTAGCAGCGTGGCTTCACACACAGCCAGAATCCCTGGCTACCAGTCCCTGCTCCCAGCTGCACGTCCCTCAGACAGGGAGCTGCTGCTGCAGAAGTTGGTGGCTGCTGGGACAGTGTCTCTCCATCTGGTCTCACATTGAAATGTTGCTGTGTTTATGCAGCAGAGATCAGGCAGGAAATTGTGGTGGGTGTTGAGCACTGTGCAGCTGTTCCCTTGTCTCTCCATATAAGTCAACTGAAAGATGAACAAGGCAAGGTTTTCAAATCACAAGGACTAGATAGAACACCAGCCATGGTGAGGGAGCTGGAAATACTTTTCAGCCATCCCTCTGCCTCCTCTTTATACACAGTGATCCTGACAGGAATAAAATTTAAGACGGAAGAGGAGGCTGTGTAGCTGAGTCTCACTGATTGTAGCTTTCGTAACTAGAAAGAGTGGGGAGGAAAGCCGGAATGTGATCCTGGAGAGCAGGGAGAGTGGCTTTTGGGGAGGGACATCAAGCACTGACTCCAGACAGGTGCAGAAGTGTCACATTTTCTGCTCTTTGGACTGCTGGGATTTTTTAGAGGTCAGGCCACATATTTAAAAGTTAAATATGTGTTTACAAGAATAAATGTAGGCTCCCTTCCTGAATATGTTGCCTCCTGCTACTCTCCAGAAACCCACCCAGAGAAGCAGGCTCACACATTATGATGTGATTGTTTTTTTATAGAACCACCTGTTTTTATCAAAGTGCCAAGCCCTGTGGAGACTCTTAAAGGCTCAGATGTTATCCTCCAGTGCGAGATAGAAGGGACCCCACCCTTTGAGGTGGCTTGGTTCAAGGACCGAAGGCAGGTCAGGAGCAGCAAGAAATTCAAGGTGACAGCAAAACACTCCATTGCCAGTCTTCATATTCTCAATCTGGAATCTCAAGATACTGGAGAATATCAATGCAAAGCTATGAATGAGGTGGGAAGCGACACTTGCACTTGCCCAGTGAAATTCAAAGGTTTGTATGCTAGAGGATCAACAACATCACTGCCCTCTTTTCTTGATTTTCTTGCTGTCCCTCTTTCAAGCAAGCATGTATGATTAACTGTCCTCTGCCTCCTTGTTTTTGCCATCAGAACCCCCACGGTTTGCCAAGAAGCTGAGTGACACTGTAATCTTCATCGGGGAGCCAACAGCTCTGCAGGCAGTGGTGGAAGGATCTCCACCAATTTCTGTTGTCTGGCTCAAGGATAAGGGTGAAGTTATTAGGGAGAGTGAAAATGTTCAAATGTGGTTTATGGACAACATAGCAACTCTTGAGATAGCCAGTGCAGAGGGAGCTGATGTTGGGAAGTACATCTGTCAGATCAAAAATGATGCTGGCATGCGGGAGTGCTCTGCCTTTTTACAAGTCCTAGGTGGGTATAGCCTACTTCACAGATACTATATCTTACAGCTTGAAAAATTGCCTTTGTTCTCTGCTTATGTCCTCTGCTCACTAGTTTGAGGGTAGATTTATTGGTGACACACAGATCTTCCAATTTCAGAACCAGCAGTCATCTTAGAGAAGACTGAGCCGATCACAGTAATGGCTGGTAATCCTTTTACCCTGGAGTGCAAAGTAGGAGGAACACCTGAACTTATCACCAAGTGGTACAAAGATGGCAGAGAACTAAGGAGTGACCGCAAATACCAAATTACATTTTTCAACAATATATCCACTTTGAAAGTCTTTTCTGCAGACAGGGGAGACAGGGGCTTATATACTTTTGAGGTGCACAATGAAGTGGGGGACAGCAGCTGCACTTCTTCAGTTGATGTTTCAGGTCAGCTCTATATCTTTGTTGTTCACATTTGTCTTTAAAGGAAGCTTTTATTTTTCCCCCTTTTCTTTCCACTGAAAAAAACCCCAAAACCAACCTTTCTCTTCCTGTGCTTCTTCCCTGTCCTACTTAGATCGTCTTGTTCCTCCTTCATTCTCAAGAAAATTAAAAGAAACAAATGGGGTACTGGGATCCTCAGTGCTGCTGGAGTGCAAAGTGTCTGGCACATCCCCCATATCTGTGTCCTGGTTTCAAGATGGGAATGAGATTGTTAGTGGAGAAAAATATGAAATCTCATTCTTGGATGATGTTTGTGCTTTGAAGCTGAATGCTCTGGATGCCACAGATACAGGGACATATACCTGTGTGGCAGCCAATGTGGCTGGATCTGATGAATGCAGTGCCTTCTTGACTGTACAAGGTCAGTGTAAGGATACTACAGTACTTTCACCAAAATTCTTCTTCCCTCTTCTCTTTCTCCCCTCTGCTTTCTCATGGTTTCTTTTTCATGTTTGTTTTTTGGGGGGATTTTTCCTGTGGGTTTTTTTTCTTGACTCAAATCTGTTCCAGTTTTCCTCCCCACAGAAACTCTCCTATTAACATCTTTTTCCCTCTTTCACTTCTTTGCATGATCTTTAGAACCACCTTCTTTTGTGAAGACACCTGATCCTCAGGAAGTTTTGCCTGGATCAAGTGTAACATTTACCAGCTACATCAAGGGTAGTGCTCCCTTCAAAGTGACCTGGTTTCGAGGCATCAGGGAACTGGTGCCGGACAGCAACTGCTCCATCTCTTTCAAAGAATCTGTGGCACAGCTGCAGCTGTACAACGTGGAGCCAGGCCACAGCGGGGACTATGCCTGTGTGGTCACAAATGATGCTGGCAGTGCCTCATGTACAACCCAGCTCTTTGTTAAAGGTGTGTTTGAGTGTGTGCATGAATGCACAGTTGTCTTAATTCACGGTCTGCCTGCATCTCTTCCACTTCTGTCCCTCTCACTATTGATTTATACCTCTTCACAGAGCCTGCAGTCTTTGTGAAGAAATTAAGTGATTTCAGTGTGGAGCAGGGGAAGTCCATTGTGCTGGAAAGCAGCTACATAGGTACCCCTCCCATCTCTGTCACCTGGAAAAGAAATGGCATACCCATTGCACAGTCCCCACGCTGCAGTGTTACAACTACTGAAAAATCTGGCATTCTTGAAATCTTCAACAGCACCAAGAATGATGAAGGCGAATACACCTGTGAGGTGGCAAATGAGGCGGGTGGGGATGTTTGCCACAGCCTTGTATCCATCTTAGGTATGCCTCAACCCTGATTCCCCTAAGGCACCCACCCCAGTGATGCTCTGTCTCTGCTCACCATGCTCTCTCCTTCCCTAGAACCACCCTATTTTGTCACACATCTGGACCGTGTGGAGGTGAAGGTTGGCGAGCCCTTGATCTTAAAATGCCAGATTGGTGGTTCGCCAGAAATCAAGGTGTCCTGGTATAAAGATGACACCAAGCTGAGATCAACACAAGCTTACAAAATGCACTTCAAGAACAATGTGGCGACACTGGCATTCTCCACTGTAGAGGATAGCAACATTGGAGAATATATCTGCAAAGCAGAAAATAGCATCGGCTTCGCCACCTCCACAGCTTTGCTTGTTGTTAAAGGTGATGGACCAAGGGCCACTCTTTTCTGGGGTAGTTTGTAGGAACTCTTTTTTGCCTTCAGGAAGGGGTTCTTATTAATTTCCAAGTTAATTAATTCCAGGTTGACAGGATGGCTTCTTACTGATAGTGGTGATTATTATTGTTTTACAGAACGTCAACTTCCCCCTACATTCACCAGAAAACTAAAAGATATTCAGGAGGTGGTTGGTGCCCCAGTGACATTTGACTGCCGTATAAATGGCTCAGAGCCTATCCAGGTGTCTTGGTACAAGGATGGGGTTCTCTTAAGCGACAGTGATAACATGCAATCAGCCTTCTTAAATAACGTTGCGACTCTCCAAATCTTGCAAACTAGTATGGCTCACTGTGGCCAGTATACTTGCTCAGCCCAAAATGCTCTGGGGACTGCATCTTCCAGTGCCAAACTTCTCCTCACAGGTTTGTACCTCATACTTTAATGAAGAATTTTCTATGTCTTTGCTCTCTTATTTCCCCCCACCTTTTCCGACTCTACCCTTTGTGCAGTGGCAAGGGACAATGGGCACGGAGTGGTGAGAAGGGCTTGATGATGAGTTCTGGCATACTTTCCTCTTTGCAGAACAACTACAACCTCCATTCTTTGACATCAAACCAGTATCTATCGATGTGGCACTAGGGGAAAGTGCAACCTTTAAGTGCCATGTGACTGGTTCTGCTCCCATGAGGATTACTTGGACCAGAGACAACAGAGAGATTCGTCCTGGTGGCAACTACAAAATGACACTCGTGGAAAACACAGCCAGCTTGACAGTCCTAAAAGTTGGTAAAGGGGATGCTGGACTCTACACATGTACTGCCAGCAACAGTGTTGGAAAGGACGCGTGCGCAGCTCAGCTGGCTGTACAAGGTATTGCTGTGGGCTTTAGTGTTCATAAGGCTTTTCTTTGCAAGACACACTGGAAAACACAGTCCTGAATACAGACGTGCAATTAACAACCTTCACAAGAGGCTACATTAAGATGTCTTATTTCACTTAAATATTATTGTAATACATAAATACTTATTAATCTTTCTTCTGATCTGGTATAGTGTGTGATTTTTCTTATCAAAGGGATTCTTCCATTGAAATGTTAACTCTCGCTTAGTACCCTGTTGCGTCTTTATGAATGGTCATGTTGGCCAGCAAAATCTAGCTTTCTGAAGTCTTTCTCCAGCAGTGACATTCACTAGGTTGCCCATGGGAGGGAAAGAAACTGACAGAAACTCAGCTCACTTATGAGGCTTAAAAGTATTTGTACTGGGTGTGCAGCTCCTGCAAGTAGTTTTGCTCTTTCACAGGCTGAAAACATTGAAAATTGCTGTTCTAGACAGCAAAACTGGAGGATCTGAGAGCAGACTTGGTAACAAATATCTGTTCCAACAACACTTCACTTCTCCACATAGTGTGTGGATCTAAAAGTGAAATCTAAATTTATTACTGGGTCAGACTCTATTGGTACGAGTGACACTTGTATATTAGGGCAATTTTCTCAAAGTAGGTGGGAACTATTTATAACTGTTCCTGACATCTTATTCTTACTGATTTTGTAAAAGAAGAAATGTAAAATACACTGCTTAGATTATGCTTGAGTTCAGATGTCCCTGTTGGTTTAGCATTTTCATTCCTTTTTTTTTCTTTTTCCTCTGTATGAATTTGGGGGAAAAATATTTCAAGAGTAACTCCTTTTACTCGCTAAGACAAATAACACAGGAAGTTGAACTTCCAGTAGCAAGATTTTGTATTAATTGTGTAACAAATGTTTTTTATATATCGAGTATATTCTAGCCTTAGGGATTTTTCTTGGTGGGGATGGGAAGAGTGTATAAGACTGAATTATCTGAATTCAGTAATAAGTAGGGTTGCTGTACTATGTGGCTTAATTTACAGAAGGTTGTAGTAAGAAATCTAATCTCTTCAAAAGATCTGAAGCTTCTTTCCACCGCAATCACAATTCTGTTTATTATTAATTATAACATTGCTAATAGGTTTATTTGACCAGAGTTACCATTCATAAAGTGATCCCAGCTGACCTTATTTATTTTCTTACCCTTCAAATCTTTATTCATAAAATCCTGGGGTTTTTTTTCAGGATTATTATTTTATTTTTTGATCCTGAGTTTACACTTAAAGTCGCTTCAGTCCTTTAGAATTTGTACAGTTTCCCCAGGGCTGTTAAATTAGTGATGTTTGTTGTTTTCAGCCAATTTCTATAGAGCTTGGAAGCGCAATCTCTTTGTGTGTATTGATTTGCATTGTGTTCAATTTGAGTATATACTGTCTCACTTCTATGGCATGCAACTTGTTTGTAGAATTAGGATCTTTTGTTCAATTGACCTTGAAAAACTCCCAGTTTTTTGTTAACTTTCTCACTTTAACATCTAATATTCCCAATCCGTTAGTTTTAACAATTGCTTTATGTTCTAAAAACTACTTTACATTCTAAATATATACCTTACTAACATGCATATCCTCATTTTTTGAAAGGAGTGGAATTAGACTGTAACTACTCAGCAACTGTTAATATGCAGATAGATAATCAACTTCCTCTCAAATTTGAAATCTGATAGTAAACTGCTAAGGTCCCAAGAGTCCCGACGTTAACGACCCATTATTTATATTTTTAGAAACTCTAAGGAAGTTTTGTTACTAACAACACAGGATGTTCTGCAATTGACCCACAGGTTGAAGTAACCCACAATAAAATAGATATTCTTCCTACACTTTACAGACAGATGCGCAAAGTGGCACTTCATCCTGGTTTGCAGAGAGATTTGCTTGTTGTGCCCACATTACCACCTCTTAGTTTTACTGGTTATATCTTTGATCCACAGGCATTCAGTCTTGTGATTCTAATCATCCACATGGTACTTTTGATGAAAAGTGTCGAACCTCCATTCCTTTCCTCTACTTATGGAACAAAATGTAACCATCTGGTTTACTTTTCAGTCACAGGACATTTAACACCAACTTCTGTAATACCAGTCATCTCATAATTCTTGTCAGCATGATTATTTTGAAGCTCTTTTGTTTGCTACATAAGCTCCTTAACTTTTATTCCTTACATGCAACTTTATGTTTGGCTTCGCATTAAATGTGTGAGAGGTTATAATGCAGAAACATTTATTGACTATATTAATTATTAGTCACATATTAAGATATAAAGCAGTTGCTCTAATGCTCAACAGAAATGCTTTTACTAATGTTGCTTGGCTGAACAGTTGTATTCTTGCATTTCCATCCGGCATTTTGATTGGTCATGTATTACAAGAGGATATTTCTTAAAGAATAAGTAGTGAATACATACAAGGAGAGGTACAGTGGGTCAATAAAGTAAGGAGAAACTAACTAAAATGCATATAGAGAACTTGTTTGCTTCCTAATCTAGATTTTGGACCAACTCAAAATCATCTAAAAAATCTATAACCATTGCAAAATCAGATTTTTCCCATAAGTCCCTAAAGTTTACAGTTTTTCTTACTTATCTCCCTGCTTATTCAAAGAATCAGTGCAGTTTAAAGCATCATCTCCCCTTTTTGGCTTTCCAGAACCACCAAGGTTTATTAAGAAACTAGACTCCTCAAAACTTGTGAAACAGCACGATTCCATTAAGTATGAATGCAAAGTAGGTGGATCTCCAGAAATCAAAGTCACCTGGTACAAGGGTGAAACTGAGATTCATCCCAGTGAAAAATACAGAATGTCCTTTGAGGATTCAGTGGCAGTCATTGAAATGCACAACCTCAGTGTTGAAGACAGCGGTGACTACACGTGTGAAGCTCAGAATCCAGCGGGTAGTGCAAGCACCAGTACTTCACTGAGAGTAAAAGGTCAGAACCTCAGTTCTTTCCTTCCATTTCTAGCAGTAAAAGTCCTCCTTTGTCGAAAAACTCTTAAATTCCACTTTCTTTTGTCAGGGAGGCCAAAACCTCTCTGACTAGATGGCAAATCTCTTGTTTGTTTCTGATCTCTGTGGGAGGTCTTTCTTATCCATTGTTTATCTTCACTATTCGGCATCAGAATGGCTCCTTGAATTGTCTGTCCTCTTAAATCTACTTTGCTCAAATAACATAAACTATAGTTCTTTTCTTTTTATTTTTTTCCAGCACCCCCCATTTTTACCAAGAAGCCCCATCCAGTCCAGACCTTGAAAGGGTCTGATATTCATCTGGAATGTGAGCTTCAGGGCACTCCTCCGTTCCAGATTTCATGGTATAAAGACAAACGAGAAATTCGGAGCAGCAAAAAGTATAAGGTCATGTCTGAGAACTATTCAGCTAGTATTCACATTCTTAGTGTGGATACTGCAGATGTTGGTGAATATCACTGTAAAGCTGTAAATGATGTCGGAAGTGACACCTGCATTGGCTCTGTAACACTAAGAGGTTTGTACAAAGATTGGCACCTTCTTGACATTTCTTTGTTCCTGTAGTTCTCCTCCTACTTTTCCGCTCCTGGTGTGTTTTTTTACTGTTAAATATCTTCTCTTAAATAGCACCACCAACATTTGTGAAGAAGCTGAGTGATCTCACAGTCGTAGTTGGGGAGTCAATTGAACTGCAGGCCGAAGTAAAAGGATCACAGCCCATTTCTGTTCTCTGGTTAAAAGACAAAGGGGAAATCATTAGAGAAAGTGATAATCTTTGGATCTCCTATTCAGAAAACATTGCAACTATGCAGATTGGAAATGCAGAACCAACCAATGCTGGGAAATATATTTGTCAGATAAAAAATGATGCTGGAGTTCAGGAATGCTTTGCCACGGTGAAAGTGCTAGGTTGGTAGCATGCAATAAAAACACAATGTGTTTTAAGATTCTTTAAAATTTAAATGTTAATTATAATGATAACAACTATTGCATTGTTGATTTAAAAATTTTTCTGACTTGCCTTTCATTGCAGAACCTGCAGTCATTGTAGAGAAACCAGGCCCAGTCAAAGTTACAGCGGGAGACTCTTGTGCTCTGGAATGCACAGTAGATGGCACACCAGAGCTTACTGCTAGGTGGTTTAAGGATGGTAATGAACTGTCCACTGACCATAAATATAAAATCAGTTTCTTCAACAAAGTATCTGGGCTTAAGATCCTCAATGCAACACTAGAAGACAGTGGAGAATATACTTTTGAGGTGAAAAACAGTGTTGGTAAAAGCAGCTGCACAGCTTCAGTGCATGTTTCAGGTTAGTTGACTACTCTTTTTGAGTACATATGATCCTTTAGTTCTTTTACAAAGCCTTCAGATAGCAAAGTGATTGTTGTGACTGGCAACCTAAGAAACTCATTGCTTGTGTAATCTTAGGAGTACTTGGCATGCTACTTTGACAGGCTTCAATAATAGATGCCTACCTAAACTCTGCGGGGCAGGAGTTATTGAAAGGACTTGATTTCTTCAGCTTTAATCTGCATGTCTTCTTGGACAGCTGGTGCAATATTGTTGCTTATGAAACAGAACAGCAAAAATAAAAGGTGTCCCTCAAAAAGTTTGGATGAAAGCTCCAGCATATCCTTAACAATCAACTATTTATATTTCAAATACTTGGGTGCTTAGCAGCAGAATGCTAACGCAGATACAGCAAAAGAAAGGTCATTCATTTTTTTACGCATGGAGAACTTTCTGCATTTTAAGACCCTGTATGGTAATTTTTAAATTTTTTTTTTAAACAAATGCAGATCGTATTATACCTCCTTCTTTCACAAGAAAACTGAAAGAAACATTCGGTCAGCTGGGTTCTTCTGCTGTACTGGAGTGCAAAGTTTATGGGTCACCACCTATTCTGGTTTCCTGGTTTCATGATGGACAAGAGATTACCAGTGGAGACAAGTATCAGGCTACCCTTGCAGACAATACCTGTTCTCTGAAAGTGAATGGACTTCAGGAATCTGATATGGGAACTTATTTGTGCACAGCTACTAATGCAGCAGGGTCTGATGAATGCAGCGCGTTTTTGAGTGTTAGAGGTCAGTATCAATAAAAAGCCAGAGTCAGATGGCACAAATTTATTTTCAGAAAAGCTTCATTCTTTGCTTTCTTGCATATTTCTCATTACTGTGCTCTTCAAAAGAAGTTCAAATGTACTTCTTCTCTTTTCTATTTGTGTGCTTAGAACCACCATCTTTTGTGAAGAAACCTGAACCACTGGATGTTTTATCTGGGGCAAACATAACCTTTACTAGTATCATAAAAGGTTCCTCTCCACTGGAAGTTAAATGGTTCAGAGGCAGTGTTGAACTAGTACCAGGACACAGATGCAATATCACCTTGCAAGATTCAGTTGCAGAACTGGAGCTCTTTGATGTAAATCCCCTTGAGAGTGGAGATTACACTTGCCAGGTCTCTAATGAGGCAGGAAAAATTTCTTGCACTACACATCTTTTTGTCAAAGGTTTGTCCAGACTAATGCTTCTTATACTTATAAAGATGATCTTTTGGCTTTATTTAATTTGGTTTCTTCTCATTGTTCATTATAGAACCAGCCAAATTTGTGAAGAAGGTGAATGATTTAAGTGTAGAGAAAGGGAAAACTTTAATCTTGGAATGCACATATATGGGTACTCCACCGATTTCAGTGACATGGAAGAAAAATGGAGTTAACATAATGCACTCTGAAAAGTGTAGCATCACCACTACAGAAACATCTGCCATACTGGAAATCCCTAGCAGTAAACTAGAAGATCAGGGGCAATATTCTTGTCATATCGAAAATGATTCTGGGAAAGATAATTGTCATGGTGCAATCACAATACTAGGTGCGTCAAGACACCGTCACTCCATCGAGTGTTATTTGAATTCCTAATGCTCATTGTGCAATATCTTTTTATGCTAATGGTGTTTCTTTGTCCTTCAGAACCCCCTTACTTCATTACACCCTTGGAGCCAGTGCAGGTGACTGTTGGGGATTCTGCATCCTTACAGTGCCAGGTTGCTGGAACACCAGAAATGATTGTATCGTGGTACAAAGGCGATACAAAGCTGAGAGGAACTGCTACTATGAAAATGCACTTTAAGAACCAAATTGCTACTCTGGTTTTCAGCCAGGTAGACAGTAGTGACAGTGGGGAGTACATCTGCAAAGTAGAAAACACTGTTGGGGAGGCTGCTTCTTCATCTTTGCTCACAGTTCAAGGTGAATATTTCAATTTTAAAAATAAGAATATGACCTATATTTCCTAAGTATGCTTTGCTGTTTTGAAAAACAAAGATTACCTCTTCCTTGTAAAACACTTTACTCTTTCTTGATGTATAAGATACCCTTGGCACTGTCTTCTACTAACAAAGGCCTGCCAGTAAAGCTAATTGAAAAGTGTCACCACACCTCTTCTGTAGTGTTACAAGCTTCCATCTTCTTTCCTTACTGAGGATATTTCTTTGATTGTTTCCACCATTAGCAGTCCTGAAGATTAAACAGGCTCACTAGATGTAACTGAGGGCGGAATGGTTATATATTTTCCTGCCGTCGTACGCACAGGGCTCTTTTCACATCAGGTTCAAAATAAATGATATGCTGAATAACACTTTGCATGTCTTCTGAAAGACCTCACTGTACAATACCTGTTTTCTTACAGAGCGTAAACTTCCTCCTTCTTTTACACGAAAATTAAGAGATGTTCATGAAACTGTTGGCTTACCAGTTATGTTTGATTGTGGCATTGCTGGTTCAGAACCCATCGAAGTATCTTGGTTTAAAGACGGTGCACGTGTAAAAGAGGACTACAATGTTCACACATCCTTCGTAGATAATGTAGCAACTCTCCAGATTTTGAAGACAGATAGGAGCCTTATTGGGCAATATACCTGCACAGCTACCAATGCTATTGGGACTGCTTCTTCTAGTGGCAGGCTTATCCTTACAGGTCGGTAGGCTGTGAAATATTTAATAGAAATATATTAAAACTAAGTTTTACTTTATATATGAATTTAGTATTGTACAAAAGATGCTTATTTCACAGAGATTTAAAGTAAATCGAGATTTTAAAGTGGTGCTTTTTTATTTCTTTCACTCTTCAGAAGGGAAGACTCCTCCATTCTTTGACATCCCACTTACACCTGTGGATGGTATTATTGGAGAAAGTGCTGACTTTGAGTGTCACGTTTCTGGAACACAGCCTATTAGAGTCACTTGGGCAAAAGATGACCAAGAGATTAGAACAGGAAGAAATTATCAGATCAGTTATGTAGACAATACAGCCCATTTGACCATCTTGAAAGTTGACAGGGGAGATTCTGGAGTATATACATGCTATGCTAGCAATGAAGTTGGAAAGGACTCTTGCACAGCTCAACTGACTGTTAAAGGTATTGAATAGATAATACATTATGTGTACATTTTTCTTCCTTCAATTATAAAGGATGTTACCCTTATTACTGCTAGATAACTTTGAGAAAACTTTTTAGATGTAGCCTAAAGTACCTATGTGGAGATACTTATGGGTGTTTTAAGGGAATTAGGAAGGGTCACTAGCAACAGTGGGAAGAGATGAAATATTTTATTTGGCCTACTTTCTTTATAGCCTCTGGCCTACTTCTTCTTCATAGGCTTTGGCCTATTTCTTAACAACTTGTCAAAACTCTTGGGGTTTTTTAAATGGTGTTTGGCTTAAATCAGTATAAGAATTTTTTTCAAGTAGGAAAATCAACTATGACAGTGACTGGAAAAGCAAGACACCTGTTGTTTATCTTAGCATAATTTCCCTTTAAAATTATATCCTGTTTAAATGTGAGCAAATAATTTCACAATGTTCAAATTTTTCTTGAAACATTTTCCTTAGAACTTTTCATCTCAAGTTAGATTCATGGAATTTATTCTTTTTTTTTTTTTACAGAACGAAAAACTCCTCCTACTTTTACTAAGAAACTGTCTGAAGCCATAGAAGAAACAGAAGGGAATGAACTTAAACTTGAGGGTCGTGTTTCTGGCTCTCAGCCTTTGACTGTTGCTTGGTATAAAAACAATCAGGAAGTCCATTCAAGTGCTCACTGTGAAATATCTTTCAAAAACAATACCTTGCTTTTGCATATAAAGGTCGTAGAGCAATCAGATGCTGGTTTATATACCTGTAAAGTGTCCAATGAAGCAGGAAGCGTGTTGAGTACATCTTCTGTTGTTATCAGAGGTTGGTTGAAGTCTTATTTTTCTTTGCTTCTTGCTGTTCTTTATTTTATTGAGCTGCAAATATATAGGTTCTCTCTTATAGGCTGGTTATACTTACCTTAACAGCAGTAATTTGTCCTGAGATGGATGTGATAAAACTTAGTTAAAACATAAAATCAAGAAATTCTTTTAGTTTTATGATTTAAAAACCCATTATTTTTCAGGAATAAGCTTCTTTTTCACTATTTGCTATTGCTGATTTAATGTGAATATTGAAATCTTTGTAATGTTTTTATTGAGTTTTTATTCATTCTTTTTTCATGGAATAACGGGGTTTGTGCAATTACATCTACATTTAGGCAGGGCTGACAGTGAGTTGCAGCAGCATGACACTTTATCATAATAGTCTTGCAGGAGATTTGCATTGTTTTTTTCTTTAAAGATTCTTCTATAGTTTTGCAGCCTAATAGCGCTTTAATTCTTATACTATGTTTTACATGTAAAGAATCTTACTGAGTGAATAAAGATATTTCTCACATGTTTGTATGGGAAACATGCTCTCATGCTCTCTTGATATTTATTCCATTTTCTAACATTATGATTGACATTCTCAGACTTCTATTTATCCTTATCCATCCTTGCCATTGCATCTTTGAGAATCACATCTTTCTCTTATATTCTTGATCATACTTTCCCAAGTATTCACTCAAGCATTTTCATATTCCAGAACCTAAAAAGCCTCCAGTTTTTGACCAGCCTCTTCAGTCAGCAGCAGGAGAGGAAGGTGATACGATCCAGCTTAGCTGTCATGTCCAAGGATCACAGCCAATCCGGATTCAGTGGCTGAAAGCAGGGAGAGAAATAAGAGCTTCAGACAGATGCAACTTCAGCTTTGTTAATGGAGTAGCTCTTCTAGAACTCGCTGCAGTTACCAAATCCGATTCAGGAGAATATGTATGCAAAGCTTCAAATGCAGCTGGCACTGATACTTGCAAATCTAAAGTGACAGTTAAAGGTATAGTAACATGGAGAAAATCAAGGCATAAAATGGAAATGTCAACAAAGATTCTATCCCACTTTGTTTTCTGTGGAACAAAAAAGTTAATAGTCTCAATAATCTTATAACAAACTATTTTATTATTTAGTTATTTGTAAAACTGTACAATCTGGTAGAATAGTATATTTAACAATAATTTATATCAATTAGTGACATAAACAGTGGGAGATCAGTGTCAGATCAGCAATATATTCTTACAAAGAAGAATTTAGTTTCTAAATCTAAACACCAAATTTAAGAAAAATGAATGCTAAATGAGTGAAATTACTTGGAGATGCATATTTTATGGAAAGGATCTGAACAGTGGTGTTTATTAAAGGAAAGTACAGAAGGAATTCGATTGAGCATATGGCCTTGGAGGCTAGTTGTTTCAAGACTGTTGCAACTCTGACATTTTAATCTTTTAGCTGAAGATAAATACTGTCCTTCCTAGTAGATCTTGCCTTACCATTGCATAAAAGACACAGAAGTTCAGTAGTATGTACAAACAGTATCTTTTTCGCTACACAGGTAGCCACAAGGCTAAGAACTACATAAATGAAAAAAAAAAAGAATCTAACAGATCACCAATAAAAATATGCAAGTAACTCTTACAGTGTAATATCCAGAAATAGACTGAAAAGAGAATATCTCACTAAAAACTAATCCATTTTAGAGAATGAGGCTTCTTATTTGCATATCCATCTATAAATTTGCAACCATGTAGAGTAAAATTACCTGACTGAAGTTAATGAACAGCTCAATATATGATCCACAGTGTTCAGTCTCATCTGTAAAATACAATTGAAAGTAAAATACAAGTTGATTAAAACAATATTCAAGTATTTTACATTGTTATCACTCGCATAGTATTTTATTCCATCTCAGGAATTAATTCCTTTTCTTGCAATTACTTCAGAAGCATCATCACGCGTGAACATAAGCTATTACATGAAACCATCTATTGTAACTATTTGACTCTGTTTTTTTAGAAAAACCAGCAGCTGCACCAGCAGCTAAGAAAGCAGAAGTGGAAGGCAAACTTTATTTTGTGTCAGAGCCTCAGAGTATCAAAGTCACGGAAAGTAAGAACCCTTTTCAAAACAGTAGCTTGTCTTCTATTTTCCTACACTTTTTGTTTGAGATTATGTCCCTCTGTCATAAAGAGGTGGAAAGACTTAGCTTCCTCATTTGCATCTTTCTGCAGAGACCGTTGCAACATTTATGGCAAAAGTTGGAGGAGATCCAATTCCAAATGTTAAATGGATGAAGGGAAAATGGAGGCAACTCAACCAGGGAGGCCGCATTATAATCCAGCAGAGAGGAGATGAAGCCAAACTAGAAATAAAGGACACAATAAAAACTGATTCTGGCATGTACAAATGTGTAGCTTTTAACCAACATGGTGAAATTGAGAGGAGTGTAAACCTACAAGTAGAAGAAAGAAAGAAAGAAGTTGTTGAAGAAGGGGATCTCAGGGCAAAACTAAAAAGGTATATTGAAAGTTTTTATAGATTAATTTGCTATCAACACAGAAGAAACTTTTTTTCTTGTACATCTCAGAACAAGATATAATTTTAAAATATTAATTAAATATTAATAACTGTACTAAAAATAGAAGCACCTGACTAGACTAAACCGAAGGATTTCACTGCACAAGACAGTTCTAAGGTGATGAAATTTCTCATCAAACAGCTTTCTAGGAATGAAATGCTGTATATTTAACTTATGTTATTGATTTGCATAGCACTCCAACAAAAAAGAAAGAAGAGGAAGAACAACCTATTGATATCTTGGAACTTCTCAAAAATGTAGATCCCAAAGAATATGAGAAATATGCTCGCATGTATGGAATTACAGATTTCCGTGGCCTCCTGCAAGCCTTTGAGTTACTAAAGCAAACTCAAGCAGAAGAAAGCCATAGATTGGTAAGATACAGTGTGACTGCAGCATTGGCTTTCTTAGGGGTAACATGGTTACTTAAACGGACTTGGTGTCCATACTCTGAAGTCAGGAAGGGTGCTGGAATTTCTGGTTCCTCTTCAGTTCTTTTCCTGACAGTTCTCAATTTCTTGCATGCTCAAATCCAAGAAGAATAAATGGGCCTTCTAGTTAAGTATGCTCTGTCTTCACAACTTCATTGCAATTGTTAAGATGGGAAGACATGCTAGTTACAGTACAGTTACAGAAAATTTCATGTAGGAATTAATTCTGTGTTGGATAAACATGACAGCTTGACATTTAGTATCCTTTAATCTTTGGGTATATTCTGCATTTTATAGGAAATTGAGCTCACAGAAAAAGCTCAAAGGGAAGATCAGGAGTTTGATGAACTTGTAGCTTTTATTCAGCAACGACTCTCACAAACAGAGGTAATATGTTTTTGGACTAATTTGTGAAATATTCAAACCCGTAGCAGGGAACTTGAAACTAATTTAAACTAATATTTTTCAGCCTATTACTCTGGTCAGAGACATTGAAAATCAGACGGTTTTAGCAGATGAGGATGCTATCTTTGAATGTGAGATTAAAATTAACTATCCAGAAATTAAACTTTCATGGTACAAGGGAACCCAGAAACTGGACTCCAATGACAAATATGAAATTAGAATTGAAGGTGATCGCCACATACTGAGAATTAGGAACTGTCAGCCTGAGGATCAGGGAAATTTCAGAATAGTGTGTGGACCACACATTGCCAGTGCCAGGCTAACTGTGATTGGTAAGTGTACTTTTGAAGTATGTATTTGAATTAATTTACATTTTATTTATTCCACTCTCTGATCTCTGCTTAAAATGTACGTTTTAACATGCTAATAGAACCTGCAGTTGAACGGCATCTTCATGACACTACTTTCAAGGAAGGAAAAACATGCACACTGACTTGTCAGTTCTCTATCCCAAATGCCAAGTCTCAGTGGTATAGAAATGGGAGACCTATTAAGATAGGAGGGAGATATTCAACGCAAGTCTCTGACAAAGTACACAAACTCATCATCAAGGATGTTAGAACAGAAGACGAAGGACAGTATACCTGCAAGCTTGACAGTCTAGAAACAACAGCAGATCTGGCCATTGAAGGTTTGTAAATATATAGAATCTCTTTATTACAACAGCGATAGACATTCTGGAGGTTCCGTTAGCAGAACAAATGAAAATAAAAATAATTTCTGAAAGACATGTTCCCAAACTTAGAAATGAACTAAATAAAAAATTTTACTGTCCTTTCTCTTTAGACAGTATGTGAAATACTTGGGTACATTAGTTTTTTTGACTAAACCATAATAATATTGTTCCCTGGCCTGCTAACAATCTGAGTGATACTAGCTTCTATTTTCTTTGATACTTTTATATTTTCCTTGGACTTTCTCTCTTTCTTAATTATTCTTTATCTTTAATTTCCTTGATGGCCACTCTTATATAATGTATCTGCACAGCAATCTTGTTATAGTTGTATTCTTATGTCTTCTAATCTTCATTCTTATATATAAGACTTCATAGAAGATGGAATGCCTTTTTCTTACTCTACTTGCTCAAGATCTATTGTTATTACCTTATTATAATTTAGCTATTATGATAAAAAATGAGAAGGAATTAGCAAAGGTAAATGGCGTGGTGAGGAATAACAATTGATGTATTTTTTGTTTCTAAAACCAGCGGAACCAATTCAGTTCACGAAGAGCATACAGAACATTGTTGTGAGTGAACACCAGTCTGCAACCTTTGAGTGCGAGGTGTCCTTTGATGATGCAGTTGTGACATGGTATAAAGGCCCCACTGAACTGAGAGAGAGTCCCAAGTACAGCTTCAGAAGTGAAGGTCGTTGTCATTATATGACTATTCACAATGTTAATGCAGAAGATGAAGGTAAATATGCGTGGAAAATCTGTGCTAGTGCCATTGTTTTATCTGATTTTGTTGTATGGTTTTGAATGATAGAAGCATATAAATACCAATATTCTTGGCTGCTGCAGGTGTATATTCCGTAATTGCTCGTCTTGAACCAAGAGGAGAAGCAAGAAGCACTGCAGAGCTCTATCTGGTAACCAAAGGTTAGCAACTTTCATAAACAAATTTGTGATCATAGCCATGTGCAGATTTGTTTGTTTGAAACATGATTCTGGAAAAATCAATAATCCTAAAAGAAATCTAATATTCTTTTGCAGAAATCAAACTGGAGTTGAAGCCACCAGGTAAAGTTCATGAGCAAGACTGGCACAAGATCATGTCTATACTCTGTCATAGATTTAGTGCATTGATCTGCTTTATTTTTTATTTTCAAATCTTTTTTTCCTGGTTATAGTAAGTAAAACTTATTCCCTGAAAAAATATTCCTCATCCACAGACATGTGGAACTATTTATTCTCATAACTAGGTGCAATGAATACTGTGATAACTCCATCATCAGTGACATTAATAGGGACAGTATAGGATGCCACATTCTCTAAAACACCGAAGTTTATTTTTGTTTGAATTGCTAAGGAACAGAACAATGAAGAGGTACCAATTAATAGATATGATGTCCTCTGCACAACTGAAAAAAAACCAACCAAGAAGGCAAAATCAGTAGCAATCATCTTGTGAAATAAAATTATTTTCTTTTTTGAATATTCCTAAGAACCTACTCCAAATGTTGCAAGCATTATTTAGAAACAAAATGTAACATTATCCAGTCTGTCCAGAAGAGGTTAATACAACTAGTTATCCGTTGGTTGGCTAGCTTATTCTTGAGGAGCAAGCTACAATCCTTGTATGTTACACAAAAAAAATTAAAGCACTGTGAGCTATTATTCTTGGGGAGAGCATACTGAATATTTTTATTAGTAGTATTTATTAAGTCAATTAAACATTTTGATTTTCTAGATGTTCCTGATGCTAAGGTTGCAGTTCCACCTCAAAAACCAGCTGAAGGTAGGGCAATAAACCATACTTGTTCTATATCTGCACTGAAGCAGAAGGCCAGTGGGAATCTCAGAGAAAAATCTTAGACAGCTGAGTGATAAGATCTGGATAATTGTTCTTGTACAAATGCAATATGGGTAAGACTTGGCTCGGATAGGCTTCTTTGCTGTGTGGAAGGTGAAAACTCTACACAAGTAGTGGTAGGAATGAAGCCTTTTTTCTTAAAAAGAGTTAGTCCTTCCATCAGGTTTTCCTATCAGTCTGTTGTTCATTTGATTGTCCTTTTACTTCCATCTTCCTCTCTGAAAATTTTTTATTTTCACCTCTTCTTTTTGCCACAGAAATATCTTCTAAACAAGCTGTCTAAATTACTGCCCTCTAAAAAAAAAAAAAATCTTTTAGAGCTATACAATGGATTGCACATATATTGCAAATGGTCTGTCCTTGGGCTCTGGTATTGGACTACAGACTACAAACATTATTTATACTTATGTTATATTCACTAGCTTACTACGAATCTTAGAAGCTCAGTCTTCTTGGGTTTATTTCCTGAATAATTTGGTAAATGTTTGCAGGGGCAGCAGGAGGGGAAAGATTTCATATTTAGATGAATTGCTATCAGCAACAATAGGAGAGTGATGGCAGCAAAGAAAATAAAACCGAGAAGGTTCAGGGTTCAAGTATGGGTAGAACAGGAATTTCCACTCAAAATAAATTTATTCAGCTACTGTAGACTGTGAGAATGAGCTCTGTGTTTGCTCTTACTCTGTAGCTGCAATAAAATCATATAATCCATTTTTCCGAACCAGGATTTTTTTTCATAATCAACTTTTTTCATATTATACTGAAATTATGTTCTAAATATTTCATTTTTCCTACAAGCTGCCCCTATTCCTATTCTTCTGCCTCTTGTTCCACCTCCAGAGAAGAAAAAGCCAGGTCAGAATACTTACAGTATTTGAACAGTGTGTACATGTTTCATGACTGTTGGGCTTTGGTTTTTTGTTTGGTTTTTGAGGGGATTGTTTAATTTATTTTTAATTAAATTTTTTAATAAATATTTTACTCTTAAGCAGAAAAAAAGGTTCCACTAAAGAAAGTCCCCCAAAAGGTGGTTAAAAAAGTTCCTGAAGAAGTCCCACCACCTAAAGGTGACTTTTTTTCCTTTTTTTTTCTTTTTAACTGTTTTAAAAATAGTAGAGTTACCTGGTGGAAACAAACTGTTTTGTTTTGCAGTACCTTGAATCAAACACAATTGTTTGATTTTTGTCTTTATGTTAAAAACACATATTTAAAATCCAAGCTGATTAGGACTGCTTAAAAAATAGTCCCTTGAACTGTCCGTGAAGGTGAAATAATTTCATTAAGTGTGAACATCCATGCCTTGCAAATTCCAGGCTATGATACAAATAATCAATTTTTTATTTTTTTTTTTAAGTTCCTGAGGTGCTGCCAGAGAAGCCCAAAGAGGTCAAAATAACATCCATGGCAAGGAGAGAAGAGATACATGAAGAAAAGAAGGAAATATATGAAATGCCTAAAGAAACTTATGAAGAATGGGAAGAAGATTATGGTGAAGACCATGATTATTATGTCAAGGAAGAAGGCTACGATGAAGGGGAAGAGGAATGGGAAGAAACTTATGAGAAAAGAGAAGTGACTTATGAAGAAAAAAGAGTTATTCATGAAGAAGGTATTTTAATTATCATACTATTTTGTTTTTTCTCTTTTCTCATATTTGATCTTGTGGCATCAATATTTTGAACCAAGCAACATTTTTAATTTGTTTTTTGTTACAATAACTGGAACCATAATATGCTGACAAATTTTAACTGACACTTGATGATAAGCCAAGGACCCTGGTACGGCAAGATGTATATGCAGATAAAAATGGATACATTATAATACATTATAATGTGATTGCCAATGGACTTTGCAGGTCTTAAAAACCTAATATGAGACAATAGTTTATAATAATATGTGTCATTTTTAGTTGTTTGGATGTTTCTTCTATCATTTTCATGTGTTCTAGATAAGTTTAATTTATGTTAAAAATTTCCAAAAAATGCTTTATGTTAGTGACTATATTTCAAAATTTCTTGCATGGTGTAACTGTCTTAGGTAGTAGTAATATGTATTCCTCTGGGAACAGAATTTGGATCTAATGAGAAACCATCAAACTTGGAAATAAGCAAAACATTTTACTGCAACAATTGTATCTCCAAAACTCTGTGTGTTTTTCAAATTCATAAAATTATAATGTCATAACTAATACCTTCCTGTCTATAGAGCCTTTAGGCAACACATTTTTTATCATTAAGTGCTTGTATTGGTTTTTTTAAGTGGTTGAAGTTCCTAAGAAACCTGTGCCTGAGCGAAAACCACCAGCAATTACAGCTGAAAAGAAGGAAAAGAAGGAAGTAACAGTTCAAAAAGGTATGAGTTTCCTGCAAAAATAACAAGAACATGCAGGTTAACATCTCTTATGCATCTCCTTCAAGGTGAATGATGCTGGTTATTCACATTTTTTTGGGAGGGAGAAAATTCTCTTTGTGTAACATGAGCAAGGGTCATGGCAATCCTTCCTCTTCTCCCACCTTATATACCTAAGCTCTCTGCTCAGTGGTGGTTGAAGCAAACTAAGAACTGATGGCAAAACCAAACTGAGCTTCAGTTATCCTTCCTTCTAGCTGTTTATTAGCCTTGAGTGTGGGTGTAACTGTTGAGCCTGGAAATGCTGCACATCTGAGAATTGTCCTCCATTTAGATCACTGCATATATCTCAGGGGAGGGTGGGCACTGAACAGTGCACAGCATGCACAAACATCGCCAATTCTACCTGGTTTGTGTCAGGAAAATAATTTGCAAGATTATTTAAAAAATAAATCTACCTGAATTACTTGCAGTTGTCAAGAAGCCAGTCGATGAAAAAGTGGAGATGACCACTCAGAGGGTTACAGAAGAAAAAGTCAAACGAGCTGAGGGTAACTACTGTTTAATTACCTTAATGTCATCTTTACATTAAAGTAGTGGCTATTGTTACTTAGCTGATCTGCATACCCTTTATCTTTACTTAACAAGGGTCTGATCAATTTTTCAGTCTTTGAAAAATCTAATAACAGCTTCTGCTTAATTCTTCAGAATAAGATTAAAAGCTTTTTAGGGGAAAATACTAAATGCAAATGCTAACTACCAATCCTTTAACAAAGGAAGTGAGTGTAAAATTGCACTGGGTGAAGTAGTGTGTTACTAAGCTGAAAAGGGGAAATTCCCATCTTGCTGAGATTTCCATCTTGACCCATCTACCAGGATATCTTGGTTAATTGTTTGGTTATGAAATAAAGATTTACCCTTATTCTCCCAGCAACTACTTCCTTTTTTATAGCATTTCCCATTCTGCAGCAAGATTCTATCAGCTGCAATTCAATATATGTCAGGAAATGACCTGTGTGTTAAATGCCCTGAGTTACCCAGCCCCTTTGGACAGTAACAATAAAATGAAAAATCACATTCCTTTTGCTCCTTTGTGTGGTTCCAAGATACCTGACTTAGCTACTGAGTTAGCTTCTTTTTGTCTTTTTTATTGTATTTTCAATATTACTGCTAGATAGCTGTAGAATTATTTTAATCTCTTTGATAAATATTTGACTGAATAACAAAATTCTAATGCCAACAGTTACCAAGAAAGTTGTACCACCAAAACCTACACCAATGGTCATTGAGGAAAAAGTTATGAAAAAGGAAGGTACAGATCAGCATCTCTCCATTACAGTTTACATTTTTTCCAGCATCCTGTGTGTTTCTGTGCATCTTGTCAATATGTGGGCCCGTGTGTGTGTATGTGGATCTATTGTACTAGTCACACCATAACTACTCTCAGTGTTTAAATAGTATGTGTACCATGCTTTAGTCTTTCATAAAGTCTGTTTTTAACATGTTTGTGGCTAGACTTTTGCTTCATGTTTAAGCAGCCTACAGAATATTGCAGTGTGATTTAGCTTTTTCTTCATCTATTCTGCCTGCTGGCCCATCCTTACATAATAAGCATAATTGTGCCCAAGTTACCAAAATATCTTTGAAGAACTGCCTTTGGAATTCTTTTGGTGTACTATTTCCAAAAGCCTGTGCATGCATTTGTTTTCAAATGTTTGGGTTAAAGGTGTCTGTGTCTGTAGTCTTTAACAAATACTAAATATTTTATTTGTGTGCTTGTTTTGTGTTCAGTATTTTGGAATATGAATACTGACTGTCTAAATATGTCTAGTACTTTAATGTGCAATACAGATAAAGATTTGATAAAAACTCACATGCTGACTACCACTAATCTGGATCTAGAATATAAAATACTAAAACAAAATCCTATCTTTAAAGTACCAACAGTAGAAACATGGACTGTTTCAGAAGAAAAGATGTCAGTTTCTGTCCACAGAGAAGAAGAGTATTCATATGATACAGGTATGTACAAAACCAAAAATCTGTGAACCCAAATCAAAACCAATCAATCCTAGTAGACTTTCTTTTGGTCTATTTTTATGTATGGCAAATTACATATTTAGACACATCGTATATTTGTCTTTCAGTATGCCTTGCTTCTTTTTGTTCATTGTGTGATGTAGCCTTAGTTTTCTTTAACCTAATAGATGGCAACATTTCAACTATTTTATCTTAATATTGTTTAAATGCTTTTCTTTGAAGAGCCACCAGAGCATGAGAAAACAGCTGAAGAAAGATTCTATGAAGCTGTTTACCCACTTGAAGGTAGATTGATTAAGGATGTGAGGCTAAACAATATTTGAGTTTATTTGTTTGTTTGTTTGTTTGTTTTAATTTGAATCAAATTCATTGTGAGATTTGCTGTTGTTTTTTGGTATTAAATTTTTTTACGTGTTAGCATACATGTTTCAGTGACCATTGTGTACTGGACACACATAATATCTTCTTCAAGTTTTTCAGATTTACTGTGGATATTGATATTTCTTATCTCAAAATTTAATATCTTTAAAATTCCTATTATAGCACAAAGGGAAGTTGAGGAGGAGGAAGAATTCATTTCTACAGAACTGGAGATCCCTCATGTTGAAGGTGAATAAAGTCTTTGCCTCATTGTGCGCCCCATTTTTCTGAACTTTCACTTTATGTGTCTCTAATACTGTTTACCAGAGGATAGCATAAAATAACTGAGATCTTTTCATTTCTCTATGGCTCTACTCTCCAAAGTCCAAGCCCTACTGCATTTCTGAATCTTATTATTCTTCAACACTGCTTTAAATAATTCTTTTAATAGCTTTTTTGAGATGAGTATATTGTATATGTTTGATAAAACAGCATAATTTTTGATATAGATTGTTTGCTTATACACCGTATTGAAAGCAGCCTACTGTGATTTACCAAGAATTTGAACTGTCTCCTAAATGATCACCACCTATCTCTTTAAAGTGCCTGAGGTACCAAAGAGGCGTGTTCCAGAAGAAAGAAAGCCTATTCCTGTCCCTAAAACAGAAGCTCCATCGGCTAAAGGTATTTCTACTGCCCTAGTAAAAAAAGAAAAAAGTAAAACCCAAACAGATTGTCTTTCATTGTATTATATTTCGTGTTTTCTTGAATATCTTATGAATTTACTCTCTTTGTGTCTTTGGTTTGGTATTACGTCCATATGCATTATTTGATTTGGCATTGTCTCCATTGCCCATTTTCACTTTTTCAATTGTGCTATAAAAACTCACAACTGGAATTTGTCTCAGCTTGAGCCCTTCTCTTTCCTAACAGGCTTGTGCTTATTGTTTGTATTTAGGTTGTGTGGCTTTTGGAGACAAGGTTAGGGTGTTTTTACTTCAATAGAGTCCCATGAAATGGGATAGTGCAGTGACTTTGACACTGGAGTTTTATACTGTATCATAGTGTCTTGTATAGTCTGTATATGTCCCAAAGGCTGTACATTGTGTTGGTTGCAGTGCTCAGCTCCTTGTCCAGGCACTGTCTTCATTCTATAAAACAATCTTGGATTACTGAAATCTGTATAAGTGTTCTGAGAGCTAAAGATCTCTTACTTTGACAATGTTTCCAAAGTGCCTGAAGTCCCTAAGAAACCTGTTCCAGAAAAGAAAGTTGCTGTTGCTAAAAAGGAGGTGGCTCCCCCAGCAAAAGGTACAGTATCTTTTGAATGTGAACTTTAACCAGTCACATGCTATTGTCCTGTTTTCCTAACTGTCATTCATTTCTCAACATAAGCATATGATACGTGCAGTCTTTGTGTGTTTTCTTGGATGTATGTTCTCATCTAAGACATTCAAAAGCCTTAGAAAGATTACTTAAAAGAATTTTAATACCTTAAGAGTTTCTAAAGTGCTAAAAAACCTGTGCCTGAAGAAAAAGTACGTTTGTGTTCCCAAAGGAGAACATGTGCATGCCAAAGACATGCTTACTGATGGAGTGTACGTTACCTGTTGAATTTTATTTTCCCATTAGTCTGTATGTAATCATGTTTGGTTTTATGCATAATCCTCTTTTATGTATAATTCTCTTTTTATGTATAATTCTCTGTGCACGTATGAGAGTTTTTAAGGCCAAGTAACATATTTGAGCAGCTCTTTCTTCAGTTAAGAATTCAGTCTTAAATAATTTGACAGTCTTTGAGCAACTGGTTTGATTTTTTTTTTCAAACATATGTTGCTCTTGTCTTATATCTTTCTATGTTAAGTGTATGAATGTGTTATATGGTATGTCTTGATATTCTTATAAATGGATTAATGAAATCTATAATGCTCCAATAAATCTCTGAAATACAGAATTCAATTATCTTATATTTTATCCTTTTTAAGTGCCAGAGGTGCCTAAGAAAGCTCCCCCAGAGAAAAAAATTGATGTTCTAAAAAGAGAGGAAGCTCCAACACCTAAAGGTACACTTAAGTAAATAACATTCTTTTCTTATTATCTTAAACATCCTGTTTATGTGCAATTTTAGTTTTTATCGTTAAGTGAATCTGGTTTTATTTGTACTTCAGTTATGTTAGATATGTATCTTTTGTGTCAGTTTTGTGGATAAATGTGCTATAGATGCAGTTTTAAAGCACCAGTTAGTTTTAGCTAATAATATTATAATTAATACCTTTGAAGTGTAAGAAGTACCTAAGAAACTGGCTCCAGAAGAAAAAATTCCATATGTTGCTAAAGTAGAAGCTCCCCCTGCAAAACGTACAATACAGTTCACCACAATATCATTTACTGTAGTCTTTAGACTACAGTATTTTTAGAACACACAGTATTCTTTAGAACATTTAATTTGTTTTGTGAACAAAATATGTCTATGTGTAGTCTTTTTGAACAACACATTTCTCTTACATGATGCATTTGCCAGTTTTTACTCCAGAGGTTCTAAAGCAAATACTTTTTTTAAGTGCCTGCAGTTCCTAAGAAACCTATCCCTAAAGAGAAAGTATCTCCTGCTGTTCCTAAAAAAATTGAGGCTCCTCCACCTAAAGGTATGCTTTCCAGCAGTATACAAGAATATGCTGTTTCTCAGCTTATGTTTGTATGTTCTGTGTTGTAATCAGTTGTTGATTTGTGCTTCACCTGTGAATTCTGCTGTTCTGATTCAGTGACAGTGAATCATTACATTATGTTGTATATGTTGTGTAATACCTATGAAAATATTCTTTCTGAATATTGAATCTCTGTTATATGTTATGTGCTCAGTAGTCTTAAGCAATTCTTTGGAAACGAATTTAGCATTTTGCAACATTGCTTTCACAATGGAACTGGAAAAGTATACATTTAATATTATTATCTTTCAAAGTGCCCGAACTGCAGAAGAAAGCCACTTTTGAAGAAAGAGTACTTATTACTGAAGAAAGAATATCTGTTGCCATTCCAGAGGAAATCCCACTACCTGAAGGTACACTATAAACAGATGAGTGAGAAACTTAAGCTTTACCTGCAAGTCTGTTGTTCTAACACCAAGATCAAAATACACAAAAATTTTGTGTTAGTTGTCTTGTATGAGTTTTGTGTTGAACATTTTACAGATTTGCAGGCAGCTAAGAGCCTTCTGAGTGTCATTTACCATTTCAGTCTTGAATGCCAGGATCCCACCGCATTGACAGGAGTGGAAACTCTACCACGGAATATAGTGATCTTCAGATCAGGCTCTCATAAATTTGTAATAGCAAATATGGATATATGGTTTAGTTTAGAATCCTCTAATTAGGGATGTAACCATCCATTTGTCATACTCTATGCAAAGCTCTCTGTAGCCCTGCAGATAACAATATTGTTTCCCTCTGCAGTATTAGTTTCCCCCCAGCTTTCAGTTCACATTCTCATACTCAAGGAAGACAGATCAGGTTTTTTAAGGTAGTATAATTCTGCATAAAATCTGCTTCAAGGTAACAAATCAGCATTTTGTCTGTTTTTATATCCCATTAATAACTATCCAGTGAAGACAATTTATATTTTCCATTAAAAAGCATAAATGAGTTTTTAGAAGCAAATATGAAAATCCTCTATCTAAAACATGAACTTGCAAATTATATTCCTATGGATATGTGCAGTGTTAATTTCTGTTTGTCTCCTGCAAATTAACTTTTTGCCCAGAACAAGTTGATGTTTTCCCTGACACAGTCACATTTGTTGATGTGCACATTCCAGGCATTTCTTTCGATTCCTGACTTATTCTTCTCATCTTGTTCCTTTCCTTCTCACTTTCATATACTTGGATCAGGGAGCAACCTCCAGTTTTTTGACTCTTATTTCCTCCTCCTCAGCTGTTGTGATGGGGAAGTTTGGGGAGCTGAAGCATTCTGATGAACTGACAGTTGACCAGTATATGGTATTAGAGAGATACAACAACACACATGGACAAAACATGTAATTTAGAGCAAATGGTACATATGTATCTGCACAGCACTTTCTGTACTGTATGCTTATCTGTTATTGTCATATAGAGTTTGTAAGAATTGCTCTTCATCTTCTCCATCCATCAATTCCTCCCTCTCTCCATCTATCCATCCACCAAAAAATACTAAAACTAATAATTTTCCTTAAAGAACCAACAGTAGAAGAATGGTCTGAAGAAGAAACAGAGGAAGTATCTGTCTCCATTCACAGAGAAGAGGTTTCTGAAGGTATGACAACAATTCAGGAATACTAGGCAAAACCAAAAAAGTAATTTATAAAAATACTTTCCCTAACTTACAAATTTTAATACTAAGAATGTTTACGATTTCTATTACCTGCTTTTGAAAAATGTAGTAGTTAATCCTGTTGTGATATAGGGAAAATAATGAGGTATCTCTTGGATATTGAGATCTATCAGCCCTTTTTTACAAAAATCCTCTTTTGGAAGTTCCTCTTCCACCAGGTTGCTTGAATGAAATAAAGGTCCTTTAGGATATCATGGTGCCTGTGATTACTCAGGCAATTTCAGCATAAATTGACTGTATTGTTTCCACCTGTAAGTTTATTGGTGGTAACATGATACTGTGAAGGACAATAAATAACACTGATTGACTCAATTTCTGTTCAAAGGCACACCATAGAAAGATTTTTCCAGGGTCAGCTTTTGTCAAGGAATTTTCTTGGTATTTAGGAGAGAAGCTTTCTCAAAATGAACAAATTCCAACATTAGTGAACTAGTGAACAGAGGAACAGATTGAGCATTTCATATTCCATGCAAATTCAAGACGAGAGCTCAGTCTCTCAGTTGCATTTAAGTTGCTTGGAATGTTTCCATTGGCCTCAGAGAGAGCAGGATGGCTTGAGTGCAGATTTTGTAATACCAGAGGTATCTATTAGGAATGCACACTACTTATCCATGTCTTACTAGTATTTTGTTGCTTACCAGGGCAACCATAAAGACAGTAATATATGTCAAGCACTTAAGTATTTTTATATTTTACTCTTTCAAAGTGACTGAAGAAGAGTCTTACTACATAGAGGAAACAGTAACAGTTCCTAAAAGAGAGGAAGCCCCAGCCACAAAAGGTATCTGTTCTTTGCACTACAACATGTTGGTTGTTTCATTACTCAACGTTATGTTGCCACTCTATGTTTACGTCCATTTGTGGCTTTTTTGTATGAAAGAAATATGTTCATGTTGTAGTAATACTATGCCTCTGTGTAAAACTATATATTGTAATTTTTTAAAGTGCCTGAGAAGTACAGGAAAGTTGTCCCTGAACCAAAAGTCCCCACTGCTCCTAAGGAAGCTCCAGGAGTTAAAGGTATAAATGAGTTCCTCAGCCCGGTGATGTATCTTCAAGGGGATTATGTTTGTCTTACTGTCCTGCTTGTACATGTTGACACAAGTAGTGTCTGCTTGCAGTGGTGAATGCTTGTCTCAAATTCTGTCTTATACTTTGAAAATTATTGTTTCTTGTACCATGAAAATTATTGTTTGTGCTAACTTGGTAAAATACATTGTGAAGTAGAAGGCAATTTCAAATGTTACATCTTAATATTCTTTCTCATCTTCCTTCTCATCTTACTCATTTTTCTAAAGTTCCTGAAGTTCATAAGAAAGCAGTTCCTAAAGAGAAAGTACCTGTCCCTCTGTCTAAAAAAATGGTGGCTCCACCAGCAAAAGGTATAGCAGTTCTTGTTGCAAAAAAATTGTTTTGCTGTATTCTATCTTTAACATACTTGCATGTTGACACAAAATATATCTCCCATATCAAATTTCTTCGACATTAAACATGTACTTATATTCGTTTGTCTACCATGACACCTGTGACCTGTGCTGTCTTGATGAGATTTATTTTATTTCATCTTCTATCTTATGCCTGTTGATGAAATCAATCAAATTTTCTAAAGTTGCACAATCTTTTTTAAGAACCTGCAGAAAAACAGGTGCCCACTTTTCAGATCGAAGTTGAAGAACCTCCAGCAACCAAAGGTAAACAGAATATTATGATCATGGAGATTCTTTAGTTTGGCCTAGCAGTATTTGTGTTTAGGCATTTTACTTAAATACAGTTTTGTTTGTTAGTATCTGTAACCTCTGTCTGGATCTCCCCTGTCTTTGACTATTTACTCATTTTTGTGCTATGGCTGTAAATTACTCTTTCCTGCAGTGTCTCGTTTTTGTTGCTGTTGAAGTTCACTTAGCACTTTCTTTTTAAACAATCAGAATAAGTAGAAAAAACATATATCTGTATTTCAAGTATTGCAATAAAATAATCTTACACGTTATTTTTAAGTGACTGAAGTGCACAGGAAAATTATCACAGAAGAAAAAGTTGCAGTTGCTAGAAAAGAGGAGGCTCCACCAAAAAAAGGTATATAATTTTCAGAGTTACACAAGAGAAGTCTTGTTTCAGAGTAGTGGTTTATATATATGTCTAGTTGTCTAATATAAACTGTATTGTTCAGTGTTTGCTGTCTTTTTTTTTTTTACTTGAAGAAATGTCAAGTCTCTACATTTGTGTTTTGTCATCTGATTATATTAATATACTGTGATTAATTCAGCATCTTTTAAAATAAACTCTTTTTTAAAAAGTGCCAGCAGTGCCCAAGAAAGCTGTGCCAGAAGACAAAGTACCTGTTCCAATTTCACGGAAAGTGGCAGCTCCACCAGCTAAAGGTATACAAAAGTCCTTGAAAGTAGAGAGGGCTTCTAAATATTAGATGTCCATGTGCATTGTACTCACAATCTGACTGGTTAATCAAATCTCTCCTGATTTGATTATAAATGAAAAGGACCTTTGTCTTCTCCCCTGAAAAGAATGCAGAGGGTGACAGAATAGTCATACACCTGCATTCCTTGCATTTTCTAGCTATTATTTAACTTCATTGATCACTGGGTGCTTGAGTGCCTTGCAAAGCTGAGTGAAGACATTTACTCAGTGAAGAAGTTAAATAAATTTGAACACATTTGGAAAAAAATTATCAGTATCTTATAACATTACCAATATTCAAGTGATAGGTCTCAAAATTACAAATATGTCCTCTGTTTCTGTGCTTTTCTTGTGTTTGAAATGTGATTTTCTTATGTATCCTGTATGTGTGGTGTTCTGTGGTTGAATTGCATTTCTGAAGAGTTTGGAGGCTGAATATTTACATCTTACTTTCATCTCAATCATTCCATCTTACTTCACAATATGTGAATATTCTGTTTGGTTTTGATTTGTTTTGGTCTACGTATCTATTACTCTAATATTATGTGTCTTATACTAGTACATATTATTTTAATATTTAACTGCATTTCTGCTGTTACTAAAACAGTGTTTCAAAGTGTCTAATTTTTCTGAGCAATTTATTTCTGCAACCTGCCAAATTACTGGTCTTCAAAATACTTAATGCATATCTAGCTACTATACATTAAAGCTTCAGCTGGTCATTTTCTCAATTAATTTACATGTCTTTATGGTCGTATGTCTCATGTGACTGTTGTGTTTATTATAAGTGTATTTTCTATGTATTAGTGTACTACTTTCCTGTAATTTTGTCTGTTATTCTTTTTCTGAACTTCAGAAGGTGTGTGATTTCTTTTAGAATTTAGTATTCTTACAATTACTATCTTTAAAGTGCAAGAAGTGCAAAAGAAAGTTGCCAGAGAAGAAAGAGTATCCGTTGCTGTTCCAAAAAGAAAAGTGTCTCCACCACCAGAAGGTACTCCTGCCCATGGATTAATCTATGAATATATTGTCCTCAAGCAGTATGACCAGAGTTTCAAGCCTACTGTTCTGGCACCTTTCTTGAGGTTCAAATTTAGAATCATAGAATAATTTAAGATGGAAAAGACATTTAAGATCATTGAGTCCTATTGTTAACCTAACAGTACCAAGCCTATCAATATGATTCCCCATAGTCCCAAGCGAAAGTTTACAGAGTCTTTGAGAAACACTACAGACATTTTCACCAATTACTCTGAGTATGGGAGGTGTCAGGAAATAATAATGATTTTCATAAGAAACTCCAAGTGGGATATTTATTATTGTACATGATATTGTACCAGAGAAAAAAATATTAATGTTAGACTCTGTCTTTGAAGTACCAACAGAAGAAGAACACTGGGCTATTTCAGAGGAAGTATCCATTTCTCTCCACACAGAAAAGGAGATTTCATACACAGGTATGAAGACTAAACAGATTCTGTGTCCTGTCCAAATTTACATCTTGTCACCTACTTTAAAAAAAAAAAAAAACAGAGAGAGAGAGAACAAAAGAAAATTTCGCGTCCTTTGCTTATTACCAGTCTGTCATGAAAGTGAAGATTGTAGAATAGCACAAGACAGTATTCCATTCTCATAAAAGACTTAATTCTTTCCTCCTGGCTCACTGCTGTTGTCATAGGAGAACCCAAATATTTCACTAGGTCCTGCTTCACAAATCTTGCCACCTGTCCAGCCTTTGAGTGGAAACAGGACAGCCTTTTCTTTCATTTATATTAACATACTTTCTTTTCCAAAACCAAAGCAGATCCTTTCCTGTTTTCTAAGAGCAATTCCTCACCTAAATCTGAAGGTCAAATAAAAAATCATTAGCTCTACTGTTGCCTACATGGCTGAGACACTTAGCACGATCACGTGATGGATCTGCCTGCTCAAGGGCTTTGAACAAAGTGCACAGCCTTTAAAGAAAATTCATTGCTCTTTCACTTTTGGAGACCATTTATTGATTTGTGAAAAATGGCCCACAAGATGCCTCACACTTACTACTTTTAGACCTGCTACTGTTGATAAATGGTATTATCATATTCATATAATGAAAGATTAATACAATCAAATCAGTCTAAAGCTAAATAATCTATTTAGTCTCTAATGAGGGGGGGACAGGCATATCATGAGTAGTTAGACAATCTTTGACTGGTTCTCTGTAAAGCAGGTCTAATTTGCCAGCTGGTCCGGAGAAAAAAAGGTCAAAGCAGAAGGATGTTAAATACAACAGTTCTCCGATGAGATACCAGGCAGAGGTGTTTTAGCTGAAACAAAAGAATCCAAAGGAACCCGAGTTTTCTGAAAAGAGCACTCATGCACAATGCAGTTTGTGTTACCAATTCCACCAAAGTGACCAGTTCCAATCAGTTTTGGTTTAAGATTTCAAATGCAAATATACCTGGCACTTTTAATTAAATATCTAGCAGGACTCTACCAGAAAATACTTAAAGAGCTAGACAGTCTTCACATTGCCTCAAAAATAACACCCACTTGGCAAGCATCAAGACTTGTGGCAGCCACTCATCTATTCTCAAATCTATCACTGACAGAAGGATTCCACCTCAGAAAAAAATCTCCAATCTGTGAAGAAAAGGCCAAAGTTATTCTCTAACTTGACAAGTCTCCCAGATGGTAAAATGGCAGGGCAATTTTCTGTGCAGTTTCCAGCTATATTGACATCTGCTTCAGAAGACAACATCCATGCACTTCTGTAAAAGAGAATATGCTGCTTAAACATAGCATGCATTCTGTCCTAAATGAATCTTAAATACTGAATTTATCCACACCTTAATCTTCTGGAAATTTTCCTGCTTTTATAGGGAATGGCTTCTTGCCATGCCTGAACAAACAAGCCACTTTGTAAAGTAATTGACAGAAGAGGAAAAATACCTTCCTCACTGAGCAATTAATTCTTTTGCCTTTAATTAGCCTGGAGGTCTTATCTATTGTTAGTCACTCTCAAAGTTTTTCTCCAGGTGCTCCCTCACCTTCATCTATGGTTTTCTAGAGAAATCTTTTGTTGCCAGTGAAGAAGGACTCTTGGCCTATTCCTGAGGTAGTGCAAAGTGTCACTGCTAAGGAGAGGGGCTGCTACAGTGGAGAGTGAAATTTAGTGATTTTGAAATTGGATGGATTTGGATTTTAAGTTCTGCCCAGCAGCAAGCTTAGCTTCACTGTTGGCAACATTGGATGAAGGAAGAATCATATCGGCTGCTTATATTGGTATCTTGAAAAGTTTGTTTTTTCTTAATTGAAAAGTAGTCTAGTGACTCCCCTAACTACATGTCTAGTGTCAATAAGAACACTTGTCTTTTACATGTCAGTCATGTGTTTGTAAGATATCTTTTTCTGTTTCTTGCCAAGAATATTTTTACTTTTAAACAAAACATCTAAAAATTCTTAAATGTAATTGTAATGTATCTTTTAAGTGCCTGATGTACCAGAGAGAGCTATCCTTGAAGAAAGAGCACCAATTTATCCTCCTAAAAAAATGGCAAGACCACCAGCCAAAGGTATACTGGATAGAACATTGAAATATGTTATAAATGTTTTTTGTGTCTTATATGTTCTGTGTACAGTGAGTACTGTTTGTTTTCTGTGGAATGTTCTTCCTTTGGTTAATTCCTAGTTGCCAACGCCTTGTGATCCTTATTATTAGTAAGATCTATGTGCTAAATTTTAAGGTTCTTTTCATTGGTATCTTTTCAAGTGCCTGAAGTACGCAAGACAGTTGTCCGAAAAGAAAAAGCATATGTCGAAGTTCCTCAGTATGAAGAGGAAGAAGAAATTCCAAAATATGAGGAGGAAGAAACCACCAGATATGAGAAGGAAGTAATCCACTACGAGGAGGAAGTTCACCGTTATGAAGAAGTTAGTCACTATGAGGAAGAAGTTCCTCAGTATGAAGAGGAAGAAGTCACACATTATGAAGAAGAAGCTGCTTATTATGGAGAGGAAGTTGCTGAATATGAGGAGGAAGAGTCAGAGGTTCCTCAGTATGAAGAGGAGGCTCCCCCACCAGTTAGAGGTATACTTTAGGGTTTGTGTGAGAAAAAGTAGTATCTTTTCATTCCATTAAAATACCAAAGCTTTGTTTTAAGATGTTCTGGTGTGCTTTACAGTCTACCTTTTTTCAAGATGTTTCTTGATTAGTTTGTAGTTTAGAAAACCTGTAATGACTGTATGTCTACTCTTTACTACTACCTCTATAAATTTAAATGTTCCATGTCATAGATGTTCATTCCTCTTTCATATGAACTGCATATAACCCACTAAGAAAATTTAACTGAGCTTAATTTCATCCTCATTTGGAATCCACTTTCACTATCAGACTGTGCTTGAAATACTTAGAAATGCTTATGTGATATCTGCAATCACAGACAAAAAATATATTTGTCTAGAAAATAGATAGGCTATGTGATTTAGGAACACAAATCACATTGAATTCCACTCACAAATCTTTGAAAACCCTATGGTTGATGTCTATTTCTGTCCTAAAGGGACATGAAAAAAAATGATACAAAAGTTTTATTGAATATCCACATTTAAATACTCTTAGTTGTAGGCATTTCCCTTAGGACTAATTTTTATGGTACTGGTATACATTTTCTACATTGTTAGTACAGGATGAACTTGATATTCACTACTTAGGAGAACTAGGTCATTCCAAGACCTTCATACATGATAATATAAAGATATGAATCATCGATATCTGATTTTCCAAAATTACATAATCATCTAAGAGTATTTAAAAATGCATCCTTTCCAGTCCTGATCCAAATCATTCCATAGTGTCTTTTCCCCAAAAAGAAGTTCAGAATTTCTTTTGATTAATTAGTGAATACCAAAACTATATTTAACACTGTTTGCAGTAGAATTTCGACACATTGATTGGCATATTTTTCATAGTTGAGAAAAGGTGAGGCTGCACACCTCAAAAGCCAAGTTAATCCTGAACAGGAAGATTAGTGTTGGTTAAAATTTCCTTTGACTCTGTCATAGTAGCTAAGTTTAATGCATACATGCTCCAAACTTCCTTCAGTAAGCTCAGAGCCAGTGGGACTCCTGTCATTGTAAAACTTTTATGAATATTTCTGAGGGTTGGAGTACAAAAAGAAGGTTAGATACATTTTAGTTGAAACCTTTGCCTCACTGCAGTTAAAGGGAAAGTCTGTTGATTTCAGAAGAATTAAGTGGGCTTTTTTAAATGTTTCATTTACTCAACAAATTTGGTATAAACTGCTGGATACTTTTAATGTGTCCATAGTTCTGTGCTTGAAGTTAAGTCAGGTGATAAACTAGATGTGCTTGGGTCTTTTGGAAGAAAATCAGCAATTTATATTTAAGACATATACAATAACATGATGAGATGCAACCTATTAAATACCTGAGTTGCTACTTTAGGATCATAGTTCTAGGGAAAAATATGGAAAAGTAGTAAAATCACTAAATATCTAATACAACAATTCAGTAATTGTTTGTTACAATGTTTGTATTTTTGCAAATTTCCCACTGTGACACTTTACAATCTTCTTTAATAGCTGCTTCTAAAATGGCAAACTCTCTCTTAATCTTCTGATCTGCAAAAAAGCCCTTGAAGTTAAAAACATATTTATTGATGGTCTCATTGGCTGAGCTGGGAGAATGGACATAATAGCAGCTAATATAATATTTGCTCTTTTATTTTGTCTTAACAGTGAAACCCTGTTAAATCATAGCTGTATGTTTTGAGTATGTATTTGTATGTCTGTTTGCATTTTGTGTTCCCACTGTTATAGAAGTAAATACCTAAAACATTAATGATATCTTTCAAGTGCCTGAGGTTCCCAAGAGGCCTGTTCCAGAAGAAAAAATACCTATTATGAAGAAAAAAGAAGCTCCTCCAGCAAAAGGTATATATCTTCTCTTTATGTTAGCAAACATCCTCTGAATATGTAATTCATGTTATATTTCAGCTACCTTATTGATTATTACCTTTTTCTGCCCTTTTTGGAGGGGGCTCTTCATATGAAATGTCTGTGTTGCTGTCTTTTTTGTTTCATTTCTGTTTTGAGTACCTTGTGGTTTATTTTTTAACCAAAATGATGTTTTTGAAGTGCCCGAGGTGCCAAAGAAACCTGTACCTGAAAAGAAAGTCCAAGTGCCAAAGAAGGAAGCTCCCCCAGCTAAAGGTAAATCCACTTGTAATTACCTGTGATCAGAAAGATTCTCTAAAGTTCATTTATCTTCTCACTTGTTTTAAAAGCTAGGATAGTAAAAGAATTGTTACTCTTAAGAATTGTAGTTCTTTTTGTTTGTGTTTAATTGTTTAGTGTGACTGGCTTGCATGTCACCTTGTTTTAGTATCTCATGCCAAGCTCAATTTTCAATAATATCTTACTAAGTTCCAGAAGTGCCAAAGAAACCTGTTCCAGAAGAGAGGGTTCCTATTCCTGTACCAAAAAAGAAGGAAGTTCCACCAGCCAAAGGTATATCAGCTCTTGACTGAATGTGTTACAAAAATATTTAAAAAGTCAGTTTATGTTCATCTTTCCTCTTTTAATATAATGTAGAACGAAGAAAGTTTTCTAGTCTTGACAGTAATTTGTCATTCGACTTTATTGATTTATATCAATGTTCTTTACGGTATGGTTCAAAAATGAAATGCTTAAGCTACAATAATATTTTTTCAAGTGCCTGAAGTACCAAAGAAACCTGTGCCAGAAGAGAAGGTACTTGTCCCAGTGCCTAAAAGAGTGGAAGAGCCTCCAGCAGCCAAAGGTATACACCAGTTTCTGGTTCAACTCTGTGATTCTAGTTTTGTTTCTTCAGCTTTAGAAATCTGCCAGTAATAATCCCATTCCTCAGCTCAGTGTGTTTGAACCTCTCGCTGGCCTATGTTTGATCAGAACACTGTGGTTGTGTCTGTTTGTCATGGATGCTACGCTTATTCTATGCTTTGAAAATGTCTGTGTTTGTGTATTGTATTGTCTCTGTCTTTTGGATCTCATATTTCTAAATAATTTCAAAGTACTTGCTGTTTCAAAAACACATGCTTCAAAAGATAAACAATGTACCTAAACAGCAAGCTTCCTCCTTAGCCTTATGACACCAATTTGTAATGCTGCAGTCTATGTGTGTTTGTAAGTTTACATATGTGCATAAATCTATGGATAAAATTACGCTAACTTTCATACAAGATTAGATTTTACAATAAATGTGTGGTTATCTTATCTTTTTACCATGTCTCATCTTACACTGCAAATTAATTCCTTAAACAAAAATGTCTTTTAAGTGCCTGAAGTGCCCAAGAAAGTTCCAGAAAAGACAGTACCTGTCCCTGTACGTAAAAAGCCAGAACCTCCACCAGCCAAAGGTATTGATTCTTATAACTGAACATATAGACGATGCTTCTTGTTGTTTCTTTATCTTTGTTATTGGAATGCAACTGAAATATTAGAGCAGTTTCTGACAAATGTACTTGCTAATTCATACTCTTTAGCTTCTGTGTAAGTTGTCTCTCATTTTCTGATGTTGTGTCCAAGTTTTCTACAATTAAACACTATCTTTAATGTGCCAGAAATACCAAGACCTCCCAGTGAAGAGGTACATGCTTTTGCTCCTGAAGAAGAAGAGGAAGAGGAAAACGTTCCAGAGGTACCAGCAAGAGGTACACCATTCCTTCTTGAAGATTATGAGAGCTTTGTTCAATTCATTAAGATCTTCATCTCCATTCATTGTTAAGCTTGGTGTGAATCTTAATTAACCTTCCGAGGGGAGTTTTCTTATTCTTCTTGGTCTGTGTGCCTTTGTTCTGTGGTTTCTGTGGTTTTGATGTTCTAAAAGCAATTCAAAATTTCTTATCAAAACAATATCTTTAAAGTGCCAGAGGTGCCCAAGAGAGCTGTCCTAGAAGAAAAAGTACCTGTTGCAGTTCCTAAAGTAAAGAAAATTGCACCGTCTAAAGGTATATAACATCATGTTGTATGCAGATAATTCCTCTCCCTCTTATTTTCATATTTCAGTGAAATCTAATTTTAAAATTCAATTTATACTCACGTAAAGTCAAATTCTTGATTCTGGCACTCCACTGCTTCCCTGTAGTGAGCAATGCTAGGGCTCAGACATGGCTTGATTGTCTATTTTGTTATTGGTTTCAGCAGGCTGAAAATCAAGCCTTGAACGACTTGCTTTTTTTCCCTTTTAAATGATCACTGTGAATTAAATAATTCATTGTGATATTATAATTCAGAACTAATTTTTAAATTAATTTTCATTTAAATTAATTAATTTTAACTAATTTTAAAATTAACTAATTTTTCAAATAATTTAAATTTTGTTGAAACAGAAAAGCACAATCTGAAATAAAATGTTATTTTTACCTGGAAATTTTTCAATTCAGGGAGATCACTCTTATGTTTACCTTGAGAGTATGCTAAATTCTCAAGTTTTTTAGCTAAACTTATACAAAAATAAAATCAATTCAAAACTGACTATAGAAACAACCAGATTATATACCCTAAATGTGAAATTCAAGGAGGAGGCAGACTATTACAAAGGCCACAATCTGGAGCCAAGAAAAATTCTACCTGAGCAGCGGAGATTTTTAGGAAAGCAGACATTGGAAGGTTTTTATGTTAAAAAAACCCCTAATCTTCCTTAACGTCTGGTTTGTAGCGTATCTTGATAATATTTTCTGTTTACAACAACACTGTGGAATTAAGAATTGGGCAAAATAGCTATTCCTCATATAATCCTTGTAGCCAAATTGCACTTTGCTGCTGCTAGGGAGCAAAAAATACCTAATAGTTTCCCCTATTTTTTTTACTGTTTTATTACTGTTGTTATGTTAAAATTGCTGTCCCTGAGTTTTATGTTATGAATTTTTCTTTGTGATGTTGTGAAGTAAAGTTCTTAAAATAATATCTTTAAAGTGCCTGAGGTGGCAAAGAAAGTTGTGTCTGAAGAAAAGGTTCCCATTTTTGTTCCTGAGGAAGAAGGAGAGGAAACTATTCCAGAAGAAACTGTACCAGCAAAAGGTACACGATCTTTTCTTGCAAATTATTCATGACATCTTTTGTGTTCATTAGTATTCCTCTTTATTTCTTGTTCTAAGCTCTACATAAATCTTAAGAATCTTTTTGGGGAAGCTTGTCGTCTTGTTTCGTGTTTTTAACTTGTTTCATGTTTTTCATGCTTTTACTGCTCTGAAAGCAATTTTAAAATGTGTTTGCAAAATAATATCTTTAAAGAGCCAGAGATTCCTAAGAAACCTGTCCCAAAAGAAAAAATTCCTGTACCCACTCCTGAGAAACTGGAGCTTCCTCCAGCAAAAGGTACATAAATTAATACTTAGGAAAACAATGTGTTGTTATTTTCATTCAGTGTCTCCATCTAGTTTATTTTGTTTGTTATTTATGTTAGTTTTCTGTCTGTGCTGCCTTTCTGTATTCATGTCTCAAAGTACCTGTCGAATTCCTAGCTGAAAAAAAGCTCTAAAATGATTTTACATCTTCAAGAAGTATGCCTATGGATGTAAAGTGTCTTTTGCTTTAATTTCTGTATCATCTTTTAAAACTACATTCTGCAGATCAGCTCTTATGTCATTATGTCTGTTTGTATATGTTTTGTGTTCTCTTTCTCATACTACTGGTGGATGACATTGTTAAAATAAAATGTCTTTAAAGTGCCTGAGATGCCTAAGAAACCCATTCCTGAAGTAAAAGAACCTGTTCCTAAAAAGGTGCCAGCTCCATCAGCCAAAGGTATTGCAGTTTGTAAATGCTGTTATCGTTAACTGATAATATTCTTCGTATAAGTTGAGTTTAGCAAGGGACATTTTAGTATCTCTGTCTTGTATTACATTTGTCACTATATTGTTTGTTTGTTTGTTTGTGAGTCTCTGTTCTAAGCTTCTGGCTTGGTGTCTATTTATAAATTATGGAAAAGCATACTGAAGTTAGGTCCTATCTTTAAAGTACCCAAGATGACTAAGAAGGTTACACCTGAAGAGAAGGTGCTTGTTGCTCCCCCTGAAAAAGTGGAGGTTCCAGCTCCAAAAGGTATATGTAGTCTTTATAATAAATATTTATGCTAAAAATGCTCTTGACCCTCTTCTAACTTTTGTCTCTGTTGTACAAGATTTCTGCTTGAATTTATGTTAAAACTCTTCATTTTCAATGTTTGCATTGTAGAACCATAAACCTCTGTTTCTTGTGCTTTTTTACGTATACTGCTCTAAGATGGTTTGGTTTTTTTAAATTCCTAAACAAAATCTGTATCTTTAAAGTCACGGAGGTGCGTAAAAGAGCTGTTGCAGAAGAGAAAGTACCAGCTGCTGTGCCCAAACCCAAAGAACCAACACCGACTAAAGGTACAGATATATTTCTTCTTACTTCTCCCAAAGATTTGTTTTTCCTCTTCATTCTAAAATCTTTTATAATATATATATTGTTTCAGAAGAATGGTTTTATAATTTAACTTATGCTTGTGGTTATTGTGTACATTTTCTGGTTTTTTGTGAATTATCTTGACTAACTGTAAAAAAAAAAAAAAAAAAAAAGTCAGATAGTAACAATAATACTGTTTCTAAAGTGCCCGAAGTATCCAAGAAACTTGTCCGGAAAGAAAAAGTCACTGCTCCTGCTCCTGCCCCTGCAATGGAGAAGTATGAATACACATATGAAGAGTATGAGAAGTATGAGACATATGAAAGCATTGAAGAGTTTGAGCAGATTCAGGAAGCTGAAGAAATTGAGGCATATGAGGAACCTGAAGAACCTGAGGGATATAGGGAGATTCAGGAACAGGAATATGCAGAGGAGGCCGAGGAAAAAGATATCTATGGAAAGTACGAATTTAAGGAGAAAGAAGAGATCTATGAGAAATATGAGGAGGTATATGAGGAGGCTTACGAAATCCAACCAGCTATAGGTAAATCAAGTCATGATTTCTTTGTTCTTATAGTGTGTTGTTTCCCGTTACTGCTTAAGCCTCCTATGGGTATTTATTTATATTTTGCCTTGTTTGTAGTCCTATGGTTGTCTGTTGCTGGTAATGATAAATCAATTCAAAGACTGTTTCTATCCTACACCTTCCTAAGGAATTCTTCCCTTCAGAGTGAAATGGGAGGGTTCCCCACCTGACTGCCCAAGAGTGAGTTAGTGTAGATATGACACAGGCAGAGAAATTTATAATTTTCTGATGTAATTCAGCTTCAACATGAATTAAATATTTCTTTTGCATTGATATTTGATTCTTTTGCCCAGTTTAGCTCCTTTGAGTTACAGAGATATTGGAACTCATGTAAAACTTTCCTTTCCATCATTTAAATTATGAGTCCTCATGTCGAACAGAAAGTGCATCTGCAATGTACCAAAAGATGTAGGCTGATACTCCTTTGTTTTGTTGTTCAAGAATTCTGAGATTACCACTCGCTTTTTTCTGCATAAATTATGAGATGAGTGATTGCCTAGTTTGCTGTGTTTATATCTGTTGTAATTCCTCATAAATAATTTACAATCCACAATGAAATATCTTTTAAAGTGCCTGAGTTGCCCAAAAGACCTCTGCCAGAAGAAAAAGTACCTGTTCCTAAAAGAGAAGCTCCACCAGCCAAAGGTACCTCAACTATTAGATACATTTGAAAACACAAGTCTTCTGCCTGTGTCTCTGAATCCCCAAATCCAGTAATTTACCTATTCTGATTTGACTGCTAGATCCTTAACTTTCTTTCACAGTACAGTCAAAAGAAGTGAAGTTACTAAAAAAAAAAAAAAAAAAAAAAAGTATTTCTTTAACAAACCAAAACTGAGACAAATTTACTTCCTGGAGGCAAAATTTAATTTTTGCCCTTACAATATGTGACATTTCATAGCTGCCTGCAGAATCCTAAAAAACTAGAACTTTCTTTAACCTAATGATGTGCTGAGATGTATGCAATCTTAGCAAGTGTTCTCTGTATCAGGCTTTACAAAACCTAAGTGTCATGAATAGCAACTGTCAGTGGATGCTAGTACAGTAACTGTACTAGTCCAGAATTTTGTAATTTTCTGTTCATAGCACTCATTTTGCCAGAATTCATTTCATGATAAGTTCTACAGTTGTTTCTCATATGAATTCTCAGAATTAAGTCAGTGGGCAAAAGTGGATTTGCTTGCTTGTTTGTTTGTTTTTACAGAAAGGCTTGGACTTAGTTGATAGGAAATTAAAACCTTACTGTATTCCCAGCTGCCATTATTTAGAGCTGATAGTTCATGAAACTAAATGTTAAGGCTTATCCTAGCCAAGAATTTACCCAACAACAGCAGTGTTTTTCTTTCGTTGAATACAAAAACTCTAGCTATGTGAATCCAAGCAAACTAGTCCAGACAGGTGGCCTATTTTGTATTATGTACATGTATATATGTATTATATATATATATATTTGTGTTTTGCTAAGATTTCTGAGTCTTTGCATTGCTTGCTTTTTGTTTAACTTCTATTCTTGCATAATACTCATACTGCAAACATTCTTAAAAAACCACCGATGTCTTTAAAGTGCCAGCGGTGCCAAAGAAACCTGTTCCAAAAGAAAAAGTACCACCTCCTGTTCCTAAAAAGGAGACGACTCCACCAGCTAAAGGTATACTTTCTCTGTGTTGTCTTCATGGTATATGAACTCTAATTTCAGTCTTTTGTCCTCATTATTTGTTGAGAAACCTGCATGTGTTTTATGTCCCCACAGTGGTTTTTTCATCTGTTTGTAACTGAATATTTTTTGCCTGTTTGTTTCAAGTCATTTGTTGAAAACGTGAGTCACTTTAAAAAATGAGTGTTTTGTCATTAAGCTGCACATGAAAGTAGTTCAGAAATAAAGAATATTTTTATTTCTTCTGAAAAGGAATCTTTCAAGAACATATATTTTTAAACATTATTCTTTTGTCTAATCTTCAAAATTAACATAGATATCCTTTCAGGAAGTATTTAATTCTTTGATGTTTCAAGAATCTTCCTTGTTAGATTTGCTCTTCTTCTTTCTAACTTCTTCCAAATAGCTTTGAAAGCCCTAAAAGTAAATTATATCTTAAAGGACCAGACGTTCTCAAAAGAACTGTCCCTGAAGAAAAGAAACCTACACGTACACCTGAAATAGAAGTTCCACCGAAGAAAGGTAAAGGAGGTTTTGATATGAGATCTTATGGAAATATTTGTGCCATTTTTTCTAGCTAACATCTTTTAAAACGATTGTTGTGTCCTTTACACCGTTGCAAGAGTACCCAGTCTCAAGTGGAAATTCAGCTCTCAGTGATATACTGTAAACTCTGAGGCAAATATTTCAGACCTGTGCTAGACAGTAAATCATTGAATTATGAATGAAAACGCTGAGGAGGTCTTTCTAGTTACATTACCAGTATGTAAACCTTCAATGCTTTTATATTTGTAATATATAGTTGTGAATTGAGTTTAAACTGGGATTTTGAAACCAATATATGGGTCATGAAATTGCTGAAGTAATAGGGTGAGAGCCAGTAAGTTTAAGACATTAAAGCTGTTACACCTATCCAAAGGAAAAGCATGACAATTCAGTGAGGAAAGCAAATGGATTATAATCTTTGAGAGCAGAAACTATAAATTTCTTCACATAATTCATTGTTCCATCGAGACAATTCTAGAACTGTATTGTATTTCATTCTCAAAAAGGCATGGTATTTGAGATCTCAAAGGGACTTAGTTTTCTCGGTCTATTTTTGTTTGGGATATTAAAAATGACAAATTATTCTGAGGTTACTAAAAGAAAGCTAATATCTTTGAAGTTCCTGAGTTTCATAAGAGAGCTGTCCTTGAAGAGAAAGTACCCATCATTATCCCTAGAGAAGAGGAGCCTCCTTTCTATGAAGGTACAACAATTACACATCTACCAAACAATAAATTGCAGAGAATATATCAATTCATGCCCTACATTGTTCTGTGAAATATGAGATATTTTCAATTAATTTTTAAAAATATTTAGAAGTATTTTATATCCATGACTTTTAAACCAACTCTCTCCCCAAATTTAGATGTAGTTCAGCACTTTAAAAATTTAAAATTTAAAATGTTAAACTGAATTTAAAAATGGAGTTTAGCATTCTAAAAATGCTAAACTTTTCTCCTGTGAAAATAAGAGAAAGAAATGTAAATAAGAGAGAAACTAAGTTTCTGATCCAGGAAACACTTTAATCACACTGGAGCAAAGAAATGAACTTAAGTAGATAATGGTTTAAGAGCCATCCTAAGCAACAACTAATTTTTGAGCTGGGATAGATAGTTAACTCCAAATGAGAACATATGAAATTCAGTTACAAACTCTATCTAATACATGAAACTAAGTAACTAGAAACTAAAATTAAACATTTGTATATACTTGTATTTATTGGGAGTGGTCACTTCTAGCAGGCGTAGGTAAATGATTAGGCTGAACTGAGATATATGAATGATTTATGTTCAAACAGCTCCTTGTCCATATACGCGTCTGCATTTTTGCATTACAAGTTGTCTTTCTACTCTTGTCTTGTAATCAATACTAAAATATGTAAAATAAACTAATATCTTTAAAGAACCTGAAGATTATGGAGAAGTTCCAACAGAAGAAAAAGTCTCTTTTATTATTCCTACTGAACCAGAAGCTCCAACAGCTAAAGGTACACCAACTCTTCAAGCTGTGTAGAGCAACACATTCCCTACAAATTAGTTATTCATCTTCATCATTCCATCTGTGTGCTAATCTACTATTAAATGTGTTCATTCTCATGTTTCCTTAGACACTATGTGTCTGTCATTGCTTCTTTGTTACTTACACTTTGTATATTATAATGTTCTTTAAAAAATGTAATATCTTTGAAATATCTGCAGTGACAAAGAAAACTGTCCCACTTAAGAAAATACCTGCTACTGTACCTACAGAAGAAACTCCTCCAGCTAAAGGTACAAGTCCTCCAAATGGATTTTCTCTAACCTCTTTTAAAAGTGAGGTACCAAGTGAGAAACCCAACTTGCTTGTTTTTCTTAAACAACAAAACAAGGTCTTTTGTTAGCAGCTGCTCAAACAGACTGATACATTCTGCTCCAAGAATTTAAAATTTAGAAAGACTAAATTAGACAAAGAAATTTAGCAGACAGGAGACTCATTAGTAGAGCCAGGGATTAGCCTTATATTTTTTTTACTTCATGTCTCTTTTTTTTTTCCTAAAATACTTTGACAGTATATTAGAAAAAAATCTAAAACGTTGTGGCAGCAGCTTGTTTGCAGAAGGACTCTTTGCAGTCATATCAGGGACTTTAGGAAAGTCAAGATTAAGATAATACTTTAAATTGGGACAAAATACAGAGCCACAAAAGATTTTTCATAGCAACATAATTTTTGTAGTAGAAATCCAGCACTAAAGAACTCAATAGGTGTTGGAAGCATAATAATTAGTTAATTGCACTGGAGTTTAGCCTTGCTTTTATGGGTAATTTTGAAATTTCAAAAAATAAACTCCTTTAGATTGCCAAAATACCTTAAAAAAACCCCAACCCAACCCAAACAAAAACCTAAACAAACAAAACCAACAGAAACCCCTATCAAACAAACAAAAAAAAAACCACAACAAAAATCCATTAAAAAAAAAAAACAAACTGCAGGAAAACCAAACAAACTAATAAGAAACCCAAGCATAAAAAATCCTACTATCTTTTCAGAGAAGAGCATATTCAGACCTGGAAGTGCTAGGAGTAAGAAAAACAATGAACTCCAGAAGGCAAAGTTGTTGAGTTGTATTCACAGCTTAATAGGGTGTATTTTTTGTATTATTCTAGTAGAACTTTTTTGTTGTTTTACAAAACTGTATTACTTATTTCATAGTGCAAATTTCTAAAATAAACCAATATTTTTAAGTTCCTGAAGTACCAAAGAAAACTGTCCACAAAGAGAAAATACCTCCTGCTCCACATAAAGAAGAACCTTCACACTTTACAGGTACAAGAAATTTTGAGTGGGATTTGAAGGATAAAAAATGTTTTCATACATAAATTTGTAATTGTTTTAAAAGCATTCTGCTTATCATGAACTAAGGTTTACTTAACAGCTTTGGTTAGTTACGACAGTATAAAATTAATTGTTCTCAAGGGGAAAATTAGCTGCTACTTGAGATCAGCCCAAAGGAAAAAAAAATAAAAATAAAAAGTGACAGAGCTTAGACAAGGCCTTTTGCACTCGAGGTAGTAGCTCAGTTTAGGACATAGCACACATCTTTCTCTTGACAAGCTGCAGAAGTCATATCAGGGTAGAATAAGAGATTTTTTTCATTCCTTATTTGAAAGCATCCTCATTTTGGTGGTGGATATAAAATAGGCCTGTGTATCTTAAGAGGAGCTTGAATATTTGTTTATATTTGTTCTTTATCTTATACATTGTCTAGTTTTCTGAATATATCCTAAGTTAATTTAAGTGTTTAAACTAATATCTTTCAAGTACATGAAGTGTATGAGGAGATGCACATAGAAGAAGAAATTTCTACTGTTCAACAAAAAGAGGAGGCTCCAGCACCTAGAGGTATATATCTTCATCATCTCTTCCTGCAATTTACTAAGTCATGAACTCCAGGAAAATTAAATTATTCATGTTCATGGTTTAGTTCTTGTTCAAAGTAATTAATATTTCTATTCATTCTTTTAGTACCCTACTTATACAAAAAGCTTGAGATTTTTTATGATTTCTCTTTCTCTCCTTAAAATGAACTAATATCTTTAAAGTACCCACGGTCATTAAGAAAGCTCGTCCAGAAGTGCCTGTTGCTGTGCCTAAAGAACCAAAACCTACTCCTGTGATTAAAAAACCAGAACCTACTCCTGTGTCTAAAGAACCAAAACCTACTCCTGTGCTTAAAAAACCAGAACCTACTCCTGTGTCTAAAGAACCAGAACCTACTCCTGTGCCTAAAAAACCAGAACCTACTCCTGTGCCTAAAAGACCAGCATCTCCACCATCTAAAGGTACTCTGAGAGCCTAGTAGAACTGAGGTCTTTTGCTGATAAATATCTTTACTGCTTATTACACAGTTTCTGATTTAATAGATCATGGTCCACTTGCATCAGATTTGAGGCATTTATGTTGTATGTGTCCCTGTGTATGTTCCTTAACTTGTGTCTAATTCATAAAATTAAAATCAGTAAATACCTTCCAAGTGTGTGAATTGCCTAAGAAAACTATTACTGAAGAAAAACCTGTCCTTCTGCCTAAAAAGCCAGGAGCTCCATCTGCCAAACTCCTTTCTCTATGAGTTTCATCTGTCCCTTGTATTGTTGTTGTCAAAACATTAAAAATTAGTTGAGTTTATCTATTTCTTGTAACCAAAAATAACCTAGAAATTGTATCAGGAGCTAGACAAAAAGGGACTAGAAAAAAAGGAAAACTCTGACTGAGTTAACATGCAGTGAGATTTACAGAACAAGCATTTTCACTTTGTGGGTACTATGAACAACCTCAGAAATTCTATCAGTACTCAAGCAAGAAGTGTGTGTACTTCCTGTTTCACACCGCTCATGTTAAACTTAGCGGTCAATGGATTTAATTGTGAAATAGAATTGGCACAGAAACCAGTTGTTACAATTCATTCAGGTATTCCAAAAGTTCTGTCTGAACTAGCAGTTTGTGTGGCACATCTCCACTGCATGACAAGAAGTCAGTTCAGACTTGTTCTTTGCCAGATAGAACCATGAAGACTTTTCACAATTTGTAACTGTTGTCAAAGCATCCTTATATATCTATTTGTTTTGTCTTATTTCTATGTATTGGATGTTTTATTCTTGTAATTTTTCAAACTACAATAATTTCTTTAAAGTGTCCGGGTACCTAAGAAATTAATAGATGTTGCTGTGCCTAAAAAGCCAAGAGTAACACTATCTAAATCTTATATGGCAATAATGATAACTTTCTGAGGAGATTTCTCTTTCTCTTGGGCATTAGTGTTTATAGTAAAACTAATTTATAAAAATCCTAGTAATATGTAATAGTATACAACATTGTTTGCATGTCATATCTCTCTTTATGTCTTTTGTTTATTTTCTTTCTGGTGTGGTTCTTGTGATACTCTTTCCTCTTAATAATTTTAAATGCTTTAAATATTAAAAAAATGAATGCTGTTTTCCTTAAAGTGCCAGAGGTGCCCAAGAAAATTCCAGAAGAGAAAGTAGCCACTGCTGTCCCTAGAAAACCAGAACCACCACCAGCCAAAGGTATGTTGCACTACAGAAAACTAAAATTTGGAAAAGGGAAAGAACCTTGATTGTGCAGATTAGTTATTTGATTGTTTGTTCGTGTTTTCCTGTTACTTTTATTTTCTGTGCCCACAGTTCTATATATGTTACTGTTTTGAAAATTCTTTTTTTCTGATTCGTGGCTGTAATCAGTGTACCAGTATGTTAGAAATATTGATGTGGCTGGGCAGAGAGATGAGACTGACACTTGAGAACAACGGGAGAAATCTTAAGAGAAGAGGAGAAAAGAGGGCCTCTGTGATGTGAAATACTCCTGACAGATAATGAAAAATTAGCCCTAAAAGAGAGTATAGGATAGTGATACAGACGTCTGATAGAGGAGAAAACCCTCCATGCATAGGTGAAAAATTGATGTCATGAAGCCATTACATACAGAAGAATGTGACAAGGAATACAAAATGGACAATGTCAGTCTAAGGGAAATAGAGATTCAGGAAATGGTTGAACAAAACAGAAAAATAATCTAGTGTAGAAGATGACACTCCAGAAGACTTCAAGGTGTCTCCTCAGATTATACAAGGGCATAAAATAACCCTAAGGCAATAAATATGTCAAATGAAAGGGTCTATTAAGAACATTTGCAATTCTACTGAAAAGTTTTGAACGCAACTGTAAAATTCTATGTAATAACTGAAAGTAATCTCTTCCCTAAAGGGCGTGAAGGACCCAAGGAAGTAGTTGTAGAACAAAAATTCAAAGTTGTTGTGCCTAAAAAGCCAGAAGTTACACCAGCTAAAGATACCTGACATTATGACAAAAGTAACAGAATCAAAAAAATCACTCTTTTATTGTTTTAACAATATAGAACACAGTATTTAAGACCTCTCTTAGCATTTTCTTCTGTTGTCAAAGTTTTTTCAAGTGAACAAATATATTGTGTAATAAAAATCGTTCTTTGTAGTTGTGCTTTCACTAATAGTGATCTGCTGTTATGCTTTAATGTTGTTTATAAAATTCTCATAGTATAAAGTTATTGATATTTTTCATGTTCCTGAGATACTAAAGAAAGTGGTCCCAGAAAAGGCTTCAGTTAGAGTATCAAAGAAACCAGAACTTCCACTGACTAAAAGTAGCTGCTGTACACAAGAAAACCCCTTAATTGTCTAGGGTACTATTTCAACATGGTGGTAATTTACTTTTACTATAAATGTATTATAAAATATTTTTGTTGTTTGAATTGTAGTTTTTGTATCTGTACCTCAGTGAGGCAGCAGAGAGAATTTTCTGTAGGCAAAGGTAAATTACATGTTCACATACAGAACCACTGATGCTTTTCATGTCCCTGAGATTTACGTTTTCTTAGTGTCTGAACACTACAGACATATCTTTGAAATGCATAAAAATAAAATTAATAATTTTTTTGAAGTGCCTGAGGTGCCCAAGAAAGTGATTTCAGAAGAAAAAATACACATTGAAGTTCCTAAAAAACCAGAACCTGCACCACCTACTAAAGGTACATGTTCAATAGTGATGAGATTGCACACAATCTTTAATCTGTTTCTTTAAACACTACCCTTAAGTTTGTGTTATCTGCTTTTTTTATACTCTAATATTTGTAAGTGTTACAGATTGTGTTGTCTTCTTCACTTGTGAATAGATCCCAGTAAGCGACAACAGCTACTAATGGTGTGCAAATAACAATAAGAAAAAAAAACCCAGACCATTTATCGGGTTGGGGTTTTATATGATGGTGTGTTATTTTTTGTCTTGTGCCTATTGTTGCCTTTTTAATTCCTATTCTTCAAACTCCTAACACTAAAACAAACAAATGTCTTTAAAGAACCAGAGGTGCCAAAGAAAGTTGTTCCAGAAAAGAAAATACCTGTGCCTAAAATACCAGAACCTGTGGTTGTCCCAGAACCAGAGGCTGCACCTGAAGAACCAGAACCTCTACCAAAAGAAGGTAAATTTCAACACTAACAAAATAACAAAAACAATGTTTTTCCTCTTTTCTTTAATATTATAATTACCCAGGCCTTCTGTTTTCTGAGATTCTATGTTATACTTGTTCTATCCACCTGCATGTGTGTGTGAAACAGACATACATGGTTGTTTTTGAAAAATAGGGGCAAATCTTGGGTGTCTGAATTGTCCATATTTTATATTTCTTCTTACAATTTTCGATTATTCTTATTGTTCTACCTGCTTGGGTTCATGAAAACAACCACAGCTAATATCTTTAAAGTTATAATAGAAGAAAATACCCATTCTAGTAGCTGAGGGCAGAAGATATCAATATGATTGAAATTCCAGAAGCTCCGTCAAGAAAAACTAGATGCCATCACTGATATTTCTTAAAAGTATCTTCAGCTAATTGCCTGCAGTGCTATTAATATCTTTTGTCCTGTCCATTCTGCTTGAAATTATCATGGATTTTACTTACTGTTTAAGTTATACTATGAGTGCATGTGTGTACGTCCATATGGGGGCATGAGTTTTGTGAGGGGAAAGTGTGTGTGTACACTTGAGAGGAAAGAGAAAAAAGCCAAGATGTCATATATTCATCATTAAAAAGGGCAACATAAATTATCAGTACCTGAACTGTTTTTAATATTTTCATTACAATTGTGGTTTTGTGTTTTATGATTGACTTAATTTTGGCGTGATTGTCAGTGCCATTGTTAAATTTAGAACTAATATCTTTTATGTACATAAAGTGGCCAAGACAACTTTCCCAGAAAAGGAAATACCTGTTCCAGTTTCCCGAAAACCAAAGTCCATTGCAGGACCCCCAAAAGCAAAGCCTCAAGAGGTGGAACTGCAAGAACCAGAAGTGGCTAAAGTGGCCCGAAAGCAAAAGGTTGTAGTGGCAACTCAAAAACTAGACCGTTTTCTGACATCTGAGGAACCCGAGACTGCTTTGACATCCCAAAAATTAGAATCTGTTGTGGCATCCCAAAAACCAGAGCATGCTGTTGTGCTTGAGAAACAAGAGTTTACTGTGGTATCTGAGGAACCCAAACCTGATGCAGAGCCCCGAAAACTAAAACATGGTGTGATGCCCCCAAAACAGAAGCCTGTTTTGGAACACCAAGAACCAGAA